AGGATCCCTAAGGTTGCCCCTATAGGGACCACTCTGGAGCTCTTAAGTACTTCTGACATGACTTTGTTGAAAAATCCAGAGTCAGAATGAGAAATTGGATTTTTTTTTTTAAAGATTATGGACTTACCTGCTAGTTTCTAACAGATCATCTACCATATTTTTCCCAAATTTTTTTATATTTATTTAAAAAAATCAAAAATCCTATCAAATGTTTGCATGTGTTTGTTGCACTTTTTGTGAAAAAGTACATTTTTTCCGCTCAATAACAGAGAGGACGAAACCCGCCACATCAAAATTTATGGGTTTTTCTTTTGACCGCCAGCGCCCCAACGTTCAAATTTTGGCGCCAAACTCGAATGGCGCCGAGATCGATCTCGTCCTTTTCTTCTGTTTTTTGTACTTTGATATAGATTTTGTTGCTCCGGAGGGGTTTCTGATTAAGTTTGTATCGTTTTGGAAATTTACAACGATTTTTGAATAACCTTTCATTATTCTGATTTTTTGTCTTGTGATTTAAAGATTTTGTGGCTTTTTAGCTGTAGTTAATCCGCGTTTCTTCCAAATTTGTCAGTTCAGAAATCGAAAAATGCGACAAAAATAGTATTTTGAGGCTTTTTGGAAAGTTTTCGGTCCAGGACACAGTTTTTGCGTTAGATTTCGATATGACGAAGCAAAAAATCTCCCTATTTTTGCAGTTTTAGAGCTTTTTAACAGTGATATGAGCTCCGAAAAAAAGATAGTAAATCAATTTTTGCTCCAGGACTGAGTTTTTTCATCTTTTTTCAGAGCTTATATCACAGTTAAAAAGCTCCAAAACTGCAAAAATAGTGACATTTCTTACTGCGCCATCTAATGAAAAAACTCTGTCTTGGAGCAAAAATTTTTCAAAAAGGCTCAAATTACTAATTACTATCTTTCTTCAAGCCCCTTTCTGCAGAAAAATCCTATTTTCCAGGCCAAAAATGGTCCACACGGTCACCAGAACCTTTATTTCCCCCCATAAAGTATGCGCCGTCCAATTCAATCCGATTTAACCCATTAAACCTGAGAAAAAAGGCAAGACGAAAAAAAAACAGAACCTCGAGATTGAACGACTTTGCGACGCGATCGGCGTCAAAGTTAGCGGCCACCCAAGGTCGCCTCCGTTTTTTTTTTTTTTGTTTTACTTTTTCCCCTCTTTGGTCCGCTTGTCCATCGATGTATCTTCAGGTTGCCTTTATTTTTCGGCCTCATCTGAACTAAATCTTCGCCTCGTTTCACCTTGAGCAAGGCCGGTTCGCGCATTTTTTTTTATAGCATGCCCAGGAACTCCAAAGTGGTCCTTATAGGGGAACTCTACCAACCCCTATAGGGTCCACTAAAGCTTGCAAAATTGGTCCCTATAGGGGCAACCTTAGGTGCCCTTGGAAGGTCCATTCTACCAACCCCTATAAGGTCCACTAAAGCTTGCAAAAGTGGTCCCTATAGGGGCAACCAGTGGGGTCCTTGAAGGGTCCTATATAGCGACCACTCTACCAACCCCTATAGGGTCTACTAAAGCTTGCAAAAGTGGTCCCTATAGGGGCAACCTTAGGTGCCCTTGGAAGGTCCATTCTACCAACCCCTATAAGGTCCACTAAAGCTTGCAAAAGTGGTCCCTATAGGGGCAACCAGTGGGGTCCTTGAAGGGTCCTATATAGCGACCACTCTACCAACCCCTATAGGGTCCACTAAAGCTTGCAAAAGTGGTCCCTATAGGGGCAACCAGTGGGGTCCTTGAAGGGTCCTATATAGCGACCACTCTACCAACCCCTATAGGGTCCACTAAAGCTTGCAAAAGTGGTCCCTATAGGGGACAGGCTAGTCGACCATTTTTATGAACTCTCCACGAAGAAGCATTTCCATGCGAAAAACTAAAAATAACCTTTTTTGATTAAGATTTAACGACCCCTTTAGGGACCTCTTTAGTTTTAGGGGCCAGAGGCAGAGGGACCACCTTGATTTTACCCCTATAGGGACCACTTTTTCAGTCTCTTTAGGGGCCGTTCCTCCTTCTAACCTCTATAGGGACCACTCTAAAATTTCTAAGTGCTTTTCTATTTGTATGCTGGTGATATTGAAAAATAGGGTTTCCGCAAAGTTTTCAAGATAACTCTAGCATTCTGATGCAAAACTTGCAAAAAAGCTGACGGGAAACAAACCAAGGACTTCTAGATCGATAGACGAGGACCGGAACCACTAGGCTACGTACTTTTTGGCGGGTAAACGGTAATCTGTCAAATCGCGTAGACAGGGATCGAACCAAAACCCTTCGGTAGAGAAGCAAGGCTTTTATCCAGTTGACCATGCTGATTTTCGTGTTCGTGTGGTAGCTTGATCATGTAACGAATGAACTTTTGCCAAGTTTGTAAGCAGGAATCGAACCAAGGACTCTCGGAGTGATAGGCAAGAACCTTAACCACTAGGCTACGTACTTTTTGGGCGATGAGAGCATTTTTCGATTTTTCGCGTAAAAAGGAATCGAACCAAAGACCCTTAGGTTGAAAAGCGAGGCTTTTATCCAGTTGACCATGCTGATTTTCGTGCTTTTGGTAGCTTTATCATGGAGCGAATGCGTTTTTGCCAAGTTTGTAAGGAGGAATCGAACCAAGGACTCTCGGAGTGATAGGCAAGAACCTTAACCACTAGGCTACGCACTTTTCGGGCAGTTTTCCATGAAGAAGACGTTTTTTGCGAAGTCATAGCGGAGATTGAACCATGAACACCTAGATTGACAAAAAAGATTTGAAAAAAAAAGTCTTTTCCTGAATTTCAACCCCTTTTAGTTTAGCATCCTTATGAAAATATTACGCTACAATGATTTTATACGCCTCTTCCAGATGTCTTTTATACTGTGAAGCGAAAAAAAAAGGAAAGAACCCCGACGGACCCATTAATTTTTCGGGTTCAATTTCATCCTGGCCATATGGCCAGTTGACCAGGCGAACGAAAAAAACTTTTTTTCGCCCCCCGTGGTATCTCGTTTCATTCGGACTTTACGGCCTCCGGTGGTTATTAGTTATTACTACGGCTTGGAAACTCATTTTTCCTTTTCACAGGTTTTTTGGGGTTTTCCGTGAACAGTGGCCTGCTCCCCTCTCTGCTCCAGCTTAATTTTTTATTTTTTGCTCCAAAATGACATAAAACAGTTATCAACTCGTTTTGGGGCTTTTGTAGGGACCACTTTAGTAGGGTCAGAACACTTAAGTGATTCCTAGAATTGCCGAAATGCACCGGCTAAGTTGGATCATTTCCAGTGACCACTTCAGTAGCGTCAGAACACTTAAGTGATCCCTTGAATTGCTGAGACGCACCGGCCGAGTTGGAGCATTTCCAGTGACCACTTCAGTAGCGTCAGAACACTTAAGTGATCCCTTGAATTGCTGAGACGCACCGGCCGAGTTGGATCATTTCTAGTGACCACTTTAGTAGGGTCAGAACACTTAAGTGGTCCCTAGAATTGCTGAGACGCACCAGCCGAGTTGGAGAATCTCTAGTGACCACATTAGTAGCGTCAGAACACTTAAGAGATCGCTGGAATAGCTCAGAAACGTCAGTTTCGCGCTACTAATGTTTTAGGACGACTCCAATGAGAACCTTGACTTCTGGAAGGTTTCCTCGAAAAACTTCAAAATCAAATCGCTATAGCCTAATGGCTAATCTCTCGCACTGTGCTCCAAAACTCGTAGGTTCAATCCCCGGTCCTTCTTCCTTTTTTGCTATTTTTGCGCACGCCATCAGCAGCGTTTCCACTCAATTTAGGTCATTGAGAATTTATGGGTTTCATCCCGTAAAAGATAAAGAAAATGTTCTTTTTTTGGCGCGTCTTCATAGGATTCAATGTGGGAAGAGCGGTTAGATGAAAGGTTGCCCCATAGAGATGGAACGAAAGAAAAAGAAAAAGGTAAAGAAATATATATTTTATTTGTTCTCGCCGCTCTTTCTCTCCCGGTTTTTGCGTGATTTTCTTTGCCTTTTGCGGCTTTTCTCACGCCATTAAAGGGCCGATTTAACGAGCTTTCTGACCACATCTAAAACGTTGGACAATTTTCACGTCTGTGTGTGTTTTTTTTTTCCGACTGTCCGCCCTTTTTAGAGACCATTTTGAGTGTCAGAACTCTTTTAGAGTTAGATTTGATTTTTTTGAATATTTTTGGCTTCTAGGCTCACTGTATTCCTTTCACACGGGTATGTAGAAAAATAATGAGATATGGACTTAGCTTTAGAAATAAATGAGTTATAGTTAAGCCCCTGTTTGAAAAAGCCCACAAGAGCCTTCCAAAGCTCTTTTGCTGACCCCTGAAGTGGTCACTTGGGTGTTTGACTTTTCCCTGACTTTCATTGTCTTTTGGAATTTTGAAGCTCTTTTCTTAAGTGGTCACTTTAATGATCATTCAAGAAACCACTAGAATTTTTAAATCGGTTTCACGCTCTTTTTTGGGCGCGTTTCCCTGTAGTGAGCTTTCGCTGACTTGTTCCCTCAAGTGGTCACTCTAGTTCCTACAAGAAATGCTTCAATGATCACTCAAGAGATCACTAGAAGTACTGGATCGGTTTTCTCACTCTTTTTTGGGCAATTTCCCTAGAGTGAGCACTCGGGTCGCTAAGTTGTCCCCTTAAGTGATCACTTGAGTTTTTACAAGAATTGCTTTGACTTCTCAAGTGACCACTAGACGTTCAGAATCGGTTTTCTCAAATTTCCCTAGAGTGAGCACTCGGCTCGCCGAGTTGTTCCCTCAAGCGGTCACTTGAGTTTACAACCAAATTAACATCCTTTTTCGGGTCCTTTTCCAAGTTTTATTTAAAAATTTGGATTCAGAAGCCATGATCTCTCAAGAAACCTCTAGAATTTCTTTTCCACACTTTTTGGGCCCATTTTCCCTTAAGTGGCCCTTTTTCTGGACCTCCGCAGTCTCATACTTTGCGGGAGTTTCGTACCTCTTTTTTATAAATTTAAATTTTCAATTCCATTTATTTTTCAGATGCACACATCAACAAATGAGAGGCTCGCAATACGGGTCGAGCGCGGCACGAAGCCGCAAATTATCGTCGACCAACGAGAGAATCACGTCCTTGTGCGTTACCGTAATCCTAAAAAAAATTTCAACTTTGTCTTTTTTCGAAAAAAAAAACCGTTTTTGTACCTAAGCCTTGCAAAATTTAGAACACTCTTACAGTATCCGTTTCCTACTGTAGCCTTCATTTTGCTTTATTGTAGGTATACATTCCCGTGGACACTACAGTAAACTACCAGCCAGTGACGTCACACGTCGGATTCGGCTACAATGTCAAGCTGCAACGAATGCAACAGCAGTACAAGATTACTCTACAGCATCAGGTACAGTATTCTCAGCCGGTTACTGTGAGATTACGGTGGAAACATACTGTAAGCCGTAAGAAAACCTTCCTGATTCATCTGTACCCTTACTAAAAGCCGGAAAGTTCAATAATTGGCCGATTTCTTGTTTCAGCACGAAAAGAAGCCGGAATGTGTCGTATACGCCTCGAGTGTCAGCCACGATCAGGAGATCAAAACGACGGTCAAAGAAGTCAATTCCAGGGTCCCACAGGTGCTCGCATTGCTCATGTTAGCTTATCTGAAGACGACGTCGATTGCAGATGACGATCGCCGGATCGAATCTGGAAGTCAACGGGGTGCTCCGCGGTCAGAATCTGACCTTTGAGAGTACGGTCGGCACGATGCACGTCTACGCGAAGATCACTTGCACGTCGAGCCTCAGACTCCATTCCCAGAACGTCGTCCTCTCCACGGAAGCTCTCCTCAGCACCAACGACTTCAAGGTGACGCCGTCTGCTTTGAAATGAACCAAGGGAGGGTTCAGGTCGTCTGTCGGAAGCTCCAGATCGACGGCAGGGTCTTCCCCAATGAGCCCGACCTTGCCGAATCCAGCACCGCCTCGGATTTGGAAGAATCCAGAATGAGGGTCGACTTGTCCTGCAGTTTGGTCCACATCGGCATCGATGGATGTATCGGCGCGTCGAATGAGAGGGACAAGGCCAAGGTAAAGAGGAGGGGTACTGTAACATTAAGGTCTGCAAAGTTTCGTAAGCGTGATTTTTTGGAGTACTTTAGGGCTCACTCAAATGTTCTTTGCGCCTTTTCAGTTTTCAAGATTTTGGTAAAGAGGAGGGGTACTGTAGCTTCAAGATCTGCAAAGTTTCGTAAGCGTGATTTTTTGGAGTACTTTAGTGCTCACTCAAATGTTCTTTGCGCCTTTTCAGTTTTCAAGATTTTGCTAAAGAGGAGGGGTACTGTAACATTAAGGTCTGCAAAGTTTCGTAAGCGTGATTTTTTGGAGTACTTTAGTGCTCACTCAAATGTTCTTTGCGCCTTTTCAGTTTTCAAGATTTTGGTAAAGAGGAGGGGTACTGTAGCTTCAAGATCTGCAAAGTTTCGTAAGCGTGATTTTTTGGAGTACTTTAGTGCTCACTCAAATGTTCTTTGCGCCTTTTCAGTTTTCAAGATTTTGCTAAAGAGGAGGGGTACTGTAGCATTAAGGTCTGCAAAGTTCCGTGAGCGTGATTTTTTGGAGTACTTTAGTGCTCACTCAAATGTTCTTTGCGCCTTTTCAGTTTTCAAGATTTTGGTAAAGAGGAGGGGTACTGTAGCTTCAAGATCTGCAAAGTTTCGTAAGCGTGATTTTTTGGAGTACTTTAGTGCTCACTCAAATGTTCTTTGCGCCTTTTCAGTTTTCAAGATTTTGCTAAAGAGGAGGGGTACTGTAGCATTAAGGTCTGCAAAGTTCCGTGAGCGTGATTTTTTGGAGTACTTTAGGGCTCACTCAAATGTTCTTTGCGCCTTTTCAGTTTTCAAGATTTTGGTAAAGAGGAGGGGTACTGTAGCTTCAAGGTCTGCAAAATCTCGTGAGCGTGATTTTTTGGAGTACTTTAGTGCTCACTCAAATGTTCTTTGCGCCTTTTCAGTTTTCAAGATTTTGGTAAAGAGGAGGGGTACTGTAGCTTCAAGATCTGCAAAATTTCGCGAGCGTGATTTTTCGGAGTACTTTAGTGTTCACTAGACTGTTTTTTTGCGCCTTTTTTTCACGTTTTTTTCAAGAAAAATTGCTGGCTTGCATCTAAAGGGGGAGGGGGAGAATAGAGTTAAAATTGAACTTTTCCCATTTTTGGGGCTCCTCAGTAACGCAAGCCGGACGCTTCCAAGCATTTCAAGGGATCATTTGAGGGTACTAACGCCACTAAAGAGGTCCCTAGAAATCCCAACTTTCTCGAGCGCGTCCGGTTCACGTTACACAGGTCCGATTATAGCTGGTTCTGACTTGACCCATCGAAAAATGGGTCCTGACACGATAAGGCACGAGATAGCGCTTGGCTCGTGGAGAGCGCAGACAGGCCACGCCCCTTTAGCGTTTTAAGCTAGCCGTGAATCAGCTAAACGGAAAGAAGAGCTCTGAAAAAATGGAAATTTCACTCCAATCCTTTGATATTCAATAAATTGATCAACTCCAGAAAGGGCAGAAGCAAGTGACGGCAAGCCATCTGAACGTGAGCATCGCCGGCGGCCTGGCCAACTACGGCAAGATCGTGGCCAAGGAACACATCGACCTGATGTGCTCGGGCAGTCTGCTCTCGTTGTCCGACGGCTCCCTGGACAGCGCCGGACGAGGCTACAACGCCCTGAAGCAGCTGAGGAAGGTCGACGCGACGACCCCCGGGGCAGCCCCGTCGAGCAGTTTCATGCACTCGGCCATCCAGAATCAGAACGCTGGAGCCGTCGCAAATCTCATCGAGAACGGAGTCGATTTGAATGACACGGTGAGTTTTGGGGTTGATATCTATAAAATTTAAGGGAAAAACGGCCCCTTTAGGGACCGAAAAAGTGGTCCCTATAGAGGTAAAATAAAAGTTGTCCCTGTAGGAGTTTAGAGTCTGATCCTTAGCCCCTTAAGTGGTCCCTATAGGGCCGTTTAATTTTAATCTAAAGGGTTGATTTTTATGGAAACGCTTTTTCGCTTAAAGTTCATAACAACTAGCATGTCCCCCCTATAGGGGCCACTTTTGGAAGCTTCAGTGGCCCCTATAGGGGTTGGTAAGGTTGTCCCTAGAGCGGACCCTTAAAGGTCTATTTTTGATTAAGTTTGAACGACCCGTATAGGGAGGGCTAAGGGGTCAGACCCTAAACTCCTGTAGCGGCCACTTAAGGGGCTTTTTCCCGTGAACCCTATAGAGACCACTCTGGAGTTCCTAAGACTTGTAGTCGTTCCTTCCCAAGGATAGTTTCGTAGTTTGAGACGTTTTTGGCCCCTAATGGGAATATTATCTTCCTTGGTTCGGCTATTTTTCAAGTTTGAAGGTAGTTAGGTAATTTCAAGATTCTCAAAGTTATATAGCGCAATCTTTGAAGTTGTTTTTTCCCAAGTTTCCATTTTATCTAGATTTTTTTCAGATCTCCTCGCGAGCCCGCGACAAACGAATGACGCTCAGACAGTCGGCGATGCAAGAATACCGGGAGGCTCGGAAAAAATCGTCGCTGAACTCGGCGCGGGCGCGAATCACTCTGATCAACGCCCTGTTCTCGGCACACGACTGGCGACGCGGCTCCATCGCCGCCGCCTCGATCCGCGCGACAATCGCCAGGAACTGCGACGACTGCGCTCAGTTCAACGCCAAGCAGCTCCAGCTCAAAGTGATTCTTGAGCGTCGGTTCTGACCACATAATGCTTTCAGATTGGCGGCTCTGCAACTGTCGAGAAGGACTCGATCTGGAGCAGCACCTGGGTCGAAATGGACGTTGCCGGCAGCGTGACCGCCAACGGACAAGTCAAACTTCGGACCCTGATCCTGACGGCGAAAGGATCTGTCGTCACGACTTCCGAAGCCATTCTGAGCTTTGAAGTGTTCGGAAGAGTGAGCTGCACCAGGTTTTGGAAGACGTGAGTCCGAGAACATTCTGTTGCTTCAGTTTCGACTGCGACGGCATGTGGTGCGCCGGGGAGAGCCTCGTCCTGGAGACGACCAACAATTCCAGCTTCACCTCGGGAAGCTACGTCGAGTCGGACAAGCTGGAGCTCGAATGCACGGGAGCCTGTAGTGTGGACGGGACTTGGCAACTGGCCAGCTGCTGGGCCCACGTCCAGGGCATGATGACCGTTCAGGCCAACGGGAAGCTGTTCGTCGAGGACGCCGCTGACCTCTCCGCCTTGGGGTTGGAGTTTATCCTATTGTTTTGTGAAAGTTCCAAAGATCCAAACTTTGAAAAAATGTGACCCAATGAGATTCAAAAAAATTTAGAATGGTACCCAAGTCATATGCGGGTAACAAATCACTAGGTATCCTAAACACGTTTATAATTTCTTCCAGTCTTCACTTCCACGGCTTCGCCCACGTCGTCGAGCAGTTCACCCTGATCGTCCAGGACTCGGCCCACTTTTTCCATTCCTCCCGTGTCGAATGCCAGACTCTGAAACTGACCTGCAAAGCCTTCTGCACCATCGGAGGTCTTGTCGCCGTCCATGACCTCCAGGTTTGTTCTGATTACGGTAGCTTCGACTGTGCGAATTTTCCAGGCCTACGTGCGCCATGACATCATCACGACCTCGACCGGCAAAATGATGGTCACCAACAACGCTGACGTCACTTCTGGAGCTTTCAAGAACGACTCCTTGTGGCAGGTTCGACGAGTTCCACGAAGAAAAACTCTAAAAGTTGGTTTCAGGTCGAGAAGGCGATGAAGCTGATCGCCGGCGTCATCGAGCAGTCGGAAGATGGCGTTCTCTTCGTCAAATGCTCCCTGACGGCTCACGTCCACGACGTCTGCGTCGAATCTTTCGGAGGACGGCTTGTGAGCAGCGACGTCTTCCTGAAATGCCTGAAAGAGTGCGAGTTCGACGGCCTGATCCGCTGCAACGAACTGCAAATCGCGCTCCCGTACTCGGCCGAGTCACGTCTCCGACTTCAAGGACAGGTCGACGTCGTCGTCGGCTCCCTCACCGTCATCGGCAACCTGAATTCCGAAGGCGTCCAGCTGCGAGAAGCCGTCCCGCCCGGCCTGACCATCGCCTGCAATCTCACCGCCGCCGCCATCATCGCCCCATTCTCATCCATCCACGTCGACGCGACAGCCTTGGTCCGTCTCAGCGGTGTCAAGTCGAAAATCGAGTCAGACCCCAATATCCTGATCAACGCCGGCGCCTTGTCCACCGCCAAGGAGAGCTGCATCGTCTCCTTGGCCGCTCCAGAAGACGTCAAAAAGGAGGCTGTCATCTGTGCCACCGTCTTCCAGCATCAAGGACAAGTCAAGTTTGTCGCCTCCGACGTCAGACTCGTCGCTGGCACTATCATCCATCATGGAAGGCTGACCAACATGGAAAACAAACAGAACCATGTCAAGCACCTAAACATGGTCATTGGGGAGTTGTTGCTGAACCATGGCATCATCGCCTGCGACGTGCTCAATATCCGTGGCGAGGGCGTTCTCGAGAACACCAACAGAATCTACGCTGTCGAGTCGATGGACATCCGCCTGAGCAACTTCGACAATGAAGAAGGGCTCATCGAATCGAAGAACACGATGAAGCTTCTGGCGGTCAGCAAAGAATGGACCAAGTTGGGAGGTTCGATCAAGGCCAAGAAGTCCTTCGACCTCTGCGCCAACCGACTCAACATGGCGATCCGGAACGTCCAGAACCTCTCTATCGACAAGCGACTCTCCTTTTCGGCTAAAACGGATCTCCTGATCTCCAGCGACGTCATCGATGAAGCCAAGGAGTTGTCCGTTGGATGTGCGGCTCAGCAATGTGTCGCCATCGACGCCAACATGCAGCTGGACCGACTAGAAGTTCTTCTCGGCGGAGATTCTCCTAGTTCTGACCCGGTCGCTTTCGTTGTCCATGCTGACGCCACCATCATCGCCAACACCGTCCTGATCAGCGCCAAGTCTGAACATCTTCAAATCTCCTTCGATGGCGCCGTCCAGTGCAGCCGACTTAGATTCGCCGGCGGCATTCGCAAGGTCACCATTACTGGAGCTGGTCATCTGGAATGCACCTATCTCGCTGCTCAACACGTTTCCGTCGGCTTCGAAATGTACAGCACGACCCGACTTGACGAGGTCCACTCCCAGAAGTTTGCCGTCGTCAACGACTCCATCTTCCGTTTGGAGCCGTGCGCCGATTCTGAAGACACGACGATTGTCACGGAGGATGTTGCTATCGACGGCACGATGCTTCTCGAGAAGAAGCTGTTGATCAAGTCGAAAGGCGGATGTATGCGGATAAATGGACCAGTTCTGGGAAGCTCCCCAGCCAGTGAGCTCACCTGTGAAGCTAGCAAAGTCGTGCTCAAGGGTCAAATCGCGAACTTCAAATTCGTCGAGCTTTTCGCCCGTGAGACTATCACGATTCAGAATCAGAAGCTTCTGAACATCGAGAGATTGAGCATCGACTGCGCCGACCTCAGTATGTACAGTGTCGACGTCGAGAAATGCCTCCACACTGTGGTCAGCTGCGACGCATTCACTGCCACCGGCAAAATAGTCGGATGCGAAGTTCTGAACATCTTCTCCACCAACATCCACTCCAAGATGGACATCAGCGACGTGGAGAAGATGGTCGTCAACTGCAAGAGGTCGACGGCGATCCGTGGCAAGCTCCAGAAGGTCAAAGTGCTCGAGGTTGACTCGAAGTGGATCAACCTCAGCGCCGACGTCTCCAACTGCGAAGAGCTGAAGCTGACCGCCTGGGCTGTCTCTTCAAATGATCAACTCCGAGCCGAGAGGATCCAAATCACGGCCCTCACCGCCTTCGTCAACAACTCATCGCTTCTGGCAACGACGTGCAACATCGTCGCCCCGTTCGTCTTGTCCCTCTCCGCTCTGAGCACGATTTCCTCCTCGCTGACGTCGGTCCACGCCCTCTGCATGTGCACCCGCAACGACATGGTCCTCACCGGCACGGCTTTCCTCTGGCTGGCCTTCGACCCGGTCACCGGCCAAGTTGGCGTGAATTCCGCCGAGATGAACGCCTGGAAGACGACGTCGGCGATGATGCGCGACCGGTGGAGCACGGCTTCTATTGACGCCGATGAGGTGCTGATCGGACTGAAGTACATCAGCGACCTGCAGCCGGTCAAGATCCGTCTGAACACGGATAATAAGGTGAGTTTCAGGGTGTCTTTTGGCAGAACCATCGTAAAAAAAAAGTTGATTTTCTGTGAGCTTCTTCGTTGGTTCAGAATCTTGCCATTGGGAAGACAGTATTTCCATTTAAGGACCCGAAAAAACGAATACATTTAAGATATATGAATCTCTGGTCGAGCTGTGCTCGAGATTCGACTCAACCCCAGTCTCGCTGATCAACTTTGGCGAGCTGGTCGGCGTGATTTGCTCAGCCAGAGTCCTCTTTGCCCTCCTCCCCGAAGCCAACAATAATCAGAAGAAAGGCCGGAAGAAGTCAGGTACACCACTGAAACAAGGAGAACTGGAAATATGTATAATTATTCAGATTGTGCGCTCTACGAAGGGCTGGTCCCATTCAAAGCCGGGAAATACAGCAAGGAATCGAACAACGCCGACTCGTCGGACACCGACATCGGATACGTCAGTAGGAGCTCCAGTGAAGACCTGAACTCTTCGACGAAATCGACGAGGCCGAGGTGAATCCTGGGGTGTTCGCAGCGTAAATGAAGTCCGTTTCTCGCGACTTTAAAGGGCGGGACTTCTCTGCGCCCTCCTTATCTCTCGACGTCTCTCTCATGCTCTCTGACCTCGCCGGTGAGAGAACAGAGAGACGCAGACACGCGAAAAATGTCAAGTCTAGATAGGATTGTAAGAGCGGAAAGGTGAAATTCGATCAATCAGTATTCATTTTTTGTATTAGTCATAGATGTGAGGTGGGGAGCACGAACTTTCAAAGCTATATCGTCTTTGGCGAACTAGAAGTCTCCGAATAACTGCCGAGATAAAAGCGATATCGCAAACATGTCGCGTTTGTCCTGCCGCGACATCGCGTTCTCTCGTACTCAAAAAAATTCATTTAAACTTTTACAAAATGCGGAGTCGCGGCTAAAGAAATGCGATGTCGCGGCTAGAGAAATGCGATGTCGCAGCTAGAGAAATGCGATGTCGCGGCTAGAAAAATGCGGTGTCGTGCCTAGAAAAATGCGATGTTGTGCCTAGAAAAATGCGAAATCGCGGCTAGAAAAATGCAATGCCGCGCCTGGAAAAATGCGATGTCGCGACTAGAAAAATGCGAGACCGCGTGAGGACAAAGCGGCATGTTATATACCGCCAGCGATATCGCTTTTTTGCAGTTGCGAGTTGAAAGCCTGCTTTTACGGCCCTTTGCTTTGTTCTTCTGCGAATTGTCCATTCATTTGTGCCTTCTTGAGCTCAGAATGCACCTGAGGTCGTGCTGGAGCCTGGAGATCGTTTTCCAGGGCTTGAAATGAAGGTAGCCACTCCGTAAAATAAAATTATCGCTTTTCAAAACTTCCTTACACTGCGTAAACGTTCATGCATAGCATATAGCTTCTAGAACTTCCGGTGAACTTAAGAAAAATCAAATAAACTCAGATCCCCGCTCTGCGACGACCCCACGACGAGCTTCTTCACTGAGACTCATCTGAAGGACGTCGAAGTGAAGGTCAACGAAGCGGCGGTCGAAGTGATCGAAGAGCCAAAGTTCGATCAAGTCGCCTACGCCATGAAGGAGTTGGTTTTTGGAAATTATGGGAAAAATGGAAGAAAATTTCCCGAAAATTTGCTGTAGCTGAAAAAACCGGGTAAAAATGGAGTTTAGAGCAAGCTCGCTCTATCGCCAATCAAAAAAGGAAGTTTTTCCTCGGACATTGGTAACGAAACGGACGTTTCCGGGCGGTTTTAGGGATCACTTAAGAGTACTGAAACTGCTAAAGTGGTCACTAGAAATGCACAGACACGTCCGGAGCACGTCCGTTGGTCCGAGCAGTCCTGCGAATGTCGGGGCATTCATAGGGACCACTTTAGTAGCGTCAGAACTCTCAAGTGATCCCTAGAATGGCTCAGAAACGTCCGTTGGTCCGAACGTTGACGCGAATGTCGGGGCTTTATAGGAACCACTTTAGTAGCGTCAGAACTCTTAAGTGATCCCTAGAATCGCTCAGAGAGGTCCGTTGGTCCGAACGTTGACGCGAATGTCGGGGCTTTATAGGAACCACTTTAGTAGCGTCAGAACTCTTAAGTGATCCCTAGAATCGCTCAGAGAGGTCCGGAGCACGTCCGTTGGTCCGAGCAGTCCTGCGAATGTCGGGGCATTCATAGGGACCACTTTAGTAGCGTCAGAACTCTCAAGTGATCCCTAGAATGGCTCAGAAACGTCCGTTGGTCCGAACGTTGACGCGAATGTCGGGGCTTTATAGGAACCACTTTAGTAGCGTCAGAACTCTTAAGTGATCCCTAGAATCTCTTGGAATCGTACGGAGCGCGCTTTTTTAAGATTATTGTTAGAGAACCTTCCAAGAGAAGCTCAAGAACTTGACTCTAGGAGGAATGAGGTTTTCGGCTTTTTCATGAAATTAGCCATGGAGCGCACAAAATATAGCTTTTAAAGTTGTTTTAAAATGAAAGTATTATTAGATTTTTCAATTTATAAACTCATACATAGGCAAGGTCGGAAAAAGTGGAAAAGGCTCCTTTTTTGCAGCCTTTTTGCGCCTTTTCATCGGCTTTTATGCACCATTTTTGCTGCCTTTTTCCACCATTTCTTGAGCCTAAAAACCGATTACCAATTTTCCTTTTCTTTAATGAGTGGGAGTATTAAGGGAAGAAGAGCTGGCCGAATTCGAAGAGCTTGAAGAGGAGTTGGCGATGGCCGAGGCTGGAACTATCCGAACGGATTATATCGTCTGTCGGGATCGCAATATTTACCTGGCCAAGTGGGACCCCTCTAGTTTGAAGAAATCATCTGGAAAATTCCAGGCTGAAGGAGAAGATTCAAACTTTGAGGACGCCGAGACCGAAATCAAACCTTCTTGCCCAGAGAGCGCCGTCCTCCAACGATTTGGTCATGAAGAAGCTTCAGGTTATAATTTTTTTTCGATTTTGTAGGAAATTTTTAAAAATACACGGCATTCCCCATGAGGCGAGGCGTCAAACTTTCTGAATTTAAAAAAAAAAGTATGTGCGCGCTCCGGACAAAATGACGTCATTCTATGTACACTGAGTATTCGACGTTAATAACTTGTTGTTCGATCGCCTTTGGCTGCGTACTTAAGATTCGAATTTTCGCGCCAAAATTTTTTTGACGTAACCTCACTCTGTTGGGGAACGCTGCGAATGAAATGAATGTCCCAAAAAGTTTCTAGAAAACATTTCAAAGAAGCAAAACTTATTTTCTGCGGTTTTAATTTCACCTGCTATCTTAATCTTTGTTTTTTCTTTTAAAAGAAATCAGACTAGGGTATTGTGTCAGCTGCAAAAAAAAAATTGAGAAGCTAGAAATCTCCTCGAAACTTCTCCAGCGCGTATATGTCCGCGCTCGAAGGCTTCGGCTGGCATCTGGCATCTTGGTGTAGTGGTAGTAGTCTTGTGAATAGTCCACGAGGTCATGGTTCGAATCCTTCTCGCGGAAATTGTTTTGCTGTCTCGTAGTTTGATCTTTTGCACATTTTTTTGTTATTTTGGATATTTTAAATCAAGAAAAGGCTATTTTTAACATTTTCCGTTGATTTTTTGGTTTACCTACCCTCAAATTCTTGATTCTCAACTCGTTTTCAAGTGGAATCCCTGCCCCAAGTCAGAACTTAAATCTATCGAATTACTCTTCGATGCACTCTTTCATGGCTACTTTAATCATTTTTTGACCTCTGAGGGGAAATAAAAAAGACGTAGAAAAATTAGAATGGTTCTAGTGGTGGATTATGGTATGTAGATTCGTTTACAAATCGTAAATTTTTGTTCATAAGTTCATCAAGATTATTTCCCGTCAACCAGTATAAGTCGTTTTTTTTGTGAACTTACTGTATTTAAAAGAGAGCAAAGACTGGGTAGGAAAATTTTAAAAATCAAAATTTCAACAAAACCTGGTTTATTTCCATAGTATTTCACTGACTTTCGGAATCTAAACTTTTGAAATCATCGCTTTTTTGGAATGAAGCCAAATAATGTAGTGAGACTGGTTCTATGAAAGTTTGTGAATTTAGAGATTGAAGCCCATTTTTCAGACAAAATTGAATATAATATGAATAATTTTTCAGGTCAAAAATGCGATTTCAAGCCTTGATCTCCGCTCATTCGGTAGCCAGTCCTCTCTGACGTCACTCGATTTCGGAGCGATTCCAGATTTCGGAAGCCCCCTGACTTTCCAGCAATCCAGCCCGTTCCAAAGGTTTGGAACATTTTCTTCAAATAGCTGGTTTTTTCATTTTGCAGGTCCAAAATCCCGCTCGGATCGTTCAGAAGTCCGAAGAAGGTGCCAAGCCGCGCGGCCACGCCCACAACTCGATGGAATTATTGATTTTTGCTCTTGTAAATTGGAAATACTAACCGCCCGCATGCTAAATTAACGCTAATAACTTTAACATTCGAAATTTTCTATCTTAACCTTATTTTATTGTAAATGAACCCAATATTGCATCAGATGATTTTGTAACTACTCTTGAAAATAGTTAGTCATTTTATTCCCTGGAATTCAAATATTTATTTCTGATGAACCTAACACTAATACTTCATCCTTGGCAAAGTCGGAATAGTGAATAATGGATGCAAATAGGCACCAGAAAGGCTGCAAAAAGGCTGCAGAAAGGCCGCAGAAAGGCTGCAAAAAGGCTGCAAAAAGAGTTCCTTTATCGAGCCTTCCATTTTTTTCCTGGATTTCAATGGCTCAATAAATGATGTATAAAGGGAGAAGCAGCAAAAATGTCGCAAAAAGGCAGCAAAAAAGGAACCTTTCTAGAGCCTTTTTCGACCCTTCCGACTTTGCCAAAAATCACTGAGAGCAAAATTATATCAATCTTTGTTAACCCATGACTCACTTAATAACCTAACCCATCTTCATAATAACTCACAGTAACCAGCAACTAATCCATCATAGCCCATTCTTATCACTCAATCGATTGCTCATCTACAAAAAGTGCTCTTTTTTTGTCATCGAATCGCTGTTGACTGAATCGAAATACGGGTCCCATCTCTGTACATATTTGCCAATTTTAAGTGAATTTATCAAATTGTTCCTTTTCAGTTTTTTTTTCTGTGCATAAATATTATTCATCGTTTATTCGGGTACACGAAAGAAGATGAAATAATTTGTTGAGTTGATGTGGTCCCAAATTGGAAAATATTGCAAACGCTTGAATTCTACAGAGCGCTTTGAAATTGGACATTTAACAGATTTTCCGAAGAACTCTTTTGAAAAATCAATAAAGTGGGTTGGATTTGATTTTTGGGGGTCTTACAGGAAATATATTTTGGATTTTCTTTCAAAGTTTATTATAAGTCATAGCTCGACTTCTAGGAACCTAGGAACTCAGAGACCTAGTTTTTCTTGACCTATTTAATCTCCTCTATCGATTGATACCAAATTTGATCAATTTTGAAATGTATGATATCGGAGTTTGATCGCCCATAACTTGATTCCTATTTGACCTACCGAGGTCAAAACTGGCCTCAGGTTATTTTCTCGACGAGATCTATCGATTGATATACATTTCGTCCAAATCGGCTTCCATGACCTCAGAAGCTCGAAAAAAACGTAAGGGGTTAGACTGTTCTTTTTTCGATTTCCCCGAAAATCAAAATTTTCCAGATTTTCACATCAATCGATAGGAAATGACGTCAGAAGCCCGAAAATTCAGGTCAAAGTCTTCTCAGACGCTTAGAACCAAAGTTATGATTTTTCGAAGTCTATTATTAGTCATAGCTCGACTTCTAGGAACCTAGGAACTCAGAGACCTACTTTTTCTTGACCTCCTTGATCTCCTCTATCGATTGATACTAAATTTGACGAATTTTGAAATTTTGACCTCCTAGTTTGATCGCTTATAACTAAGTTCCTATTTGACTTACGGAGGTCAAAACTGGCCTCAGGTTATTTTCTCGACGAGATCTATCGATTGATATACATTTCGTCCAAATCGGCTTCCATGACCTCAGAAGCTCGAAAAAAACCTAAGGGGTTAGACTGTACTTTTTTCGATTTCACGAAAATCAAAATTTTCCAGATTTTCACATCAATCGATAGGAAATGACGTCAGAAGCCCGAAAATCCAGGTCAAAAAGTCCCTAGGCTCCTAGGAAAAAAGTTATGGCTTTCCAAAGTTTATTATTGTTCATAGCTCGATTTCTAGGGACCTAGGAACTTAGAGACCTAGTTTTTCTTGACCTCCTTGATCTCCTCTATCGATTGATACTACATTTGATCAACTTTAAAATTTTTGATCTCTAAGTTTGATCGGCTATAACTTGGCTCTTATTTGACCTACGGAGGTCAAAATTAGCCTCAGGTTATTTTCTCGACGAGATCTATCGATTGATATACATTTCGTCCAAATCGGCTTCCATGACCTCAGAAGCTCGAAAAAAACGTAAGGGGTTAGACTGCACTTTTTTCGATTTTCCCGAAAATCAAAGTTTTCCAGATTTTCACATCAATCGATAGGAAATGACGTCATAAGCCCGAATATTCAGGTCAAAAAGTCCCAAGCCTCCTAGAAAAAAAGTTATGATTTTTCAAAGTTTATTATGGTTCATAGCTCGACTTCTAGGAACCTAGGAACTTAGATGCCTAGTTTTTCTTAACACGCTGTCTCCGTTATTCTCAAAAATTTGTAAAAGCAACGGGTACAATAAAAAAAATATTTTTTGATTCCGACGAAACTTCATCCAGTGGGATAACCCATCATCAGAAATGCGGACCCAACTTTTTGAGCCATTTCCTCTTACTGTAGCCGGGTTACGGTAGGCAGGTAGGCACCTGCGTATCTCAGTATTGAAGAATTTTCAGTAGACAAGCGATATATCAATCGATAGGTAATCCAATTTTAAGAACTTTTTACAGTACATATCATCTTGGGTTACGGTAGGAAAAATTTTTGAGTTACGGTACTTTTTTTGTGTCTTCCGAGTCAGTTCTTCGGCCACCACAAGCTTGAGCCGGGAGATCCATTCTTCCTAACTTCTCAAAAAGTTACCTTATGAGAAGCTGTACAAGCTATTACTAGTTTGAAAAAATCCTAGGTGGACCATCATTTCGAAAAATCGCCCCGAAGGCGCGCAATCGTGGTCTTGCGGCAGCCAAATGGGTGAAGTCCCTGATGCCTGACGGCTCATTTTTTACAGATCCATTCTAAATGTTGTTTCCATTTTACTCATACATGTCTATTATTGATTTTTATTTCAATTTTAGATGTTTTCGGGTTGACCATCATCTCGAAATTTCATTTTGAACCCAAATTTGGCCTAAAATGGCCGACTCGGCTTTTTTCACGGGATCCCTGACTCCGTATGTGACCGTTCTCAACTTTTTTCTTCCTTAAAAATGAACAAGAGTGTCTGAACAATAGTTGTACTACGATCGGAAATTATTTTGAGAGGACCATCATCTCGAAATCTCATTTTGAACCCAAATTTGGCTTGAAAACTTTTGGTTTACCCTTCTAATAAGATTATTGGTTCCATCAATACAGATCTTGGCCCTTTTCACTTTTTAAAGAGAATATAAACCTGAGAACTGAAAATAAATTCTATTTTGGATCAATTCCAAAATGACTGTTTACCTGGGAAACCCACTTTTAAATAAAATTTCGCTTGAAAATCGAAATATTTTTTTTTGGTTTCTTTTCACAAAAATAGTCACAAGACGAATGTCTTGTTTTTTTAGGTATGAAAAAAAGTCTGAAGATTCAGAACTACTATTTAGGTTATATTAAAAAAAACATTTATAAAACATCAGCTTGAAAGTTAAGTTTCAACCTCACCGGTGGTCAGAGTGTCGGGTTTTTTTCTTTTTTTCTACCCGTGAAAAAAAGCCGAGTCGGCCATTTTAGGCCAAATTTGGGTTCAAAATGAGATTTCGAGATGATGGTCCTCTCAAAAATAAGTTCCGATCGTTATACAACTATTGTTCAGACACTTTTGTTCATTTTTTTAAGGAAGAAAAAAAAGTTGAGAACGGTCACATACGGGGTCAGGGATCCCGTGAAAAAAAGCCGAGTCGGCCATTTTAGGCCAAATTTGAGTTCAAAATGAGATTTCGAGATGATGGTCAACCTGAAATCATCTCAAGTGGTAATAAAAAAACCATTAATAGATATCTATAAGTGAAATGGAAACAAAGTTTAGAATGGATCTGTGAAGAATGAGCCGTCAGGCGTCATGGACTTCCCCATTTGGCCGCCGCAAGACCACGATTGCGCGCCTTCGGAGAGATTTTTTTCGAAATGATGGTCCACCTAGGATTTCTTCGAACTTATACCAGCTTGTACAGCTTCTCATAAGGTATCTTTTTGAAAAAGCTAGGAAGAATGGATCTCCCGGCTCAAGCTCGTGGTGGTCGAAAAAAACTAACTCGACAGACGCAAAAAAAGTGCCGTAACTCAAAATTTTTCCCACAGTAACCCAAGATGGTATGTACTGTAAAAAGTTTTTCAAAATAGGATTACCTATCGATTGATATATCATTTGTCTACTAAAAACTCTTCAATACTGAGATACGCAGGTGCCTACCTGGCTACCGTAACCCGGCTACAGTAAGAGGAAATGACTCAAAAAGTTGGGTCCGCATTTCTGATGATTGGCTATCACACTGGATGAAGTTTCATCAAAATCAAAAAAAATTTTTTTTTTATTGTACCCGTTGTTTTTGAGAATAACGGAGACAGCGTGTTAATCTCCATGATCTGCTCTATCGATTGATACCAAATTTGACCACATTCAAAATTTCTGATCACTAAGTTTGATCGCCCATAACTTGGTTACTATTTGACCTACGGAGGTCAAACCGAGTTTTTCTCAATCTCCGTGATCTCCTCTATTGATTGATTTCAAATCTGACAATTTTCAAGATTTCGACCGTTTAGTTTGATCGCCTGTAACTTGGCCTATGGGAGCCAGTGGTCAAAACTGGCCTGCAGTCTTTGTTATCGAAGAGTTTTTTTTTTTCTTATTTTTGAATGAGAGAAAATGTTGTGGAGATGGGTAACCAGGGGTGACAAAAACGTTTTACAAAAAGCACCTGTCGATTTCGATTATTCGACATAAGTTTCTCATAGCTTTTCCTTCCTTTTTTCAGATTTATTTTTTATCGAATAATTTTTTTGTTTTTAATTGAAAGAAGTGTTTTTAAAGATCAAAAAAAAATAAAATATTCGATATCAAGGCTCCTTTTTATATATTTTTTTATTTATTCTGATTCTCAGGCGATCCGGGGCAGGTATTAGGAAGCTTTTGCTTTCCGTTTTTGGAAGGCTTTTGGAAGCTTTCCAGCAAGGGGTCCTCCCGCATATCTTCGCAACACCATCAACTGAAGAGGCCTGTTGAAAGCTTGTCGGGAGGCTTCTAGAAGTTTTCTTTTTTATCAACATTTTCATTTAATTTTCAAAGGGAAGAAGCTTAGAGGGTGCCCGCAGATTTCAGTGTTTTACCTTATAAGGACCCTCTTACTACCTTCTGAGCACATTCCCGATACCTTCCAGCTTCTATATACCTGCCAACAATCAACCTCCTTCCGATCACCTTTTCAGGATTTGCCTGAGTTGGGCGACTATGAATTTCGAGAATACAAGAGTACTTCAACTCTACTTAGGAACTCCAGAGTGGTCTCCTTAGGGGCCTTCTAGGGACCACTTAAGCAACCTCTAAAGCTTGCAAAAGTGGTCTTTATAAGGGTTTTCAGTTAGTGGCCTCTATAGGGGCCATGTTAGTGGGTCTCAGTTAGCAGCCTCTCATTCGCTAATAATTCCTGAACGAAGCATTTTTTTTAATTTCGTTCATTTCCCCACCGCCAAAGGGATAACTTCAATAAGAAAAAAGCCATGAAAAGGAGAAAAAAAAGTGATTTTTTTTATTGATCCTTCGAGAAATGAATATTTATTCAAGAACTATGACGATCCAACTTTCGATGGGCTCAATGGGCCAGAACGCGAGCTTCTGCTACAACGTCACCCGCGGGAAGGTCATCACCATTGAGTGCGACTATCCGTGGACCTACACCATGGAGGACTTGCTCTACCGATGTGGGATACAAAAAATAATTTTAAAAATGGAACTTTTTATAGCGATCAAATATAAATGAAAAAATCTTTCAGCACCACTGGGCGCCTTCTTCGAACTTGTCGAATGTCTGCTCCTTGGAGCCATGTGGTTCTGCAACATCTTCATTCGACGCGACTTCGCCGAGGCATTTCTATCAAGTGTCGCCGTTCCACTATCTCTTTCTACTGTCCTGAAACTCGCCTGCTTCGCTTGGAACATTCTGTTCCCTAGAGATGAGCTCAGGTTCGAGATTTTGCACCGTGCTACGACAAGAGCGAGTTTTCCGTTTGCGGGGAGTACTGTATGCAGGAATGCGCATTGAGTGCATACACTTTGCGTGTTTACACTTTCGTTGCGTGACGTCACCGGGTAGGACATCTCCGGGATTTTTGTTTCCGAGCTTTTTTTTCGAATATTTGTCAAATTTTTGGTTTTTTTTTTCAAGATTAAAATTTTTCTCGAGGATATTTGCACGATAAAAAACAGTATCAAGAAAAAAAATTGAAAAAAAATCGAAAAAAAAAACTCGGAAACAAAAAACCCGGAGATGTCCTACCCGATGACGTCACGCAACGAAAGTGTATGCACGCAATGCGCATATCCGCATACAGTACTCCTCGCAAATGGAAAACTCGCTCTTGTCGTGGCACCTTTTGCACATCTGAACTACAGAAGCGCTTCTGAATTGTACAAGTTCGAAAATGGTCAAAATCAAAGGAAATTCCTGATCTTCAAATTTTCAAACTTTCAGTGTCATTTTAGACATCCAAGACCCTACCTCAACTCATTTAATTCAAAAAAGCCTTTTTTAGCCCCTTTTGGTGCCTCAACTCATTTAGTTCACAAAAAAGGTGCTTGAATAATTAAAAGTCTCAGAAATTCACATTTCTCAACAACCTGCTCCTTGGCTAACTTGAAAACTTTTCCAGAGGCTGGATTATCAACATACTGTACTCGGTAACGGTAACCAGCGCTCAGCTCACACTGATGCAAGGACTTCCTGCCTACCTTTACATGTCGATGAAGATGGCGACGAGCCGGAAGCAAGATTATGGGATAACTACTTGGTGAGACCCTCGAAAAAAATTTAAAAATTCCTGCATTTCAGGCTACCCTACGCGTTCTTCATGTTGTTGAGCTTTCCGCTTTCCGGCGTAGTTTATTTAATGGCCGAGCCGATTTATTCAAAAGTTGCTCTGATAGCAATAATCGCCATATATTTGGTTTCCGCGGTCGTCATTCTTATCATGCTTGGTTTGGTAAGGATTTTCTGACATCAAAGGTTCGAAAAAGGCCGCAAAAAGGCAGCAAAAAGAGTTCCTCTATCGAGCCTTCTACTTTTCTGGGATTTTGAAGGCTCAAGAAATGGTGAAGACAGAAAAAATGTTGTATAAGAGCCGATGAAATGGCGCAAAAAGACAGCAAAAAGGTATATAAAGGCCGATAAAATGGAGCAAAAAGGCAGCAAAGTAGGAGCCTTTATCACCCTAAAGGGAACATTTATGAAGCCTTTTTTCACCCTTTCCACCTTTTCCTATGTCTCTTCCCTACTTCCCAAAAAAATATTATACATTTCAACAGTGCCTCGCGGCGTTTATATGCTTCTCTGGCTCGAACCGAGAAATGGACATGTTGGACCCGGTGGTGTACGACGGAAGGTCCCGACTCGGTTGGGCTGTTCTCTACGCGCTTCTCATCCCGATCTCTGCTGCTGGATCTATTTGTGAGGATTTCGGAAAGTTCAAAATACAGATTAAAAAGGAGGAAAGTTCAAAAAAAATCAAAGTGTTTTTTGAAAAAGAAAGTATAGCCTGTGTACCACAACTTGGAGTTTTCCCAAACGACATTCCGCTGCGCCGCTGCGCGCCTTTGCGAACCTTGGTCGCGTTTTTAATTTTTTTTTTTTTCTTTCATTAATGTACTATACTTTCATGGGCTCCCACAGCAATAACAAACAATTGAAAGCGTGACCTAGATTCGAAAGACGCATCGCGAACGCACGCAGCGGAACAGCGGAATGTCGTTCCGTGAAATTTCAAGTCGTGGCAGACAGGCACTATATCAACAATTATTCCTCAATCAAAAAGCGCAAAATCCCCTTCAAATCCTCTTAAATTTCAGTCTGCCTAGTCTCCCTGGCCTATTTCATCAACGACACCTCCGACTACGAAGTTTTGTCCAATGAAATGGCCACCCGAGTCTGGAGCTTCTTTTTCGGGCCAATTTTTCTACTTCTGACTTTCCTCATTCTACCATCCTATCGTGATGTTCTCTTGTGCGGTTGCAAGTTTCGGAAGTTCACGAAAAAGGTTTGAGATAGGAAAACTGAGAAAAAAGTATGCTGATCTCAAAACCATCTTATGGAACTCCAGAGTGGTCCCTATAAGGGCAAACTTAGGGGTCCTTGGAGGGTCCCCTTTAGGAGACACTCTACCAACGCTTATAGGGCCCACTAAAGCTTGCAAAAGTGGTCCCTTTAGGGACACGCTAGTCGATAATTGTTATGAACCTTAAGCGAAAAATCATGTGGCTGGTCTCAAAAAAACCTGGCCCTCTTTTAAATCGAAACTTCCAGGTGACAATCGCCGAACTGGCCGCACCTCACAATCCCCAAGTATTCTCAACTTCAAACAGCGCGTCTCCAATACAACCCATCCATGTGATTCTTTATACCTCCTTAGTTGAAAGATTCAAAATTTCAGAAACCGCCGCTGACGCCAATCTATTGATCGTCCGATGACGTCGTTATTTATTTTTTTTTTACTTTTTGGTTTTCTTCGAAACTAATAAAGTTGTGAAATGTGTGGGCTTGTCTATTGATTGGATGACATGTGAGCTAAGAGAACTAATTAGGGAGAGAGCAGACAATTTTCTGATTTCAATATACTTCCTCACTAACGATTCTCAAAATATAATATTTTCAAAATCATCTTGGGTACTGAGAACTTCCTTGAGGAAAAAAAGTGATGTGCACGTGAGCTTTTGCTTTCTTGCCGAGCATTTTCATAGAATTTAACTTTATATGACAGCCTATTACTAGCCCTTTTAAAATAACTAGAGGCCGTTTAGATGGATTCCTAGTTTTACTATTCAAAAATTCCCGAAAATGAGTTCTTCTGGAACACAGTGTAAGTTTGCAGAATTTTAATGATTCCCTAAAATTTTTTCAGGTCATTCCACAACTAACAAGAATGAAAGTACGATCGACGATCTCCTTAAGCCTTATATGAATTATATGAAGAAAAAGAAAACCCCTAAACCGGTAAGTGCTTTCAAACACTAATGAAAAACACTTAGGAATTTTAAAGGAGTTTAGGGATCAAACTCTTCAGCCCCTAAAGCTTAAGTGGTCCCTATAGGGGTCTTTAAATTTTTATTCAAAAACCTCATTTATTTAGTTTTTCGCATGGAAAGGCTTCTTCGCATAGAGATCATAAAAATTATCGATTAGCATGTCACCTAAAGAGGCCACTTTTGCAGTCCTTAGTGACCCTTATAGGGCACAGTGTTCCGAAAGAGACGGCGGCAAGCCAAAAAAAGGTCGTCGCAATGGGGCGAAAAAGCGAGTTTTTTCTAACGCAACGCGGTGCGGCGCGTGTCACCCCCACAAAATTTCATTCACTTTTTATACTGTTTTTTCTCTTTTTCTTGCGTATTTTACCATTATTTTGTATTTTTTTCACATTGTATGTGTTTTAAAACGTGTTTATCGCGTTTTCCAGAGATTTGAAGTGATTTTCGATTGTTCCCGTCACAGAAATTCGCATTAAAATGACATTTTTATGACAACTTATTTCGCATAAGATAGTTCGTTTGTTTTTTTGTTTTAGAGTTTTCAAATGGACTTTCTTAAGAGAAACGCTGTAAGATTTTTCTCAAAATTTTTTTTTCGAGGCAGTATTCGACGAATTTATTCTTGAAAATGTCATTTTGGGTGACAACTTTATTCGCACAAGCTATTATGTATCTGTTTTTTTGTTTTTAAAACGTTCAAATGGTATTTCTTAAGAGAAGTGCTTTGAGCTTTTTTTCTCAATTTTTCCCTTTGGAAGTTCGATTTGACGAGTTTTTCCTAAAAAAACGACATTTTTGGGAGATATTTTTGTTTTTGCAAAAAAACTTTTTTTCGTCTTTTTTTCTTCATTTAAACTTGTTCGTTATAATTATATACACATTGAAAATCTTTGAAAACTTGCGAGAACCTAGGAAAAACATTATTTAACGGTCTTTTTCCAACCAATAAATCCACAAAACTTGACTCTCATCCCCGCGCCCCTATTGCAATAAACCGTGCCGCTGTTGCAGTCAGCCACGCCTACTGACCACAGCTGCCGCTCGTTTGGGAACACTGTGAGAGGTTGGTATAGCTGATTCACGGTTAGCTTGGGACGCTAAGGGGCGTGGTCTCTCTGCACTCTCCACGATCCAGGCACTGTCTCGTGCATTATCGTGTCAGGACCCTTTTTTCGATGGCTCAACCGTGAATCAGCTATATGCCGTGTTCAAAGTAATTTCCGCGAAATGCGAAATGGTCTCTGACCCTCCAAAATTCAGTTATCTTTCTCTTTCTCTGACGGCTATTTTGAATTTCGCGGAATCACTTTGAACACGGCAATAAAGTGATTCCTAGAGGGGAGCCTGAAAAAATCCAATTAAAAATTATTGAAAATTTTCAGATTATAAACGACACTCCGCAGAAGAAGAGAAATCGCGAAGCAGCCAAGAAATATCGTGATAAGAAGGACAACTTGATCTCTCAACTCCGAGAGGTTGAGAATTTCGAGTTCAATTCGAAAAATGAAAAAAACTACAGCAAAATGAAACGCTGATGGCTTTGCTCAAACAGAAAGAGGGCGAAATCCAACAATTACGAGAAGAAGTTTGTTTTTTCTTGACTAAATAAGTCAATCAAGTTCGTTAAACCTTTCCAAAAATGTGTCTTGAAAATCTCATTTCAGAAGGAATTCCAGTGGTGTCAATGCCTGATGACTCAATCCCGAGTGGTTCAAATGTCCGGAAATAACACGACTGATCCCATCGCCAACCTTCCGCTGGAATCTTTCGGGGTGGGGCCGTCGGAAGAGGCTAACCCCTCGGAGCAACACTATTGAACTATATAACTGTTTCTTTTTGAATAAATATGCCGGTTCTAAAATGAGAAAGAGACAAAAAAAACTCGGATGTGCGGAAAATGGGTGCAAAATGGCCACTAAAAGGGTTCCGTTTTGCGGCCTTTATTGAGCCTTTCTTTTTTTGGTGAGCCTCAAAAAAGGGTGAAGAAAGTTTCGTCCATCGATGATTTCCGATTTTATTACTGTAGCACCATTTGGTTCATACAATTCGAGCATTTTCAATTTTTCGGTATTTTCGAAGGTACTCGACCATCACAAAACATGAAGATGATAAAAACGCAATCTTCATTCAAATTACGAGATCGTTGGAGGAAAAATTGTGGCAGGATCTGCAAGAGGTGATATTCCGATGAAACAAAGTTATTGAGAAGTTTAGAATGGACAAAAGTGAGTCCATGTTCAATCTGCCAATTTTTCAGAGTCAAAAAAATTAATCAAGAATATTCAAACATATTTCGATAATCAACAGAGTTTTCTCAAGTGTTGGACAACGATAGTACAAGAAAAAACGATGGATAATACATGGAAAATGCAAATATAACACATTATTCTGGTGACATCTTTTTCCAGAGGCCGAGGAACCTTCTGCAGTTGTTCACAACTTCAGGCGGCATTTTATACGGCGGCATATAGTCTTCCAATAAATCCATCGGCCAGTTGTCTTCGACAGCTACTGCGGCAAAGTCTTGCAGTTTGAACGGAACTCCGCCTGAAAAATGTTTTTTTGTACGGTACTCGTGAATAGCTCAAAATATAGACTGTTTGATTGATTGGAGTGTTTAAAAGCTATATAACCCATTCCACGCCAGCTTGCCAAGATTTTCCTTTTCTTTCCGAGCTAGAACTCCATTCAAAGAGCGCGTGATTTTTTTCTGCATGGGTTTTGAATTTGGCCTAAAACTTTAGTTACATTAAAGGCGCACGCAGAGATAAATATTGCGCGCATCGAAGGGAAGGGTTCTGTAGCTCGGATGAAAAAAAAAACGAAAAGTTTCGCTTCGAGACCTTTGTTTTTTGCTGTCTTTTAGCAGTTTTGTAGAGTAAAAGTTTGTATTCACGATAGCTTTTTCTTTTATTTTTTTTTTAAACGTGGCCGACTCACCGTGAACGCACTATAAAAATATTTCTTGACTCAAAAAAACACTGAAAAATTTTCTTTGCGTCAGTTTCATTTTAAACTTTGTGAGCTTCTGTGTAAACTTCAAAAATAGTTTTTTGAGTAGATAATTACAAAAAAATTCGTGATATTTTTTAGCAAGCGATTCTGTAAAGATTGAGAAAACTGTTGAAAAAAAAATAAAAGTAGTGAGAGAAAATGAAAATCTTGGATGAGGGAGAGCATTGTACCCAGAACCGATTGATATAGTCAATGTTTCCCGACTTGAAAGGCGAGGGAGGCGGGGCAAGGGGCGGGACGCGTAGCGTGCGCGTTCGCGGTTCTTGGCGCGAGTTCAATTCAATTGCCGCCGACTATTTAAAAAGCTCGGCAACCGTTTTTTTCTCTATGTTTTCTACTAGTTTTTGATGCACACATGAACATAATCAATAAATAATTGAAAAAGGAATAGAAAGAGCGAAAAACGGGCTTTTCAAAGAGTCGATGGCGGTTGAATTGAACACTTGCCAAGAACCGCGAGCGCACACGTTACGCGTCCCGCCCCTTGCCCCGCCTCCCTCGCCTTTCAAGTCGGGAAAAATTGACTATAACAGGAAAATGTTTTTTTTTCCCCCGAATTTCTTCAAAACCGCACTGAAATCGATGAGGGGTTCGTATCCCGGCGTTCCAAGGACCAAAGTTTCCCAAACGCTGTGCGTTTTTCTGTGGATGTAGAGTCGCGCTCCGCACTCGAGAAGGGCTCGAACATAATTCCAGCGCCTGAAATTATTGAAATGACAACAAAAACGTTGAGAACGCCAACTCTTTGGAAAGGTAATAGTGGAGTTTGACGGTAGAGGAGGGCGCAAAAGGGCGAAGGAGGGCCGAGAGAATCGGCCGTCCCTTCACATTTTTCGCATGCACATTTGCGCCATGATCCACAAAGACTCGAACCAATTCGGGCTTTCTGGAAACCGATTTCGCTCTATTTTTCAAATTGCTCACTTACAAGATGAACAGTAACGAATGAAACACGGAAACTTTCAGCTCGAGGGTTATTTCGATGAATCGAGCCAACTGAAAGAGAACAATTGAAAAGTTTCGATGTTGACGAAAACACTCACATCAAGTCGTACAAGGCGCAATTCGTACTCATTCGTAAAATCGAATCCAAGGGTATGAATCTGAATCATTTTTTTTTTTAGTTGAAAGAAATCACTGTGATAGGTTGTTAGGCCCTGGCGAAGAATTTTTTTTCTCCATTCGTTCAATTTGATCAAACAGCATGTTGGGCAGTTGAAAGTTGAACCTTACTTCAAATTGACTGCTTTTTTCGTGTCAGGACCCATTTTTCGATGGTTCGCGGCTGGCTTGAACCATCGAAAAATGGGTCCTGACACGAAAATAAAAGAGACGAGCCACGCTTTTTTTCCTACCAAACTAGCCGTGAATCGGCTATAACTGTTCAACATGCATCCAAAACCGTTAAAAAAACCCGGAAATTATTCAAAGCTTCGTAAAAGCAGAAAAAGTATTGAGAAAATGAATTATAACACACTCAAAACAGCAAAAAACTCTTTTAGAAAAATTTTTCCGCTATTGTTCTTGATTTGTTTTAATTGACTCAAAAAGAAAAAAGCAAAAATCACTAAATTCAATTTAAGAAAATTTCAAAAGAGAAACCCGGAGAAGTGTTCAAATGATATGAATACCACAAAAGCCAAACAAATTGAGCAAAAAAACCGGCGGCAAAATGAAAATATAAGAAACGACCACGGAGAGATTGCGCGAAAAACCGATTTCGAAGCAGAATTTTGAGCCCAATTTCCCTTACGCAAAACAATGTTTGATCAAATTGAACTATCTATTGGAAGGGGGGGGGGGCTTCAACTGACATGGCATATGGTTTCGATAGCGAATTCGGCCATGTGTCTGGCCCAATCTCGCATTTCACGAACTTGCAACTCAGCATGCGGACCCTGGAAACATACATTCCTGTGCCTGTCATTCCAGTGTACAAACTTCCTCCATAATCCCAATAATCACATTGAAGAAAGTACAGGCGGTCATGATCGTGAACTGTACAGTCTCGCCGTGCGGAGTTGTACCTCTTCTCAATTGAGGGACCAAGGTCCGAAGCTGGGCCACAAATTTACTTATTATCGTGAGGATCAGTTCGGGTTCGAACCTCAAAATAAAGGATATCTTAGGAAGAGAAAAGTGATTTCTTTAACTTACTCAAAGCACACTGAAACCACGTAGTAAAACATGAAGTTATGCCTGCAAATCAAAAAATGGATGTCCGAGCGCTGATTTCATATAGTCGATTCACGACTTGGGACGCGAAAGGGGCGTGGCCTGTCTGCGCTCTCCACTTACTAGGCACTATCTCTTTTATTATCGTGTCAGGACCCTTTTTTGATGTCCCAAGCCAGCCGTTAATCAGCTACAGTTCAACATTTTTATAGACCGATCCGCGCCAGATTTTCACGATTTCCTCTTTCCTCTGAGCTACAGAAACCTTCCCTTCGATGCGCGCGATATTTATTTCTGCTTGCGCCTTTAATATAAGGGAAATTTTAGGCCAGGCGCTTCAAACGGCATGATTCTCTAGCTAGGAGGGAAACAAAAATTGTGAAAAGCTGACGCGGAATGGCCTATATTGATTATAAACAGCTACAGAGTGCTCAAAAACACATTCTCGTGGCATTTCGGCACAGTTCATTTTATAAAGGTCTCGAGGAGAAGATCTATTTCCAATGTTCTTGCCACACTTCTGCTGCGCCCTCAAAAGCACAAGCAAGGCTTTTCGAACAGCCAATACATTTACGTGAGTTTTTTTTAAACGAACTCCCAGAAAGATTGCTCGCGGAACCTATCCCTTCCAACTTGGCGGACAAGTTTCAGACGAACGTCCCTATTTCGTTGGCCGAGGATCCTTTCACGCATGAGCAAACACTGAAAAAATTGGATTAAATTAGTGCCACTGGAGAAATTCTTTGAAATTAAGGAATAACAAAAACCATTATTCACCAAAAATTAAAATTTTCGGTCGCATTTTGAATGGATTGAACGTAGTGAGTCAAGTAAAGGAACAAATAGCGGCACTATCAAGTATTTCGTTCGAAACTTCATAGAAGTGACCTTCCAAGGACACCCTGATTCAAAATCCAGTCAAAACACAGCGCCTTTCGGTTTTTGAAGCAATATGACGTCTCAAATTGTTTAATTCAATCGCTGCAAAAAGAGGGCTTTCTGGTGTCATAACTTTGAAAAAGACGATATTTCTCGACTGATTTTGTAGAGGTCTATTTATGAATACCTTTTAGCCAAGTACATAAGAATCATTCCAACAAGAACTTGTGAAAAAGCCTCTAATATATTGGCCTTTCGCATCCGTTGAGCGAATACGTCATAATTTTTGCGAAATGAGTTCTACTGCCGATCACTCGGCGTTTTTTTTTTAATGTTTCGGGTGATTCCCTGAACTTAAACGGGGGTTCGGCGCGTGAGTTGGGCCTTTGCATAGATCCGCTGGACTTGAACGGAGCCTACATGCGGCTAAAAATTGCGTTTCGGGTGTTCTACGGGTACTACTGGCAATCTCCCCGTGTTTTTTTTTAACGTTTCGGGTGAACCCCTGGGTCTAAACGGGGGCTCCGCGAGTGAATTGAGCGTAGACCCAATGGCCTAAAACGGGAGTCTATGCGCGGCTAAAAAAAAAATGCGTTTTGGGTGCTCGGTAGGGGTTAAACGGGTGCACCCGCGGCTGCTACTAGCTAACACGAAAAAATACGCCATAATTTCGCGAAACAGCCGCGTTAAGGGTGCTACTGCCATCATCCGGTGGTTTTTAACATTTCGTGTGATCCTCTGGACTTAAAAGGGTCTATGCGCGGCTAAAAATTGCGTTACGAGGGCTCGGCGGTAGCATCCGCGGGGGCTACTGGCCAAGAGAAGATGAAATTGGAACTTTCCAAGATCAATCACAAATTACATTCACGTGATGCTATTTTTTTCAAACGTCACACAAAAAAGGACTTGGTAGATGCAGGTGGTCCGTTTCTTTTCCATTTCTTGGATGCCTTCCAAATCACGGGCTTCGCGCATCCAGTGATAGGCCCCGTTGGGCGGAATCTCGTCTTCTTCCTTCAAACATCAAATTTCCCTTTTTTTTCGATTTTCGGAATGAACATTTAAAGCAGGTTCCATAAGTATCGCTGCTTTGAGTTTATTGAAGGCAGTCTGGTTCCATCTCATCACACACTGAGTGGCGGATCGGAGAATGATGGCGTCTTTTCTCATTTTCGGATCTTCCACATATTCCACCAAAAAGTCGTAAACTGTTGACTGAAAAATGGATGAATTTATTCAAATTTTGCAAGAAAGAAGTTGCCTCGCGTAGGAATATAGCAGCCATGAAAAGGGGATTGTTTCCTTCATCGTCGTAGGTTACTTTTGCTTTTCTTTTCGCCAATGCCTTGACATGAGTGATATTGTTATCCTCTACAGCGAAATGAAGCGCCGTTTTTCCTGAAACGAAAATTTGGCGAACTTGCAGAAAAACTTCAAGCAAGCCAAAAAAACAGATAATTGAAGTTTTAATTTTTGGGTTTGCCAGTTTACAACAGGGTTGCCACGAGAAGTGATTTTCTGAAAACGAGATGAAAAAAATTTCACAAAATGTCTAGAAAATGAAGAAAGAAAATTCCAAAGAAGATCGAGGAAAAAAAAACTATGTGAATGAAAGAAATACTTGAAAAGATCAAAAAAAGCATATAGCCCGTTCACGGCTTGCTTGGGACAGCGCACGGGCGGTTCGACTTGCGGGACAAAGGTAGATCACGGTGACTACCCATGCGCCTTCCATAAAAGGCCCATTTTATAACTTATTTCTTTTTTTATTTAGTCTTTAGTCTATTTAAAGAAAAAAACCTGAAAACTAATAAAATGAGTGTAAACAAAAATAATTCACTAAATAAGGCTTTTATTAAAGGCGCATGTAGAGCCGCCATTATCTACTTTCGCCGCGCAAGTGAAACCGCTCATTCTCATTTGCTGTCTCAAGCCAGTCGTGAAAGGGCTATGGAAAAGAAACAGAAAAAGATGAAAGTTCGAAACTAATCAATAGTTTCAAATTTATAAAAAAAAAAGCGAAACTTGCAATTTCAGATTTTTTTTGTTGTAAAAAAACCGTTTTTCGAATTTTATCGACCATTTATGTCGGTTTCTCCGTCGAATTTTGAATTGCTTTGCTCTTGGTGCATTGGGATCATCACATTTTACGCCAAACTTTGGTTTTTTTTTCTCCATTCTGTTTATTTTCAATCTCGGGCAACCCTGATTTACAAGTGCTTTTTCTTCAAAGTTCCTAGACCCTCAAATAACCACTTTGAGTGGAACCTTTCGGGAATCTTTTCCAGCTTCCAAGGAAAAAACTTCGAAATTGTAGTATTACCACTTGTCGTGGTGGCGTCCACTGAAAGTCCTCTATTGACTAGGTAGTGAAAAATGTTTATCTGAAAGATATCTCCGATGGTAACATTGAACAAGTGGAATTCTACCAAAATTGGACTGTAGAAGTAATCAGCCAGCATCAAACACGTTATGCGTTCTCCATCCCTCTTCGTCCTCTGTTGGACGTCTGCGCCGGCCTCACATAATCGAATCACTTCAAATAGAACGTGAAAATCAGTTGACAAGAGTAGCCAAACCTTCTTTGAAATTAGCTTTGACCACAGCAGCAAACAACGGTTCTGGGGGTAAATAAACCTCCGGCTCTTGCTTAAAAACCACATTTTTTTTTTGCTTCTTTGACATATGCGTTTGAAAATAAGTTCATTGGGTGGCATTCCCGGTTTCTTTATTTGAAATACTACTTCTGATGTCTTGGCTCCGCCAATTCAGCTACAAAAAAAAAAGTTTGAAAGAAAGTTTATATTGAGATATTGCCAAACGGCGACTAAATCGTATGTATCCGCTAATTTTCTAACCAGAAAAAAAAACTCTTTTGCTGCGCACATCAAACAAGCTTCGAATACGGTATATCATAAGTTTGCTAGCTCCAAAAAGGTTCGGAAATCCTTGCAGGGATGTTTGAAGGTTTTAGGGTCATCTCCTGAACACGGCTCTGCGTCTAGAGATTTACAGCCCATTTCGCGGTTGTCACGACTTTTTTTTCTTTCTCCGAGCTACAGTGCACTTTTTTTTCGATACAAGAGGCTTGTCCTGGTGTGTGCGCCTTGAACATAACGGGACTTTTGAGCCTAAAAAATCATAACAAGCCGACGCTGAATGGGCTTTAGTCTGAACAGATTCTAAATGTTAAGCAGATAACTCCGCCTCTTATGGCTACAATACCTTTCGCGTCAATATTTTATCGCGCGCTACGATGATCTTATAATAATGCTTCATTTTTCATTTCTTTTTCTAACTGTCAGATCAAAAAAAAAATTTTGCATTATTAAAGGATCATCGTCGCGCCCCCTAAATTATTGACACAAAAATTATTTAAGCCATGGGGACGCAGTTAGTTACTTGAAATTCAAAATCTGAACAGACTATATACGAAAACCTTGCACGCTTTCATAAACATCTCAGCAAGGTTTTTGTTCCCAACAAACCATTTTGAATCCCTGTATTCACGTAAGGCCAGTTATTAACACACGAAAAGTTAATTAATTGCCTGAATAAACTCCACAAATTGTCTAGCAGCGAAAAGATTCTTACCTGAGGTTTAGGCTCAGCAACGTTACTAGGGTTATCCCGCTGAAAACTTGTAGAGTCTTCTTTAACGTTGAAAGTCAGCTGCAAATAACATCGAAATCGAAAAATAACGAACACATTGTCGAAATTGAATAGGAAATGAAACTTGACCGCTCGGAATCCTTTTAAAAAAATTATAAGATGACCAAAGTCGGAATTTTGGGGTCACACAAAAAGATACGATCAAGTGGCAATGAAATACACATATAACTCGCATGCTGAGCAGGTGTCTCAACGGGTGTACTCGCATGCTGAGCAGGTGTCTCAACGGGTGTACCCGTATTAAACCCGTGTTTCTGAGGTTATTTTAGTCTCAGTTGGGCTAAAACGGGGGAACAACGGGTGTAAGAAAAATAGGTAACCCAGCTGGGCTAAAGCGGGGTCTCAGTTGGGCTAAAAAGTGCCAAAAGTTCTATCAGCTGGGCTTATACGGGTTTAATACGGGGGCACCCGCGGAGACCCCGTGTTAGCACGGCGGGGTTACCCTGCTCAGCATGCGAGTACCCGTATTAAACCCGTGTTTCTGAGGTTATTTTAGTCTCAGTTGGGCTAAAACGGGGGAACAACGGGTGTAAGAAAAATAGGTAACCCAGCTGGGCTAAAGCGGGGTCTCAGTTGGGCTAAAAAGTGCCAAAAGTTCTATCAGCTGGGCTTATACGGGTTTAATACGGGGGCACCCGCGGAGACCCCGTGTTAGCACGGCGGGGTTACCCTGCTCAGCATGCGAGATAAGTATACGTTTTAAACTGATGATCAAAAATACAAAAGAGAAAATTTTTGAACGAAGATCAAAAAAAAAAAATCAAGTCTAATAGGAACGGGTCTTGAAAGGAAGAGCCGCTATTCAAGGCGCACAAAGCTAAACGTTTTATTATTCGATCTTTCGATCAATCACCGCAAAATGTGATTTTTGGAGTTTTCAAGCTTGCTAGTCAAAGATATGTTTCATCAAATGTTTAATTGAATGCGCCATAGATGCAATATATTGAGAAAATTTCTAATGCCGTGTTAAAAGTAATTTCGCGAAATGCAAAATGATCGCTGACCCTCCAAAATTTAGTTATATTTTTCTCTGAAAGCTATTTTGCATTTCGCGAAATCAAATTGAACACGGCATGAACTTCGGATTACTTCACTCGATAATTTAAGAAGACAATTTTTCGGAACTCATGATGAAGATATTTTGAAGTGTTGAATATACCACTAATTGAATTCGTCTCAACGCGATCTTCATTCAATTTACCAACTCACCGTCATCTCAGAAATTTCCATATTTGAATTCAAAGATAAACCTCGGCAAGACCCGATTGAACAAAGTAGAAAGGAGAGAACAAGGCTGTAGTTCAGCATTCCTCATTAACATATTTTACACATACGACGAGTTAGCAATCAAATTGAACGATAATATTCAAACATATTTCGAAAGAATGGAGAATAATCAACAAAGTGTTTCAAATTATTGGTCAACAATAGTACAAGAAAGCAATAAATTGCACATGAAGGTTATGATCCTGACGTCTATTTCCAAAATCCAAGAAAGTCTCTACAGTTTTGTACAACTTCAGGAGACATTTTATACGTCGGCATGTGTTTTTCTAAATATTTCATCGAAAGGTTTTTTTCGACAGCTGCTGCGGCAAGGTCTTGCAGTTTACTCCTCATTGCGCCTGAAAATATATTCTCGTCTTAAAATAAACACGAACATCTGATTAAGTGAAATAAATCCTGGTCAAAACATTCTTATTTGGATGTTTGAAGACAGAATGAGTCTTGTTTGGCTTGAAAAAACACTGAAAAATGTTCTCAATGTTTTTTTTTATTCATCTTCATTCAAGCTCCAATTTTTGTGAGCTCTTTCAAAATCTGTAGAAAGTATTACAGCCTTATGTCCTGATTTTCGTTTCCTCCGAGCTACAGAATCTTTCCATTCGATGCGCGCGGCCTGTTTCTGTGTATGCGCCTTTAACTTAGCCTGAATTCCCGTTATATTAAAGGCGCATGCACAGATACGGCCGCGCGCATCGGAGGGAAACAAAAATCATGACAATCTGCCGCGGAATGGGCTATAAAAAACAAAGAAAATCAAAATTTTAAAAAGTTTCAGCCTAAGTTGTCATTTTTTTCGCAAATCATTAGTACTAGAAATAAGGAAAATGAACTCATTACTTTTTTTTTAATATTTCAATTTAAGGAGTATTTTAATTCAAATTTCCCCTCTGATCATCATCTGTATGTGGCCACGTTTGAAGGAATTTTTGTCTATTTAATCCTGGCCAGAAAAAAAAACCTTCTAAATATTTCTTTTCATATTAAAAAAAAAGTTACGGATTTTATTTAGGAACAGAAAGAAGCCGTGAATCTCCACGAAAAAGTCCAAAACCATACTGAAATTGATGAGCGGACTGTAGCCTCTCGCCGCCTTCAAAACTTCGTAGACGCTGTGTCCATTCTTGCGGACGAAAACCCGCGCTCCTTTTGCGACCAATTCGCGGACCAAAGGCATATAACTTAAATCAATAATTTACGAGAAGAAAAGAAGATATTTTAAACTCGATATGGACGTAATAAGGGTTAGATTGCGCAGATTGAGCATCGTAAGGCAGGAGAAGAGCGGCCAGAACAGTTTCCCCTTGTTGATCTTTGGCATAGATTTTGGCTCCTTTCGAGAGAAAAAGTGGGACCAAGTGAGACTTCCTGAAAATGCCAATTGTCTCGTTCTATCTTGAGAATTTTCAATTACGCGACAAATTTCAACGAATGGAAAATCGGGACCTTCAGCGCATTGGCGGCTTTGACGAAGCGGCCCAACTAAAATACTTTGCTTAGGATTTCAGAGTCACAAAACTCACGTCAAGTTCCAAATATTCTAGTCTTTTCACGTCCGTAAAATCGAGGCCGATGGTATCGATCTGAATGAAAAGTTATATAAAACAACTGGACTAAGCATATTTTTTTAATATCTTCAACTATTGGACCAGCCAGGAGAAGGATTTGAAAGGAATAACTTTCACAAGGTTACGCTAATCAAGATTTTTGGAGCATTTTTTAAAAATCGGCTCACAAAATCGGCTTTTCAATCGTTTCTGCCACACTGGAGCACATAGCGCAAACTGTCGAGCATAGAAATAATATAAAGAATATAGAATTTCGGGGGACGATTCCCAGAATGTCGTTCCTAGTGAAGAAAAATAGAATAGGTCGAATAAAGCAGCTCCATTTCAAAATAACAAGGCTCTAGCATTTTCCGTATGAAATTAGCGTTAAAAAGGTTTGATGCGAGCCCGGCGCTGACAGAGTGAAATGCGCGCCAAAGGCTCGGATCGATACGACCGCGGCGCTAGAAAACACGTAATACGTGATAAAATCCCTTTTCTCTAAATTTGACTCATAACCTGGGAAAATGTGCAATTTCTTCCTTGTTTACATTCTAAAAAATGTTGACTACAATATTATAACTGATTCACGGCCAGCTTGGGACGCTAAGGAGGCGTGTCATGTCTACGCTCTCCACGAGCCAGGCGCGTGCATTATCGTGTCAGGACCCTTTTTTTCGATGACTTAAGTTAGCAGTGAATCAGCTAACAAATCGTTTCAAAGATCAAATTCTCTCTGTTCAACGTCTAAACGATACAGTTCTTAAAAATTTCCTGTTTGAAGAATTTTCTAGTGAAGTAGAGGCCCATGAGCCTGTGAAAACCGTGAAACAAACGCGAAAAATCAAATAACAGTTCAAAAAAATTTTCCTGGGGCGTGTAAAGTCTTACATGACCCCAACAAAGACTTAAGCGACCTTTGCAAAATTCTAAAAATGGGTTTAAATAATTTTTTTGTGCTTTGAAGTCGAAGAGCACGTGTCTAACAATGAAAAATTCAAACAACAGTTCAAAAAAAATCTTCTTATGACGTTTAAAGTCTTCAATAACCCCTAAAAAAAACTTGAAGCTTTTGCAAAATTCTGAAAAATAAATAAGTTCAAATAATTTTCTTGTGCTCATAAATTGAGCCGCATGATTCTAGCCGTGAAACAAACGCAAAAAATCCAATAATCGTTTAAAAATAAATTTTAAGACGATTCAAATTTTGCATGACCCCAATAAAGACCGACTAAAAAAGAAACTTTGCAAAATTCAAAAAAAAAAAGCCTTGTCAAACATAAAAACAGACTGAAAAAAGCAAAAACCTTGCAAATGATTTCCAGACCGAATTCGATCAAGGCTTTGCACCAATCATAAAAAACAGTTTTTTCCGTATCTTGGGGAGCCTGAAATAATCACGAATGGTCGCTTTATTTCATCCAGCGAGCAAACTTTCTCCAAAGTTTCGGTAAGAATTACGAGCACATGGGAGCAAAGAAGACGCAAAGTGTGTTCAGTTTCGTAACGGATTTCATTGTTTCTGACACCGAGGATCAAGGCTCGAATCCGTTCGACTAAGTGACTGAATATCGTAACGACCGCATCAGGATCGTGTCTGGAAAATTTATGAGTTCAAAGTGAAATAGGCTTTTTAAACATACTTCAAGTTCAAAGATATCATGTAGCGGATCAAGGGTCTCTCTCTGTAAACGAAAAAATGTTTTAACAGGGATTTTTTAGTATATTTTTTCATATCCAAAAAAAGTGGGACGAACCGCGCGAAAGCTTCCGACGAGAAGGGGATTCGGCTAATGTACGAGAACAGTTTGTGGCGAACTTCCGGATGATCCCGGCCAAGAATCCTTTCGCGTATGATGAAACACTACAAGAATGTTTCACAATTCAAGTAAATCTTACAAAATGAGCAATAGCTGATCCACGACTCGCTTGGGAGCGTCAAGTTGGGACTTAAAAAGGCGTGGTCTCCACTAACCAGCCACTGTCTCTTTTATCGTCGTGTCAAGACCTATTTTTCGATGACTCAAGCCAGCCGTGAATCAGCTCATTTTTAAGAGAAAAAGCTTTGGAAAAAGTTTTGAATTTTATCAAAAAAAAATTTCACCCTTTTTAGTTGTTTATTCAGAGTTTCTGTTGATCTTCAAGTGGAAAAATAACCAAAAATGTGGTTTTTGTCGTGAGAAAATTTGACAGTTGACTTGAAAAATCAGAAATTTTTGGACCGGTTGCTTCTGCTTGAGGCCTCCCTAGGGCCGGGTCGGGCTTAGAAAATGGTGGTTCATAGGCTAACGGGGCCCGGCCCTGGCATAAGCCTGTCTAAAGTCAAAAGGAAAGTGTTCCTCGCGCATTTTTTTTTTTTCTGAGACAGTGGTCACTCAAGTGGTGTTAGCAACTCTTAAGTGTTCCATTGAAATGGCTAGAATTCTCCCGCGAGCCTTATCAAGTTATGAAACTTTGGAAGGAAACCTTTCTACCGCAAAAAACGCAAAAAATTGCCAAAAAGCGCTATTTCAAGCTTTTGAAGCGTTCTAACTGGAAAATAAGACCTAGCGCGAGAAATTTTTTTGGCCAGAAAGCTAAAAAAATTTTATCCGCCTCGCCAACATTGAAAATCGTTGTATAAAAATGTTTTTCCTTTGTGTTTTTTTTTAATTCCACTGCGTATACAACGTAAAAGAGCACTTGATAAACGCTGTAGGTTTGGTCGCGGTCCATTCGTCGGCATTCTTCCGAAGTACGTGCTTCACGGATCGAACCGTAGGCCGGATTTGGTTCAGGGTCGTCTTCTTCCTTCAAATTATTCAAAAAATTTACCGCCTGCGAATTTCGAAAAGAACCTCAATGACAGGCTCCATGAGGATTGTGTTCTTGAGATCACGCACAGAATTATCTAATCTATTCAAGTAAATCGTGGTTTCCCAGAGAAAAATGGCGTCCTTCGTCATTTTCCGATCGTCCAACGCAGTGTAATTTATCAGATGATTGTAAATCTCAGGCTGAAGAATTGATTTATAATCTAACCTCAAAAAAAAACTTACATGAGCCGTGTTCATTGCAGCAACAAATAACGGATTATTTCCCTCACCATCCACAACTATCTTCGCGTTTTTGCGAGTCAATAATTTGACGAGAGTAAAATTACTTGCCTCTACAGCTAAATGGAGAGCCGTTTGGCCTGAAAGTTTCCAACCGATTCGCATTAGTAATTCAGAATTGAAGGATATAGTTTACCAGTCAGCGTGAGGGCGTCCACTGATAGCCCTTCGTCGACCAAAAAATCGAAAATGAGGTCCTTAAAATTATTTTAAAAGTAACTTTGATGGAAAGAGGTTTAATACCGCATCAAAATGGTCAGGGGTGAAGTACTGAGGCTGCATTATACACGTCAGACCTTCCGTGTTTCGGTCTGTAACTCTCGCGCCGTTCTCCACGAGTCGTACCACTTCAAACCAAAAATTGATATCCGTAGGGGGAAATAACCCTACCTTGGTCGTAGTCGCCATTAGCTACAGCATTGAACAACGGTAATGGGGGACCACTTAGGCGCCGACTCATCTCTACAATTGTGAAAACTTCAAAAATTTCTTATCACACATTCAATGGTACGCTTAGAAAAAAAAGTGAAAAAAAAATTGAAATTTTGTGGTCATTGAGACGTTCCCGCTTTGACCTATCATAAAATTTGTACGAAGAAAATTTTAATGCTCAAAAAAAATCATCCGATCTAAGCTTAGCTTCCCCCTAAAGTGCATATTGATGTTCTTTTCTATATATCTTGCTTCTTGCTATCAGGGGAATTAGATTTTCTCGAAAAAAAATTTCTGAAATGCTTGAGGCCCGCAATTATTCCATGGCCTGAGTTCGAATTCAAATCGACGAAAAGAGAGGCGAATGAACAATCTCGACATCACGAAAAAAGGCTGAAATTTGAAAAAAAAAAAACGGATTTCTTTGCGAGGTGCATGCACTAAGAATAACTGACGAGATAAACGCGAGCTCGGTGGCGGTACATTGGCGAACTCGCAAAAATGTCGCTTTTTTCTAGGCGCGATCCCGCATTTCTCTCGGCGCGACCTCGCATTTTTCACGGCGCCATCTCGCATTTATCTTGCATTTCGGAAATTTTCAAATTGCGAGAGAAATGCGAGCTCGCGTCTAGAAAAATGCGAGCTCGCGCCCAGACTAATGCGAGACCGGCGCGAGAAAAAAAGCGAGATGTTTGCGAGCTCGTCAATGTACCGCCAGTGTCTCGCGTTTATCTCGGCAGTTATTCTTAGTGTGTCATCTTTTTTTTTTATTTAGGGCGTAAAATTAAATGTTGGCGGAGCAATCACGGTGACGCACAACATGATCTCGGGATTATTTAATTTTACAATCAATTTTTTTTATTTGAGTTTTTATGTTTCAGTTGCAAAAAAAACACTATGAAAGCAAAAGATAGTTGTTCGAGCTTTCAAAAAAATAAATATATGACTAGAATGTCAACTGAGTCCAAGCACATAGATCACAGCGCTTTTGGAAAGTTCAAATAATTTATACACGTGTTATTAATTTCAGCAGGCATTAAAACAGAAAGCAAAACCAAAGAAAGGAAAGAAACAACAACAATAACAACGGTCAGTTAGGATGATGAAAATAGCAAGAACCATCATGGTAATGAGAATTTGTGAAATGGGTAAGAATATACAACATTTAAAAACATTCGTCGAAGTCATTTTCCACAAGAAGGAAACCGATCAAATTTTGAGGAAGGCACTTCCGGAGAAATTCAGCCGGGAATACTTTTTCGACGACACCGGCGCACATATCTTTCAGCGTGATAAAATTGCCTGGAAGATAAAACATATATAGAATTATTTGTTTTCCAGAAGTTTCCGGCTTTCCTCTCAGATCTACATAGAAAAGAAAATACTCTGAAAATCTGCTTAAAAAATTCTTATACCGAGGGTAAAAAAAATTCTTGACAGATCTTTAGAAGCGGGGATTCCGAGTCGAGTAAAACCGAGAAAAATTTTTTTTTTCAAATTTCAATTTGAACAACACCGACAAACGAACTACGAAAAGATGAATTTTGAACTATTGATAAATTTTGCTGTTTTTGCACCCTGGTACTAGAAACAAAAAAAAACTTTTCAGTTAAGTTATAGCGAACCGAAGAGCTCGATGGTTTTGGTTTCGAAGCTTTCAAGGCGTCATAACTTGACTAGAAATCAAAAAACGCTACAATTTTCGTTCTTTTTTCAATCAGGGTGTTCTAAAGAAGGTCTCGGCAAAGTTTTATCAATGTCTCAAACTGTCTATGATTCCTCTTGTTTGATAACCTACCAACGATGATTCGTTTATCGAAGTCCAACTTTTCTTGTTCCTTCTGCAGAGTGTCGAAAACGCGGTCTTCATTCCAATCGCGCACGAAAATCCGCGATCCAAGAGAAAGAAGTCGGCCAACAGTCGTCCAATACCGAAAGAAAACCGTTTTAGGAACTCCAGAGGGGTCTCTATAGGGGCAACTCCAGGGGCCGTTGGAAGGATCTCTCTAAGGACCAATTTAAAAACCCTATGAGGGCAACTAAAGCTTGCAAAAGGGGTCCCTAAAGGGGACATGCTAGTCGATAAAAGCTCTATGCGAAGAAGCATGTCTATGCGAAAAAAAACCTTTTTTGAACAAAATTGAACGATCCTTATAAGGACCACTTGAGCTTTAGGGGTAAGGGGTCAGACCTTCATTTTACCCCTATAGGGGCCACTTTTTCGGCTTTATAGGGACCTAGTAAGAGGAGTATGCGGCAATAGCATTATTTTCTCACTGAGTGTCGGTCGGGGGAAACTGGTAAGCCTGGCTCAAAAGTGAGGTCAACGCCGTCCTGCCGTACTCGTCCTTCTCGTTGATGTCGGCGCCAGCTTCAGCAAATAATAAAAGTAATTCGGGTTTTCTATAAGCCAAATTTTATTCTTTTTATCATTCGATTTTTGGAACTCCAAGAAGTTGTCGAGCCAAACAGAGCGGATCAGTGGAAAGCGAAATCGACGGGAGGCTTTGAAAAACCGGTGCAACTGAACGAAAATTTCTTAATTTTATATAAGCGAGAGAAAAATCAAACATTGATACCAAGATTACGCCTCACATCAGCGTCTTCCAAATCGAAGCCAACATTATCGAGCTGAACGAAAAATTGTTTATTCGAAGGATTATCTTAAAAACCATGAAAAAGAGTCTCATGGCGTTGACGACCAGATCTCGACCGTGGAAATATTCCCGGCGTTCAATTTTCGGAACCTGAGAATCCGAGGTGAGAAGGGGGGAAGTTATTCCACGAACATTTTCCAAAAAGGTACAAATTTGGTCGATGAGAAGGGCAGCGAGGTCGAAACTGTCGCGGCGACTCCATAGGAAAAGGCTGTCGGTGATTTGAGCAATCGTGTCCACGAAGAAATAATGATTCGATACGTCGTACCTTAAATCATACATGGGCAGACCGTTTTTAAATGGCGCCGACCCCTCCTCCCAATTTCGTAATGGTTTATTTCTTAATAGTAGAATTTTCAGAAAATCACAGAAAACCATAATGCGCAGATTTTTCTTCTCCCAAGACTTATAGTCTATTCAGATTTTGAATGTCAAGTCGTCTCTCAAGCTCCGCCCCCTAATGGCGCGATAAACCAATCAGAGAGCGAGCCATCCACAGAGTGATTTTGAATGACGTCATTGCACTTGACATTCAAAATCTGAACAGACTATACTGAATCAAAATCAGTACCACCTCTCGGAAAATGAAAATTCATTTTTATCTTGTCAACCTTCCATCCCTGAAGTTGAAGAACGTTTATTACCCCACGAGTGGATTTTTGATGAAACTTCGCGGAAAAAGAAGTTCTTGCAATACACTGCGACCCATAATTATAGACCCACCCTAATTTCTCCGATTTTAAGAAAGATTGAAAAACTTTGAGCCACCAAACTTTTTTTGTGATAAACCTTGTTGATAAGGAACATAATCATATCATAATTATCAATCACCCAGTTGAAAATTTTTTCAAGATACGAGAAAATCTGATTTTTGACCGACCCAGAATTATAGACCCACTATAAGTAATCAACAAAATTCATTTCACAAAGTCAACAAAGTATAACAAAAAGATTAATTAATAATGTGTGATGCCTCCTTGTTTCTGAGCGACTTCGAAAAATCCTATTCGGCATGCTGCCAACGAGTGATTGCAGCAGTGACTTGTCCAAACCATCCCACTCGGCACGAATCGCTCTTTTTCAGATCGTTGACCGTTGTATACTGCTTGGCATTCGCGTAGACCCTTCGTACAAGGACTGATTATAAATTCTCTACAGGGTTTGAGGTCAGGACTGCACGCGGGCCAGTCCAGAAGAACCACGTTATTGGCCGCAAACCAAGCCAATGTGGAGTTGCTCGCGTGAACAGATGCATTGTCTTGTTGGTAGATCATATTAGCACGTCGTCGGCGACGGAGATAGGGCAGGAGATGCTGGGCAAGCAGTTGCTGGTAGTCTTGCGAATTCGTTCTGGTCTCAATAAAAGAAAGAGCTACCGTCCCGTTGCCGCAGAAAGCCGCCCAGACCATGAGGCTGCCGCCGCCGAAGTTTCTCTTGGAGATGTACATCGGATCTTTCCTCAAATCTCTCCAGTAGTGAGCGTACCCATCTGGCCCATCAAGGTTGAATTTCTTCTCGTCGCTGAAGATGATCTGAACAGAAAAATTGGGAATCATAAGGTGATAGAAAACATTGATACCTTATTCCAATCCGTGGCCATGTTAGAGCGTGCAAACTGGAGCCGTTGATTCTTATGGCGTTGCTGTAGACGAGGTGCTGCCTTCATTGGAGTATTCACAAGTCGACCGGACCGATGAATTGTTCGTAAGATGGTGTTCTTCGAGACGTTTTTCAGGAATTTCGGATCTGATTTGGTTGGCGGACTTCGTAGAGTTTGATGCTTTTTCGACAGACGTCTCGTTCAGCTTTGAACCGATAGCAGCCTGTGCCGTCCAGAATGTATTGCTGTGCCGTATTCTTGCGGATTCCTTGCATAACGGTCAATAGTTCGTCTTGAGCGACCCGTCTGACGAGCGATTTCCCGATGGGACAAGCCGTTGTTAAGTAGAGCATCGATTACCGCTTTTTCGGTATCATCAAGTTGAGTAGATTTAGGCATTATGGCTTATAGTGATACACGAGGACTTTTTCTCTTATATACCACTGAAAAAAACAGGAAAAACGTGTTACCTGAAACGGAAACTCGGAAAACTCTGGGGTGGGTCTATAATTCTGGGTCGGTCAAAAATCAGATTTTCTCGTATCTTGAAAAAATTTTCAACTGGGTGATTGATAATTATGATATGATTATGTTCCTTATCAACAAGGTTTATCACAAAAAAAGTTTGGTGGCTGAAAGTTTTTCAATCTTTCTTAAAATTGGAGAAATTAGGGTGGGTCTATAATTATGGGTCGCAGTGTAGGTTTGGTTTTTAAGTTATGAAGCTTCAAAGAATGTAAAATACGCGATTTATGACAAAAAAGGGCGGTATGAAAAAAAGACAAGCGAAAATTCAAACGGCGACTTTTCCTCATATTTTTCGGTTTATATAACATCTATTAACCTTTTTTTTTCTTGTTTCTTTGTGTTTTAAAAATTTTTGCTTGCCTACTTTATATAGGAAGATGTAAAACGAAGATTTTATCAAGAAAAAAAGTGGGAAAAAGATTCGGCGGAAAAGTGGCCGTCCGAAAGTCTCCTAGCGATATGAAAAAAGCGGAAAAGTCGCCGTTTGAATTTTCGCTGGTTTTTTTTCACACCACCAAAAAAAGAGCTTTTTCAGCTTCATTGCCTACTCGGGCAAAGTCGGAATGGTAGACAATGGTCGCGAAAAGGGTGCAAAAAAAGTCCTTTTTTTGAGCCAATCATTTTTTCAAGAAGTTAGAGGCTTAAAAAAATGGTGGAAAAATGGAAATGCACCAAAAATGGTGCATATGAGCCGATGAAACGGCGCAAAAAGGCAGCAAAAAAGGAGCCTTTGTCACCCTAAAAGGAACATCTTTAAGAAGCCTTTCTCCACCCATTCCGACTTTGCCTATGTAGTAAGTATGAAGAAGATTCATTTTTGAGCCTTTTGCCCTAAGGTTGCATGCCGTGCAAGTCTAACGCGGGGTGCGTCGAAAAAATCAACGAAAGGGTCACTTTTTCAGGTTTTTCTCTACCGAGCTAGCTTGTGTTGTTTTCAAAACTTTTAACAGAATTGAAGCTTCTATGATTTTTAATAGCCAAAATTAAAAAAAAACTTTTGAGCAAACATCTGAAGTTTTGCACCCTACCTCTGGCACAAAGTGAGAGCATAACGGGTTATTTCATTATTCCTGCAAAAAATTCACAAATGATCTGGAAGAGCAATGGAGTCAGAAACCGGGGATTAAAGCCGTCTTCCAGTTCCGAATCAATAAAATCAAGCAGTTTGTAGCGAACATCCATATGAGCTTGGCCGAGGATCCTTTCGCGGACGATGAAACACTGGAAAGCATAAAGTTACCAGCAACCATTGAAAAATCACGTACTTGCATTATTGCGGCTCTCGGGAGTCCACCCGTTTGAAAATCGCCGAGGCGGAGTGAGTCGTAGGCCGGATTCGGGTCAAGTTCGGATTCTCCTTTCTAGACAGGAAAAACCCTACAGGTTACTTTCTAGAAAAGAAAAACCCTACAGGTTACTGGTTTTTGACCACTGAGCTCAGAAAAATGAATCCAAAAATCTCAACGAAAAAAAAATTTACGAAACACTCATTCTGAAAGTTTTCACGAGACCTTTTCAGCTGACAAGGGAGGTCATTTTTTTTTAACCTGAAAATTGACCAGAACGTTTCTTGATGTACGAGAGGAAGATCCTGAAAGTCTCAACCTGCACAAATTCTTGGTTTTGAGAAGAGACGCCTCAAAGTCAAAGAAAACCCTCAGATCCATAAAAATAGGCTATTTTGAGGCTTTGAGCCCTTTTTCATCCCGGGAGCTAGAAATTTTGCAAGTTGAGACTTTTAGGATGTTCATCTGGTACATCAAGAAGTGTTCTGGCCATTTTTCAGAGAAATCGCAACCGTAAAATAAAATGACCTCTCCTGTATCTGAATTGAATATTTCGGAGAACTCAAATTTCTGGCGCTGAGATTTACTCGGCTGTACTATCTCAGAATCTTCTTTTTTCTTGTTTGACATACTTCATTGAAGCTCTGAGAGCATTTCAAAGCCTTTTTCAGCTTAAGAATGTTGTAGTAGCTGCATCGGAACAACAGATTCGAGGCTGCGCTGAGTAAAATTGCATTTTCCTTCATTTTTCGATCGTCAACGTATTCCAACAGATGCTTGTAAATTTTCGACTGAAAACTCGTGGATATTGCTTCAAATTGAAGAAGACTCGCTTCCGTATTGTTCTGAGCGGCTTTCAAAAGAGGATGGTTTCCATCTTTGTCGGGAATCATTTTTGCACCGGCGGCTGTCAGAAGTTGCACTAGAAAGAGGTTTCCAGCGTCTACAGCGAAATGGAGCGCCGTTCTTCCTCAAAAAGCTCTCGTTTAGGGGATTTTTTTCAAAGGCCATTAAGGTATGAGGTTTTGAGATATTATTGTGATTTTGTAGAGCTTTCAAAAGTTTGACTCGTCACCAAGACCGCGCAGGATGGGTGTGTAGAAGATTTTTTTTACCGCGCTTAAGAATTTCAGAGTGATCCTTTTAATAATGTAGATAAACAGTCCCTATGGGGTCCGAAAAAGTGGTCCCTATAGGGGTAAAATCAAGGTGGCCACTGTAGGGGTTTGGGGTCTGACCCCATAGTCCGTAAAGCTTGAGTGGTCCCTACAGGAGACTTTCAATTTTATTTAAAACACGCGTATTTAGTTTTTCATAAAAATTATCGACTAGCATGTCTCCTGCAGGGGCCACTAACTGAAACCCCTATAGAGACTTTTTCAAGCGTTAGGTGCCTCTATAGGGGTTGGTAAAATGTCCCGTAGAGAGGACCCTCTAAAGTTGGCCCTATAGGGACCACTCTGGGGTTGGCAAATATTCTACTCCTATGAAAGCGGAATTTCCAGGTACAACAAAAATTTTTCTGACGCGAACAGTTATCAAAACGAACAAAAAATAGCGATGCTAGAGTAACTTTGCACGGGAGGTCGTTACACACTGGATTTTTTTTAAATAAGTGCTTTCTTAATCTTATACGTATACAGTGTGTTCTTCGAATCTCAAGTCGTCGTTTAAGCTCCGCCCCTAATGGCGGGATAAACCAATCAGAGAGCATTTTCGAATGACTTCATCGAACTTGGCATTCAGAATATGAACAGCATGCAAGAAAAACTTTCCAACATGGAATTAAAATCTTAAATCCCATGTTACACTGGTAAATTACCTCGCGGCGTAACAGCGTCGACGGAAAGACCTTGCCGAACCAAATACTTGAAAATTTTCGCCTGAAAAGTCATTACTAATGAACTGAAAACTACTCGTAAAGTACAGAATCTGGGGATCTGAAGAAACTAGGAAGCATCAAGCAAGTCAAGCCACCGTCATTGGCGTCGTCAACCGAGGCGCCATGTTCACAAAGGTATTTCACTGCAAAACAAGGGTAAATCGTCGAATTACGGGATCTTACCCATTCCAAGATTCGAATGCTTGCAAGGAATGAACAGCAAGGGCTCATAACTGAGTCCGCCAAGGGACATCATATCATCACACTCGTCTTTATCAATATTATTTTGGCCGGACTGAAATTCGACAGATTTCGAAAGAAAAATCGAATCGAAAAAAAACCTTCCAGGATCTTTCAAACGTCTCGAAATCAACATGTCCTTCTTCCACCAGCATTTTAACGAGCTGAAAAAACGATCAGAAAAAATTCAGAAATCTAAGCGAGGTCCAAGAGACTTTTCAAACTCTTTAAAGGCCTTGAAGAAAAAAGATCCTTCCAACAACAACTTTGAAAAATCTTTTCTTTGGACCTGGCATTTGAACTGAGAAAAACCTTAAAAGGTCCTGTTGCTCTGTTAGGATTCGCGATTTTCTGCGCTCCGACTTTTTCGATGGCGATCCGAAGAGCGGTTAGTGGCGCTGAGCGATAAGGAAAAATTATATGAAAAATTGTACCCTTTCAATTCTTATTTTGACTTAAAATCTCAAAAAACCTTTCCCGAGAACCGAATATGTGTTCCGCGAGTGAACAAGCGGATCAGCGCCAAGACTGACCTCCAAAATAATCAATAAAATAGAACTTGAATATGTTCAAGCCTCACCAAATACTCGGCAATATTATAAAATTGTTTTTTGCAAGCTTCGACCAACGGTATTCGACCGACATTTTCATTCAGACAATTTTCGAGGAATTCCCTCGACTTTCCTTCAGTAAGTGACTGAAAAATCATTTGAAAGCCATAAATCTAAATTCAGACAGATGAAAACCTGGATTCTTTTCAAATCTTTTTTCTTAATGGCGTTACATATATCAATTCGGAGTCGTTTTCTCTGAGCCGCACTCATTTTTCTACAATCTGAAATAAAAACAAGTTTGACCAAAGAGATATTTTCTCAAAACTTCCAAAAAGGGGAAAAGAAAAGTTCAAACTATTTTTCGCAACAACTTGATAACGATAATTAAGCTTCACCCACCTGTGTGATCGAAAAAATAAAATAAAAAACGCGAACGATCAATCAATTGATGAACATTTCTATCAGATATGTGTGCCGTAACATCACAATAAAAATTGAAATTTAAGCACAAAAATGTTTTATTACAGTGTATATATTTTGAGAAAAAGCATACGGACACGAACTAGAGCAAGAGAAGAGTAGGGGTGTTAAAAATGAATCCGAGACAAAAGATATCCAGGGTGGGAGATTAAAAAGATAACATAATTAGAAAAATCTTGTGAAAAAAAACGACGTAAAGTTAGAAAAATGGGTCCATGAATCCTTCAAAATCAGACTCTCGGAAGCAATCATCGTCGCAATCATTGAAGCCGAAATATCCATGCAAATTGAGCGGCAGGGCTTTTCGCAGAAAACTTTCCGAGTATTCTTTTTCGACGGCTAGCGCACAAATGTCTTTCAGTGTGATGAAATTGCCTGAAAAATCATTAATTTGAAAAATAAGCCAGTTAAAAAAACTGGGAAGTGGACCCATTTTGAAATTCTTAATACTATTTTTTCCTTCATCAATTATCATTTTTCAAGCTTTAACAACTTCTTGACTTACCAACGATAATTGGATCTGCTTCGTACACGTTTTCCTGCAAATGTTCAAAAACAGTGTCCTCATCACGATCCTCGACGAAAATCCGGGCGCCGTTGGTGAGAAACTCTCGGTAAACCGGGGTTTTGAAGCGAAGGAGAATAGTGCCGCTGTCCAGGCCGACCCTGTTTGAAAACGATGATGAGTGACACTAAGAAAAGTTTAGGGGGCTCTTATAGGGTTGAGTTACAAGGGACCACATTTGTCCCCCACTAAACTTTTCTTAGCATAGACGAATCGGGGTCAGATGATAAAAGTAGTATATGGAGCATATGCCTCAAAATGAATCAGGATGGTATAATAATATGTTCATTGTCACATAGCCTGTGTACCACGACTTGGAACTTCACCGAACGACATTCCGCTGTGCCGCTGCGCGCCTTTGCGAAATTTGGTCACGCTTTAAATTTTTTTTTTCTTTTATCAAGGTACTCTACTTCCCACAGCAATAAAAATCAATTGAAAGCGTGACCTAGATTCGAAAAACGCTTCGCGGACACACGCAGCGGAACAGCGGATGTCGTTCGGTGAAATTTCAAGTCGTGTCACACAGACGATACCTCCGATATATACTTCAGCACTATGGGAGCTCTACCGGTAGTGCCGAAGTGTATACATCGAATTTTCAAAGATTCGAGCCCCCAAGATTGTTGTATGCACAATTAACGCTCACGAACATTCGCGGATCCATAATTTTTTCGAACCATCGCTCATATGTTTCCGCGGGTGCTTTCAGAGCAGAAAACGGGAAAGTGACAAACGTGTACCAGGCCACTTTTTAATAGTGACGTCATAGCGCACGAAAGCCAAAAAACGTCGCAAGCGAAGATCAGCAAGTCCACTTAGAGCCGCCGGTAAGTAAACCCTTCTTAGTCTGTTCAGATTCTAAACTTCAAGTAGCTAACTCCTCCCCCAAGACTACAGTATCTTTCGCGTCAATGTTACATATCCAGATGACCTTTATATATTAGCCGACTCTCTGCAGATTCTTTCACCAAAACTTCATTTTAACTGATCTACTCAGTCGGGGGAGCGCACGTCAGCAGCTCTGTCTAAAAGCGCCCGCGAAAATGTCACCGGTATCTGAGGTTAAAGAAAAATCGGAACTTGGTCGAAAAAACGTCGAAGAAGACGCAGGAGAGGATCCGAATCCGCCTCAACGAACAGAGCCGCCAACGCCGTCTGGCCCTTCCTATCCCTCTCGTTGATATTCAAGCCAGCTTTCGCCAACACCGTAATCCATTTCGTCATCCTAAAGTCAGAAAATTTCAATTTTTCTTTTGTTTGATATCGAACCCCATGAAATTCCTCATGTGGAACACGGTTATGTGAAGAAGAGAAGCGATTCTCGCAAAACGACGCAACTTAAAATCATAATATTTTATTTCCCGCTAGACGATTTTTCTCTTAAAAAAGGCAGCAAATAGAGTCCCTTTATTGAACCTTCCTTTTTTTGGGATTTTAAAAGCTCAAGAAATGGTGGAAAAAGGGAGAGGCCGCAAAAATAGTATAGACGATTCACGGCTAGCTTAGGACGCAAAAAGGCGTGGCCTGTCTGCACTCTCTACCAACCAGGGCCCTGTCTCGTCTCTTTTCGTGGCAGGACCCTTCACTCGATGGCTCAAGCCAGCCGTGAATCAGCTATACATAAGAGCCGATGAAATGACGCAAAAAGGCAGCAAAAAAGAGGCCTTTTCCACCCTTTCCGACTTTGCCTATGTTCAATTTTCACCCACATCGATTCCGATTCCCTTCAATTTATCAGCTTCCTCCGCATCGAAACCCAGGCTTGATATCTGAATAATAACTGAACTTTTTAGCATATTCAAATATAGAGTGAAAAATAAAAATGAAATCATCCATCGGTTAAAAAGTTAGAAAAAAAAGAAAAACAAACTTTGGATAAAATGTCCAAGACGTAACCGGCAAATTTTTCCCCCCACTCATCCCGGTGCTGATTGTGAATGTGTTCTTTGTGGGCCTAAAGTTATAATCTGAAATTTTGAGACTAATTCTGCAAAAAAAAAAAACAAGCCGCGGGAAAATTGGCTTGATAAACGAAAAATAAGGTGAGATTCATGTAGGAGCTCAACAACAATTCTGAGGTACTGATTTTCCCGTGGCTAATTTTTTTTCGATTAACAAACTGTCTCCAAGGCGAAGCAGAGCTCGTCGAAAAGAAACGCCGCCATTTTCAAAGCAGTTCTTTTTTTCTCCGCGTTCCTAATCTCATCCCAGTTTTCGATCCAGCCAGAAAAAAAGGAGAGTGCATCGATTAGACCTTCTGAGAGAGGCTTGGAATATCTGAGAAATCTTTTTTTTTTTAAATCGAAGAAAATTTTCCAACTTCTGATACAGGGAAATGGTGTAACAACGAAGAGCATTGTACCTGAAAACGAAATAAATTCGACTGATTGCAAGGGAGAGGCTCAAAAAAGGCAGCAAAAAAAAAGAATCCCTTTTTCGAGCCTTCCATTTTTTCTGGGTTTCTAAAAGCTCAAGGAATGGTAAAAAAAAAGAGGCAGCAAAAATGGTACATAAGAGCCGATGAAAAGGCGCAAAAAGACAGCAAAAAAGGAACATTTCTATAGGACCTTTTCCACCCTTTCTGACTTTGCCTATGATATTTCTGATTTTTTTCTTTTTTTATAGATTTTTAATGGATTTCCAAAAAAAGCTTAAATTTTTCATGCTCGATGGAAACAAAAAAACCAGAAATTGATTATTTTTTTCGAGAAATGCAAACCAAACCGCATGTTGAAGCATTGGATTTTATCTGCGTGAAAACAATATTCGAGGAGATTTTTGCGAAGAATTTCGTTTCCAGGGCCGAGGATCCTTTCGAGGATGATGAAGCACTAGAAGAATTTTTTTTACAGAAGGTACACAAAAACGGGCTTTTAATAAAAAAAAAACCGAACTTTTATGATTTTCTTGTTGAAAATTTAGCGCATTCATTGAGTATGGTTTGTTCAGATTTTGAATTTCAATTGCAATGACGTCATTCAAAAACACTCTGTGGATGGCTCGCTCTCTGATTGATTTCTCGCACCATTAGGGGCGGAGCTTGAGCGACGACTTGACATTCAAAATCTGAACAGACTATAGTTCAAAAAAAGGACATGAGAAAAAAAAATTAGGGACATTTTTTCAACTCAAATTAAATTTTATTTGGCTATAAATTGACGAAAATCAATCAGTTACACACTTGCATATGATTATATCTGTTGTGCGATTTCGCAGCCTTGTAATCGGTTATGGAAACCGCTTCACGAAGGGAATCGAAGGCCGGATTCGGCACAACTTCCTCTTCCGCCGGGACATTTATCTGCAAAGTCACATCTCTTTCTTTTCTGTGCCAGTTGTCACCAACCTTGAGCGCTTTTTTCAGCACCTCAAGCGCGTTTTTGTCGATTTTGCCGTTTGAACGAAAACATTTCGCGCTGAAATTGAGCAAAAGCGCATCTTTTTTCGCCTTTTTGTCATCCGCGTATTCGGTCAGGTGTTCCAGGATTTCACACTGTAATTTTTGAGAAAGGTGAAAAATTGGATGATGGAATGCTTGCAGGAGATTTCTGAACGGCCTGAAGAGCAGCCGTGTGCAGCGGAGTCTCGCCATCATTATTTCGGACCAATTTGGCGCCTTCAGCCGTTAAAAGCGCAACGAGAAACGAATTGCGAGCTTTCACAGCGAGATGGAGCGCTGTTTCACCTGGAAAAAAATTGAATATATTTTCAAAAACAGTTTTAAAATGAGAATAGTAGTCTCAGACATTGAATTACAAGCATAGGCAAAGTCGGAAAAGATGGAAAAAGACTCGATAAAAATTTTCCCTTTTTTTCTGTCTTTTTGCTGTATTTCATCGGCTCTTATGCTTCATTTTTGCTGCCTCTCCCTTTTTCCGCCATTTCTTGAGCCTTTAAAATCCCCGAAAAAATGGAAGGCTCGATAAAGGGATTCTTTTTTCAGCCTTTTTGCAGTCATTCTGCGACCTTTTTCGAGCCTCTCCCTTTTAGCGGTCATTATCCACCATTCCGACTTTGCCCGAGAGTACAAGAACGTCATTCGAACACGCACTCTATAGCTGATCCACGGTTAGCTTGGGACGCTAAGGGGGCGTGTCCTGTCTGCGCTATCCACGAGCCAGGCGCTATCTCGTGTATTATCGTGTCAAGACCCTTTTTCGATGGCTAAAGTCAGCCGTGGATAAGCTATAAATCGCTCGTTTTCTGATTGAATTATCGCGTCATTGGGGGCGGAGCTTGAGCGACGACTTGTCATTAAACAGACTATAGTATGTAAAGCGAGAGAACAACGGTGGTCAAAAGAGAGTTCAGAGAAACGAGGGCTGTTTTTCTCGCGTCTCTTCACATATCTAGCTTTTTCTTTTCCGAGTGAAGCGGAGAAAAAAAAAATTGAGTTTCTCATAACTATAATGTAATAATCGAATAATTATTCTAAGTAATCTTTGATTCCGAAATTCTTTTCGAAAAAAATTATTACCTAAAAATAATCACAAGTTTTCAAATTGGACCAGATAAAACAGAAGATTGATTTTTTTTTTCAAGCTTGTCCCGAGTATATCCAAAAATTCAGATACTTTCAGAGACTTCGAAATTTGCAACATTCGATGATTTTTTTTTCTCAACTCACCATCAGAGTTGACAGCGTCCACAGAAAGACCTTGTTTGATCAAATATTTGAAGATTTTCCGCTGAAAAATGAGTTTTCTAGATTTCAAATCCACTTTTGTTGAAAGACCGATTTCTCCTTTCTGAAGTACTCGGGAACCATTATACAAGTCGAACCAGCGATATTTCGATCTTCAACCTTGGCACCACGTTGACAAAAGTACTTGACTGAAAATGAAGACAACAAAATTGAAAGTTTCATTTTTGGATAAACCCAAAGATAAATTGGAGTAAGCACAAGCGAGAAACAAGGGAGATTCTTGATTATTTCCAGCAGGCATCTTTAAATCCAACTTTCCTCCTTCAACAAGTGCCCTGACGACCTGAAAAATATTCAAAGCTATTGGCAGCCTCTATGGACTAACCTTGAAGTTTTTGCAAGATCTTCGCTTGAAGATATTCCAACATTTTTGGGTGCCAACTTTTTGAATAGCGTATCGCAGAGGAGTTAGCTCTACTGAAAATTGAAAAAAAAATTTTTTTAGCTTTTTACTTTGAATTTATTAAAACTTCATATTCCGTGTTCAAATCGACTTACAAGAAACTATTACTGACTCTCCTAAATTTAGTTATCTTTCTCCCTCTTTGACGACTATTTTGAATTTTGCGGGATCATTTCAACATGACTTATTTCCCTTTTTAAAAAGTTATGATGAAACAAAGAACTCTGCGCATTATATGATGAGAAAACAGGTCAGATGTTCAAAACTGAAACCGAAAAATTAAAAAACACCGAGAAAAATGCTCCGTGACTTTTTTCAAAATTGCACGAATAAAACTCGTTACCATTCCTTTTCAATAAATGAACACAACCATGCAAAACAAAATTTTTCAATTCAAATTGCTCTTAAAAACAAACTCTGCCCCCTTTCTGTCGTGGCTGTGCGGAAACAATTTAAAGGATCAGCGCCAAGACGAATCTTCAAATGAATATACGAATTTGAACTTGAAAAAACCGACCAGAAGCCTGGCACCCTCGTAAAAACCAATCTGGCAAGCCAGAACCAAAGGTTGAAAGTTATAGTGGCATCGTAAATTGAGACTTCGTTTCAAATGTATCTTCGTCCTGCCCTTCGCCAGGCTCTGGAGAAAGTTTTGAATGATTAAACAACACAAAATCCAACTAAAAACTACCTTGATTTTGTTCAAATCACGCTTTTTTGTGGCGTGCAATAGTTCTTTTTGGAGACTTTTATAATCAATTTTTTTTAGTGCAAGGCATTTTTCCTGCATTCGAGCTCTAAAAAAGGCTTCAATTTTAAAATAATAGAATAAATAACGAAAATATAAAAAAATAACAGGCGCTTATACACACAATACAATAAAATCAGCGTAAAAATCAAAACTCAATCGCAACTATTCGGTTTATTATCATAAGTAAAGCAATGAATATAGGAAATATTACTTGTAGGAAACTTTCGATCATTTCCAAAAAATTACGAGGAAAAAGGGGAAATGACATTGGATAAATTGAAACTCGAATAAAAAGGTGAATGCAAGAAGGGCATAAGCAGTTACAGGGGGTGTCCGCCTCCGCCGTTCCCATGTGACGTCATGAAAAAAAAGCGCAGAAAATACGAAATATTAAAGGCGCATGTTCAACGCGCATTCAGACGAATCTATTTCCCATTTGAAAAACACATTTTTTCTGTTTTTTTTTTTTGAAGCACATGCTGCGTTCATAAAAATTCCGCAAATTTTAAAACAGCCGCCAGAGAGCGAAAAAAAACTAATGGCGCGTTCAGGAGCAAAACGCGAAATTTTTCGAAATTCAAAAGAGCGTTCACGGCGATACTTCGAAATTAGCGAATTTCGATTTTTGAGATAATTTTGAGAAATTTCAAAAAATAGCGAGAAAATCGGTTTCGCGCGAAATTTACGGTATATTGACATTTTCGTGTGCCAAACGCAGTTTTTTTTTCTTTTTTTTCTTTTTTAGATAATTTTTTTCTTTTATTTTTCAATTTTCAACCCGTTCAAAGTTATTGATTTTAGAAATAGTACGAATGAAAGCCTTAAGTTAATTTTTTTCGACTGTCTGAACTTAAAAAAAGTTCAATTTTTTTCTCAAATTTCTTTATTTATCGTGTTTATCCAACGGATGTATCAGAGTGTTTGAAGTTGCAGGTCTCTAAACTATGGCGGGTATTGGATTACCGAAACTGCTAAAGTTGAAAAAAGGTTAATTTTCATTCAAAAAACTTTTTCGCAGTTATGTTTTACAATTTTTGATTCTTTTCACAAAAAAAAATTTAGACTCGTTAGGGAGGAACGAGCGGCTCGTGTGAAGGTAACGCAAAATTTTCGTCTCTACAGTCAAGCATAAATTCGTGAGTTCTCTTATTCTTCGATATTATTTTCTTTTATTTTCAATATGTCTTGTCTGTTCAGTTGTACACGAAAAAAATGAATACCACGGTTCAACCGGTGGTATGAAAAAGAACAGCAAAAAAATTCGAACGACCACTTTTTCCGATTTTTTTCATATCGCTAGGGAACTTTCCGACTAATATTTTTATCGAATTTTTCTTCTCAATAAACTTTTCGTTTTTAAATATCCCTATATAAAGTAGGCAAGTTATTCATATTTTAAACACAAAAAAATGGGAAAAAATATGTTGATAGATGTTTTATAAACCGAAAAATATAAGGGAAAAAAGTCGGAAAGGGATCCGTCGGAGAGGTGGCCGTCGGAAAGTTCCCTAGCGATATGAAAAATTCGGAAAAGTCGCCGTTTGAATTTCTGCTTGTGTTTTTTTCATACCACCGTTCAACCAGCCTTTCCTTTTTGGAAAAATTTCTTCTGTTTACAGGCCTAGACGAACGGCTTACGAAGGACTCGCCGAAAGACTACACGTGAAACTTGGATCTCTCTTTATGGAACTTTTTCTAATAAAAAAAATTTATTGTTTTCTTCTGCCTTTCAGAAACATCTCATAACAAAACAGTTTCTGTTGTTAGGTTTTTAATTTGATTAACTAAGCAGCTTGTTTTTTTACATTTATTTTTCAAGAAAGTAATGCTCATCATCTTTATTCAAACAAATGATAGAGAAAATAAATGCGTGATAAAACAAAACAAAATCATTGAAACGAAGAAGAAGTTAAAAACTGTGTATTTGACAAAATCGAGACATGGTAAATTCCAAATTTATCCGGCTGGCCACAACAACGTCTTGTTCGAATGAGCTGAAAAAAAATTCAATACTTTTCTTTTAATGAAATGAACCAGTTATTGAAAATTGTATAGATAAAAACCTTCTATTTCCTTCTTGACCGTTGCGTCGAAAATCACGGATTTATGCTTGACTGTAGAGACGAAAATTTTGCGTTACCTTCACACGAGCCGCTCGTTCCTCCCTAACGAGTCTAAATTTTTTTTTGTGAAAAGAATCAAAAATTGTAAAACATAACTGCGAAAAAGTTTTTTGAATGAAAATTAACCTTTTTTCAACTTTAGCAGTTTCGGTAATCCAATACCCGCCATAGTTTAGAGACCTGCAACTTCAAACACTCTGATACATCCGTTGGATAAACACGATAAATAAAGAAATTTGAGAAAAAAATTGAACTTTTTTTAAGTTCAGACAGTCGAAAAAAAATTAACTTAAGGCTTTCATTCGTACTATTTCTAAAATCAATAACTTTGAACGGGTTGAAAAATTGAAAAAAATAAAAAGAAAAAAATTATCTAAAAAAAGAAAAAGAAAAAAACTGCGTTTGGCACACGAAAAATGTCAATATACCGTAAATTTCGCGCGAAACCGATTTTCTCGCTATTTTTTGAAATTTCTCAAAATTATCTCAAAAATCGAAATTCGCTAATTTCGAAGTATCGCCGTGAACGCTCTTTTGAATTTCGAAAAATTTCGCGTTTTGCTCCTGAACGCGCCTGCAAGAAGGGCATAAGCAGTGAATGCAAGAAGGGCATAAGCAGTTACAGGGGGTGTCCGACTCCGCCGTTCCCATGTGACGTCATGAAAAAAAAGCGCAGAAAATACGAAATATTAAAGGCGCATGTTCAACGCGCATTCAGACGAATCTATTTCCCATTTGAAAAACACATTTTTTCTGTTTTTTTGAAGCACATGCTGCGTTCATAAAAATTCCGCAAATTTTAAAACAGCCGCCAGAGAGCGAAAAAAAAACTAAATTTTGGAAATTGAAAGATTTCGAATTTCACGAAAATTATTTTTAAAACGGCGAACGCGGCGCGGTGCATGCACACGGAACACTAAATTTTACGGAAAATATCCGGGCGAGGCGTCGTCTTTGACGTCAAAGAGTCCCGTAGGCGTGTACACGCGTGTTCATTGGAAAAATGGAACAAGCTTCAAAACAAAACACCGTGTTCATTGGGGCAACGAAGTTGCTTTAGAATAGTACCAAATTTTGTTTTGAAACAATTTTTTTCGCGTTTCGAAGCAGTTTTCGTCCATTCTTGCTTGAGGCCCCGATAAGGCCGGGCAGGGCTCAAAAATGGCTGGGAGCCGATACTTCTCGCGGAAAAATTGAAATATTTATAGTGTAAGTCTTGGAAATATCTTCATTTGACGAAAAATCAGTATCTGATGGACTGATAAACAGAAGAAGGTACGGTCCGTCGTTCGATGACGTTTTCCATGCTTTCGCGGATCTGGAATGATTATTTTGATTCCAAAAAGGTATATAATTCAAACTTCGAACATGTTGCCGCGATCTTCCGGCGCCTGCGGGAAACATTGATTTGTCATGACTTCGCGGACGAATTTGGGCATACGGTCAGGGGGAGACATACGGTAGCCGGTCCTGACTTTGGCGCTGACTTCGCCTAGAGTCATGTCCGGGTACGGTATCGCACCGTCCATGAATATCTGAATGGGAAAATTGGAACAATGAAAAGTCGCTTGCTGGATCCTTTAAAGGAGCAAGGAATCAACTTTCGCCTCCATATAATTTCCTTATGCGCCTTTAAACAATCCAGTGAGATTTTTTTTGAAACAATTATTTCTGAAGAAAAAGATCCTGGAAACCTCCCAAAGCAAGATTCCGAACGAGAAGACGTCAGACTTGCAGGAATACGTGGCCGAGACAAGGACCTCTGGAGCCAGCCATCGGATCGGCAGTTTCTGATGGAGGTCCTGAAGATTTTCGGCTCGATTTGAACTCCAAGGTGAGGACCTTGAGCTTGTACTTGTGGGCGTGGTCGGAGAGCTGCTTGGAAAGGCCGAAGTCGCTGATCTTGACGGTTCCAGCGTGTAGAAGGCAGTTTCTGGAATAATTATTTCATTTTTAATACGTCGGGAAAACCTCGCTGCAACGTCACGATGGATACAGCCGTTCTGGTGGAGGTATTCCAGGCCTTTTGCCGTGTCAAAAGAATATTTGAGCTGCAAATTTCAAAGAGGATAGTTTCTTTGAAGGCTTAAAGAGCACCTTGGTGAGTAAGGTGACATTATTGCCGCCCCTCAGGTAAGAATCCAAGGCGCCGGTGTCGGCCAACTCCATCACAAGCATTATGGGTTCCTCAAAAAGGAGATAAATCCCAGAAAATCCCGGAAATCGAGACTTTTTCCACGGCGACCCCGTAAAAGTTGACAATGTTCATGTGCTGGTAGTGGCGCATTATCCGGGCCTCCTTGCAAACCTCGGCGATCATCACCTTCGAGCTCATCTTCGCGTTCCCTTTGCTCACCTTCACCGCGACCTCGAATCAATAACCATTGGGAAAAGCTTCCAAGAATTCAATTTACCGGGATTTTCCTTTTCTTAATGGTCAAAGAGCCCTTGTAGACGCCGCCAAAAGCGCCTTCACCAAGCATTTTTCCAATGACAATCTGGAAATATTCATTCTGAAAATCAAAGGGGAACTGAAAAAATCTATAAACAACCTAAAGTATGAATGAACCTTATCAAGAGTTATGGAAGCTAAAAATCAATTTTCGAGACCAAAAGCCGTCTGAAAACCGACCTGGTTATGCCTGAGCTCCCAGTCTTGCTTGACGATCGGATTGATGAGCAAAGCCCCCAAATCCGAAGTAATCGGCAGCTTTTTGTACATAAGAGCTCCGACCAGCTCCAAAACCGTCCCGTACCGATGTTTGTCCAATGAGATTGAGCCTTGAAATACAGAAAATGGTTCAAAATCAGTTCTGGAAGGTACCATCCAGACATTCGACGAGAATATAATGATGAATTTTGCTTTTCCATTTAATCGATATGATCGTCCGCAATGGCTGGAATTGAGGATTTGAACGAAAAATTGAAGAAAAATAACTCGGTTATTGAAATCAAGTGAGGTATATTGAAAATTTTACTCCTTTTTCAAAGTATTTTCAAAAAAGGGTTACTAAAAGATTGGCATCGAAAAGTATTGAAACAAACTACAAACGGGGTTTTTTTTTTGACGACGCCCTGACAATATTTTTCCGTAAAGTGTAGTGTGTTATGTGCATGCACTGCGGCGCTCGCGCACAGGTCATGTTCTAAGTTAATTTTCGCGATATGCAAAAATCATCTTTTTTTCCGAAATTCAGTTATATTTTTCTTTTTCTGATTGCTATTTTGAATTTCGCGGAATCATTTTGAACGCCGCAGCAGAAAAATAGCGTTTTGAAATGAGAAAACGGTTCGTCTCATGACCAATTGAACATGCGCCTTTAATTTTCCGTTGTTTACGCTTGTTTCCCATGACGTCACATGGGAACGGCGCAGTTTTCGCTCCGCCCCTTTTTATTTTTGGTTACGCATTTTCTTCCACTAACAAAAACGCCGTGTGCAATCGATTTAAAAAGAGCTTATTCCAAGGCTTTCAAATCGAAGCCAACAAATCACAGTTTTGAAACGTTTCCTTGAAGAAAATCGTTCCGGTCACATTTTTCTATCCGTTGGAAATGAACTACCTCCGCATCACTGATCGACGAGGCTCGGAGCAGAAAATCGCCGTCTTTCTCGAGAAGCCTGGAAGTTTTTGGCTTCAAAGAACTCACTGTGACACTTCTGGATGAAAGGCAAAAACCAGTCTATCTCATGCTTAGATCAGCTCTGAGCTGTCCTAACTCCCCTCCCCAGCTTTTTTGGGTTCAGAATGAAAAACTGCAACCAGTCCCCTTCAGAAGTCCCCCGGCCGAGACCAGTCTCTCATGAAAAGGACAGGAAAATGCCTACGAGCTGATGTCGGCCCTGGGCAGGAGCCCGTGGTACCAGTCCTGCTCCTCGTGGGCCTTCGGGTCGTCCTCGTGACCGCTCCACGACGACTTCCTGGTGCTGGTCCGACTGAACCTGAGTGAATCAACTTATCCGGAAATACAGACCCCATTCTCAGAAGTAGCTATCGAAAGACGGAAATATGAGAAAATGAGTAAGACCCACGTCAATTGAGAAAACGTTCATTTGAAAAAAAAAAGGAATAAAAAAAGTTAGGTGAACCGTAAAAATCTCAAGAATTTCCGTTTGAAGCCATTTTTTCTTTTCGACGGAGTAAGTTCTCAGAAAAAGGCTTGGTTTTAGCGGATTTCTTGGTGGTATGAAAAAAACACCGGCGAAAATTCAAACGGCGACTTTTCCGATTTTTTCATATCGCTAGGGAACTTTCCGACGGCCACCTTTCCGACGAAACTTTTTTCGACTTTTTTTTCTAGATAAACTCTTCGTTTTACATCTTCCTATATAAAGTAGGTAGTTTGTTCATGATTAAAACACAAAGAAGCAGGAAAAAAAGGTTAATAGATGTTTTATAAACCGAAAAATATGAGGAAAAAAAGTCGGAAAAAGATTCGGCGGAAAGTTCCCTAGCGAAATGAAAAAATCGGAAAAGTCGCCGTTTGAATTTTCGCTGGTGTTTTTTTCATACCACCGATTTCTTGAAATTCGAACTTTAAAATTCGATGAGAACCACCTTTCTCGAAATGGTTCTAGATGCTATTTCTTTTCAGAATATTAATATTGTAATCCCGAACCAATAAGAGCCAGAAAAAGAATTTCATTAATAATAAACATTCAATATCGCTTTTTGCGCGTCGCTTTTCATGCATCGCGTGCACTGCGTACAACACACTTTATTTTCCGCCTTTGTGGCGTTTATTTAGTGGCGCTGTATTTTGTGGTCGTCAGTTAGGTTACACTCGAATCATGGTTGGCTCTGGGCACTAATGGGCGTGGCGTGTCTGTACTCTCCACTGACCAAGCGCTATCTCTTTTTTTCGTGTCAGGACCCTTTTTTCGATGGCTCAAGCCAGCCGTGAGTCAGCTTTGAAACAATTTTTAAAGAGTTATCGATAAACGAAATGATAACGACAAAATAAAAAGTAGAGTTAAGACGTTAATTCGAGAGAGAAACGAAAGAAAAGATTATTCAGTCGCGAATTTCTGGAGAATTTCGGCCATTTTGGCGTGATGCAACGACGTTTCGTCCATGAACTTGTTGACGCATTCGGCGTGTTTCACTTGTTCCGCTTCTTTCGCTTTGATGTAATCGATGAGCTGAATATTTGGAGGTTTGGAACGTCTGAATGGATAGTGAACCTCCTTTTTGTAGTTGTTGCGGGTTTCTTCGGCTTTATGAAGGTTACTTTCCGTTTCCACAGATCTTTCCTTGTTGTGGGCCGTCACAGCCGTGTCCACGTCCACCATCGAATCCATGTACGCTGAAAATGATCATCTACAACTTTAATGGCTTTATTTATCAACAGATCTTTCCGCCAATTTCATATGCAAAGTTAGAAGGACCCATTACGGGTCCTTTGAGCGTCCGTTATGAAAGGCTCAATAAAGGCCGCAAAATGGAACCCTTTTAGCGGCAATTTTGCACCTGTTTTCCGCAACTCCTACTTTAGCAGTGATTAGGCCCAGACTCGAAAAAGAAAAAAACAGAAAACTGCCGCTTTCAGAAAGTGTCTAACTTGAGACGCGAATAGGCGTGGTCTGTTGGAGCCCCTCCACCACAGGCACTCCCTATTTTCTTAAAAATCGTGTCAGGACCCTTTTTCGATGGCTCTCAGTTGTACTAGGATCAAATTCCCATTATTCAAAGCTTCTTCTTCTGCTTTCTCCAAGCCTCTTTACCTCGTGAGCGGCGTCGGCGCCCCAAGTCGATTGACCGAGGTCCTATACTGATCAGTGATAATCAGTGGACTGGCTCCAGTGACATATCCGTCCTTGTGTGTGACAGCTGGGGACTACGAAGCCGTGGTTTCCCACTACCAACATTTCTTAAACTCCTTGATTGGGTCGGGGCGGGGATCGAACTTGTGACCCTGTGGACCGTAGACAGGCACGCAACCTGTTGCGCTACGGCGCGCCCCATTCCAATCACTCTCTAATTTTTTAAAAATCGTGTCAGGACCCTTTTTTCGATGGCTCAAGCCATCGGTGAATCAGTTGTATAGTTTCCCGACTTGAAAGGGGAGGGAGGCGGAGCGAGGGGCGGGACGCGTAGCGTGTGCGTACGCGGTTTTTGGCGCCAGTTCAATTCAATTCAATTGCCGCCGACTACTTAAAAAGCTCGGCAACCGCTCTTTCTCTGTATTTTCTACTAATTTTTGATGCACACATGAACATAATCAATAAATAATTGAAAAAGGAATGAAAAGAGCGAAAAACAAGCTTTTCAAAGAGTCGATGGCGGTTGATTTGAACTCGTGCCAAGAACCGCGTACGCACACGCTACGTGTCCCGCCCCTTGTCCCGCCTCCCTTGCCTTTCAAGTCGGGAAACATTGACTATACTGGGACCAGTTCCTCATAAATTAAAGAACGCCACTGTACCCTTTGAGCGGAAAATCTGTGAAAAAAGTAAGGGACTCTCAATGTTCTGAAACTTCAGGTCAGATGAAAGGCAATATGAAAAGGTTCCAGAAAAAATTTGACGACTAGAACTTCAATTTTTCCAGACTTTCTTTCCGAAAACTCTTAACATCACTTGAAGTTCGTCTACACTGCTTCAAAGTCTCCCCATGGTCCAAAACTAATTTAAAGGCATAGGGGCAGTAAAAAACTATGTTTCATTTCAAAGCAGTATTTTTTAGAGCTTTTCATTGCGAATCGAACGGTGAACTTGGAAACGTACAGAAGTTCCTGGTTTTGGAGAAAAAATAATTCAAAGTCGGAGAGACGAATGTTTGAGTTCCCGCGAAAAGGGCGCTTTGCAGTAAAGTTGCTCTATGGACAACAGGCTTCGCCATTTGTCGGATTTTCGCTTTTTTCTTCGTTTCTTTCAATTTTCAATTTTTTTCTGTTGTCACCAGAGTTTTTTTCGTCACCAAAGCCTTCGATTCATGTATAATTTGCAAACTTTGATCGCAAAAAAGCTTTTTTGGTGAAAAATGATGATTTTACACAGGTTTCGATTGGGATATCGATTATTTGTGTTTTCTTTATTATCAATGTGTGTTTTCTGTTTTCTTAATCGATTTTTCAGAAAAGGAACCCTTAAGTTGAAGCAGATATCCGGTCATTTCTCACAAAAGGCGAGTCTAATGAGACGTCCGCAACATCGCGTGCACGGCTACTGTAATCAGTTGTCTGTATACCGATCCAAAGCATTTTTCAAAATTAAAGGCGGGAATGTAAAATCGCGTTTTCCTTCTAAAGTTGTCCCATCTGTAATTTTTTTGAGTACACCATTCGATTCGTAAAGAAAAACTACATAAGATACTGCTTTAACCTGAAACCCCATTTTTTACTGCCCCATGCCTTTAAAGTTCATGAAGACTATACCAATTTCTTCCATTTTTCTATACCCGACTCACCTTTCCGTATCTTGACGTAGCCCCAGTAGTCTTCGGCGATGAACGTCGTCAACGGTTTCAGAATGTCGTTGCACTTTTTCACGTAACGCACCTGCTCAACGTGCAACGCCTCGAGGACCTTCGAGATCTCTTCTAATCTCTGAACGCTTTTTTTTGTCAAAATTTCTTTTGAGATGGCATTCCAAGCTACCGTATACTCGCCAGGCCGGCCTTCTTTGAGCTGTTTAGTGTATTCGTTAAAATAAAATTGAGCACTATAGTAATCTTCTTCGGCTTGTGGAGCCTGATACGGACGTTCGAGCTGGAATGAAAAAATGTGATATTTCAGCGCTTGGCCGCATTTGGAATGGGTCAAGGGTTCGCTTGAACTTTTGCAACATTTAGTAACGCCAGAGTGGTCCCTATGGGGGTACAGAGAAAAAGCCTCTATAGGGGATGAAATTCGGATGTTTTCTATAGGGTTTATGATCTGAATTCTAAGCACTTAAAGTTCGAGTGGTCCCTATAGGGGTTCTTTCATTTTTTTTTATGATTTGGAAAATGAAAAGACACTTAGACGCCACTAAAGTGGCCATTTTTGCGATCATTAGTATACCCTATAAGGGAAGAAAAAGAAACCCTAGAGAGTAAACTTCAAGAACCCCTATAGGGACCACTCTGGAGTTTCTAAGCAAGGCTACACTTGGAATGATTTTTTTAAGGCACAACTATTCCTATCTAAGTTCTAACTGAAACGAAAAAATGCGCATTTTTCAAAACGTAGTCGCGTTTAGAATGGCTCAAGGACTAGCAGCACTTAGGACACCAAAGTGGTCCCTATAGGGGTTAGGGAAAAAAGTCCTGATGAGGGTACAACTTAGGTGGTCCCTCTAGGGGTTAAGGGTCTGAATCTCAAGCTTCTAAAGCTCAAGTGGTTCCCATAGGATCTTTAACCGTTTTGTTCAGATTTTTGCATGAAAATGCTTCTTTTCATAGAGTTCATAACAATAAACGACTAGACCACTTTTTCAAGCTTAAGTACCCCAATAGGGGAAGGTTAAGTGGACCCTAGAGGTGTACCTCCAAGGCCGCCCTATTGTTGCCCCTAAAGGGATCACTCTGAAGATCCTGAGCAAAGCTACCCTTGTTCAAGGCAGAACCACCCCTATCTTTCTGAAACCCACACTTTTGGCAGTTCTCGGGGGCTCGAGGACGCTTCCAATGATCGCCTGATGAACCTTATCAGCAAGAGCCTGAACTGAGGTCATACTTCGGAACAAATGTACCTTTTTCCCTCTCTAAACCTTGTACTTGTCCATATTTTTGCAAAGATGTCGACAGTCCTCGCTGAGGTCAAACTTCTTGACACGTTTGATCAGCGACGCGATTCGGCCGGGCTCGTTCGTGAATTTCATATCCTGCTGAAGCGGAATGAGAAAATGAAGGTTGGGGATTGACGTGAACTTGGCGTGAGCGTTGAAAATTCCAATTAAGCGAAATTCTTCGAAAAGGTGTTTTTTCGAATTTTGGAATTTTATCCATACAGGGAGCACCTCTTCAACTTTGAGAGCTACGGTCATTTCACTTTCCGGTTCGGATTTTCCTGAAAATTGGTCAGAACACTCCTTGATGTGCCAGAAAAAGATCCTGAAAGTCTCAACCCCCAAAACTTTCTAGTTTTCGAAAAAGGACGCTTCAAAGCCGAAGAAAACCTCAATAAGACATTTTGAGGGGTTTTTCTCGAAAACTAGAAATTTTTGCAAGTTGAGACTTTCAGGATCTTCTTTTGGTACATCAAAGAGTGTTCTAGCCAATTTGCAAGAAATTCCGAACCGAAAAATACATTGACCTTAAGAAGCGCCAACAAACATTGTTTGGCGCAAATTTAGAGCAAGCTGGTTTATATCATGTCGATCTTTTTCAAATCTCATGGAGATATGTTATAATCTGTTAAGGTTTTGAATTTCAAGTTGTCGCTGAAGCTCCGCCCCCGATGATACGATAAGCCAATCAGAGAGCGTCCTTGAATGACGTCATTTTACTTGATATTCAAATTTTTTCTATTTCAACAGACTATAAAAAAATGTAAATTTTAGTTAGAAAATTGATATTAATTGTTTTTCCAATTTCAGAAAACGTTCTGTAAACCCACACAGACACCGTAAAAGTTCTCGGTTTCGTACGCCGTTTTGAGATCTTGTCTGCAACTTCAAGCAAGATCAATATTCCTACAAACTGGGCAACTTACGAGCTTCCTCTGGCCTGAAAGAAAAGCTCGTGGAATGGGAATCAAATAATGGATCATACCAAGCTCCTTTTTGCCATTCGAAATCGACGCCAATTTTTCGGAATGAAGAGGTTGATTTTCCTTTTCACGTCATCAGATTTCACTTATGATTTCTCACGGCGTTCCCAAACAGGGTGGGGAGACGTCAAAAAAATTTTGGCGCGAAATTTGAAATCCCAAGTGCGCAGCCAAATGTATTCTTCATGCGTTGAATACTCAGTTTTACGATAGGTAGCTGTGACGTCACGGTCCTTTATCTGAAGCGCGCACTTACTTTTTTTTTTGTAAATTCAGAAACTTTGACGCCTCGCTCACCTTCCTTCACCCCATTATAGTCTGTTCAGATTTTGAATGTCAAGTGCAATGACGTCATTCAAAAACACTCTGTGGATGGCTCGCTCTCCGATTGGTTTATCGCGCCATTAGAGGCGGAGCTTGAGCGACGACTTGACATTCAAAATCTGAACAGACTATAGGAATGTCGTGTTCTACATTTCCAACAGTTTAAAAGCCACGCCCACTTTTTCTCCGTAAAGTGTCGTGTGTTGTGTGCATGCACGGCGCCGCTGTCGCGCAGTTTATGTAGAGAAATTTCGATTCGTCTTAAAGACCTCTCGCAATACGACGGCCTGCGCCTTTAATAAGCCCTGTTGTTTACGCTTGTTTCCCATGACGTCACGTGGGAGCGGCGGATATTTTGGCTCCACCCGTTTTTGGTTCCGCATTTTTTTCCACTAGCAAAAACGCCGTGAAACCAAAATATACTCATTTTATTCACAAATAATCGTAGGCGTCGTTGACTTTCAGAGTAGGCTTTTCCAATGATAGCGTTCTGTGCGGGATGTTGACCTCTGAGGAAGTAAAAATTGAGAAAAACAAGATGAAAATCGATAGAAACCACTGCCGTGTAGCTCCAAGTTGGCGTACGGATTCTCGTCGGATTTATTCGTCGTAGTGGTCGAACAACCAGGTTTCTTTCTTGCTGAACATTTCTTTCATCAAACCGTGGATATAAAGAAGTTTGGCTCAAAGATTCAAAAAAAATCTGGGGGTCTTCGAAAATTTTCAAAAAAGTTCTTATAGTCTGTTCAGATTTTGAATGTCAAGTCGTCGCTCAAGCTCCGCCCATAATGGTGCGATAAACCAATCAGAGAGCGAGCCATCCACAGAGTGTTTTTGAATGACGTCATTGCACTTGACATTCAAAATCTGAACAGACTATACAAACCTGAACAAGAAAAGAAATATTAAACTTTTTGGTGGTATGAACATTTTTTTATTTTTCTTTATTTCAAAGATTCTCCTTGTGCACAATTTTCTCCTGAATCGAGAAATTTGACTCTCATCTTCAATTTCGAAAGTGTAACGATGCTAAATATCTTCTTGTGAAAGACAATTTTTAGCCAAAAACAACTTTTAAGGCATAAATTTGCGTTATTTTCGAGTATTAGCACATTTTTGCTCTATTAACTACTTGAAAAATTTCCTTTTCGCAGAATTGCATTTTTTTTTTTGGGTTTTTAAAGCGAACGGACAGCGTTCTGACAGGTTTGAAAGACGGCGCAAAATCGCTCGCAACATCGCGCGCGACATCGCTCCATCGCATGCGACACCGCTCGCAACATCGCTCGCGACATCTCACGCGACACCGCTCGCAACATCGCTCGCAACATCGCACGCGACACCGCTCGCAACATCGCTCGCAACATCGCGCGCAACATCGCGCACCGCCTCGGCTTGTGCAACACTCAAAAGTTGACAACTGGCCTCTGGACAACTTCTTAATGAGAATGAGTTCCCTAGAGGCAGTCTCTCTCGGGATTTTCAGTCAAATTTCTTTTTTTTTTCTCGAAACTCCCTTTGAACTCGACTCTTGAGATAAACCAACCTCTCTTTTCATTCTTGGAAATTTTCTCCTTAGAGTTGGGCTTTTCATTGGACGATGTCTTGTCTTTGAAGCCCTTCTTCGACTTGCCGTGGGCTTTCCGACATCGACGTCGTCCGAGGCACTTCGGGGGACTCGACGCCCTGCCGGTGAAGGGCGGCGACGGCGTCCACGTGATGTCTTGGTCGACGTCATGCAGCGGACAAGGTCGGAAACGGGCTTTCCGTTTTCTTCGTTTCCTATTTTTCTTCTGAAACTTCAGATTCACAAGATCGATATTCACATAGTTTATTATGGTCCTCGTAGGGGGAAGAGGGAAAGAAGCCCCTGTAGGGGCCGAAAAAGTGTTCCCTATAGGCGTAAAACAAAGAAGGCCCCTCAAGGGGTTTAGGGTCTGACCCATTAGCCCCTAAAGCTCAAATGGTCCCTATAGAGGTCTTTCAATTTCGATTAAAAGACTTTTTTTAGAATGAAAATGCTTCTTCTCACAGTGCTCATAAAGATAATCGACTAGCATGTCGTCTATAGAGACCGCTTTTTCAATCATAGGGGCTCCTATAGGGGCTGGTAAAGTAGTCCCTAAAGGGGACCCACCAAGGGCCACTCTGCAGTTTCTGAGGAAGGCAAATGCGAAATGATGACTAATTTGAGGACTATAGTCCCTAGAAAACTCGCTATAAGGTCACCAAAGCTATTCTGAAAAGTTTAATCCTTCGAAAAAGTCCAAAAACAGTTTTTGTCATACATAGGATGAGCATGACTGGTCAGCCATGTCCCCCGCCCTCCCCCTTAATGCTGAACCCCCTCGGACTATTTGACATTGAAGAGTCAAACTAGACTAATTCGATGGTGCTGAATCCGAAAATGGCAAGCGTTTTTTTCCGATCACTTTCAACTAAAAAAAAACCCCCTTCTGCAAAAAAATTTTTTTACGGTTTTTTTCCAACCCCCCCCCGTTTTTTTCGTTTTTTCGGCCAAGTCCCCTTTCGTTTCCCACCGAGACTATCCCATGTATGGTTTTTATCTGTTAACGAAATAACATGAACCCGAAAAAATGAAAACAAACCTTCTTTTTACTGAGAATTTGGCGAGGATCGCGGGATTGATTATTGTACTTTCGCGACGGAACTTTTCCCGTATATTCGTCGGCCGACTTTTCCGGACAGCTCACTTCCAACGGACCCTTCTCCCGGTCCGAATTCGACAGCTTCGCTTCCTCTATTGAATCGGTACGTTCTGAGTCGTTTGTAGTTTTTCTGGATGTTTTCTTCTTGGAACATAGTGGGATCAGAAATCCGATAGGAACCACCAACGCCATCAATACGTTTAACATTCTGAAAACATGAAAATTGAAGACAAAGTCACTCAATTGGAGTTTATTATAGTCTGTGTGCCACGACTTGAAATTTCACGGAACGACATTCCGCTGTTCCGCTGCGTGCGTTCGCGAAGCGTCTTTCGAATCTAGGTCACGCTTTCAATTGATTGTTATTACTAGGGGAGAACATGAAAGTAGAGTACCTTAATATAAGAAAAAAAAAAACTAAAATCGCAACCAAGGTTCGCAAAGGCGCGCAGCGGCACAGCGGAATGTCGTTCCGTGAAATTCCATATTATGCAGGTTTTTTTTTCAAAATATTTTCTGATTCCGTTAAATTTTATTACAATTCTACAATTTTTGAATATTCCGTTTTTCATAGTTCATTCTCATACAAACATAAACAAAGTCAGAAAAGGTGGAAAAAGGCTTCATAGAAATGTTCCTTTTTCGCTGTCTTTTTGCGCCATTTTCTCGGCTTTTATGCACCATTTTTGCTGCCTCTCCCTTTCTACCATTTCTTGAGAATCCCAGAAAAAATGAAAGACTCGATAAAGAGACCCGTTTTGATGCCTTTTTGCTGCCTGTTTGCTACCTGTTTGCGGCCTTTTTTCTGCGTTTCTGCGACCTTTTTCAAGCCATTATCCACCATTTCGACTTTGTCCAAGTACAAAATACATTTAAAAAAAAGGTAGAGAAAACTCGAAAATTTCAACTGAATTTCTGAAAATTGTTAAATACCTGATCTATTGGATGACGGCCCGTCCAGTTAGACGGTTCATGTGAAAATGGAGGAAATCTCACGTAAGACGTTTTTTTTTACCGACTCCAAGTTTTTTTTTTTTTTCAAAGTTTGTACTGTAACCGTCGTGCATACACAAAAATCTACGTACACTGCGCGTCGGAATTGAAATTTCGGAATTAAATTGGTATTTTCGAATTAAAACTAGCCTACTTTTTCGTTCATAAAACTCGTTATGTCGCCCGAAAACCACGATCGGTGTATGCACAGTTTAAAAATACAGTACGGCCAACCGAACGGGAAATGTTGGACCTAAATTGGCATCTTCGGATTCTGTAATTGTTGAAACTAGCCTACTTTTCCATTCATAACACTTGTTATGTCGTCCGAAAACCACGATCGGTGTATGCACATTTTAAAAATACAGTACGGCCAACCGAACGGGAAAAAAAAAATTGGCGCCAAAATTGAAATATCAACTACGCAGCCAAAGGCAATCGAACAAACAATTTATTAACGTTGAATACTCAGTGTAACTTTTGACGTAGAATGACGTCATCTTATCCGGAGCGCGCACTTTTTTTTATAAATTCAGAAACTTTGGCGCCTCGCCCCATTAGAAATTCCGTGCAGTGCTGATTTTTTTAACCAGATTATTAAAATTCCTTTTTCTATTCGAACAGAATTTTGAAAAGTGCACCATTTTCAAATTTTTACTCTTCATACTGGTCGCGATGAACTTTGTGTTTTGAGAAAACGTGTCTTTGCGTCACTTTTTCTACAAACAGTTTCTTTTTTTCAGGCTGCCTGATGATAAGACGATCGATTCGCTGAAGAATGGTTAGCCGAATAAACCGAATACTTCAATCGAAGTCATAAGGTATTCTGTTTTGATGAGTCATCGCTTTGAATCTATTGAGAAAGAGTTGGACGAATAGATTGGTGATAAAAATTTGAGAGCTCGAAAAAATCTGATTTTTATTCCATGATCATGATAAGATATCACTGTTTTTACAAAGTTTCGAAGAAATTTTTGAAAACAATCCAATTTCTCCCCCAAAAATCTATCCCGTATTTGCTCGAGATTTTCACACGTTGTTGCGATTGAACGCAAATAAGCGGTTTCGATCCGGCCGACCGTTCAGGAAACGACGGAAAAGCGAAAAACCAACGCGCGACGCGGAAATTGAAATGACAAGCGAATGACCAGAATGAAGAAAAAAAAACAACTTTTTTTGGTCTGAAAATGGTGTAAATCGTTTAAAAATCAAGGAAGTTTACGGAAAAAAGGATGTTTTTTTCAAAAAGCTCGAGAAATATTATGAGAAGGTTTTCAGTAGCTGGGAAAACTTTTAGTGGCCCCTATAGGGTTTGGACGTTTTAGTGGCCACTATAGTAGTCAAAATAGTGGCCACTTAAGGGGTTAAATATTAGTGGCCACTATAGAGGTCTAAGTGCTACTACTAGACCAGAAAAAGCTTTAGTGGCCACTTTAGGGGTCAATCGATCAACATAACTGGTCCAATCTTTGTTTTAAAATTATCAGAGTTACTGAAAGGAGTACTGGATGAAAAACTACTGAAGTGGCCACTAAATAGAGAGTCTCTATAGTGGCCAATAAAACGAGAAATAGAGGCCACTATAGAGGTGGGTTTAGTGCTCACTTTAGTGTCCTCTCCAAGTAGTCCTTGGCGAGCCTCTATAGTGGCCACTTGAAATTTTTCCCAGAAAATGACTGAAAAAAATGAAGTTTTTTTGATATAAAATATATGTTTCAAAAAGTCAATTATCTTAAATTTCGAGTTCGATTTATTCCCACAACAATAAAGCTTCATTTTGATTCAAAAATTGAAATTTGAAGCCAAAAGAAAAATTTTTTTTGTTTTGGCTGTATATCACATGTCCTCAAGCCCTTTTTCCTACTTCCTCGCTTCGAAACTCATATTTCTTGCTTGAAAAACTGGTTCGTTATGGTCAATTCTTCGTCCGAAACGACCTTTTTCATTACGGCCCCGACTGTAAAGTGTCTGGGTAAATGGCGCTGAGAGAGAAAAAAAACTGGAACAAAACTTCCTTTTTCTTTTCGAAGCGCAATTTTGATCGAGAAATTGTGACTGTTTGAAAAAAAGGCGAAAGGTCAAAAGTTTGTTCCATCGAACTTACTGAGTTTTGATCTTTTTGATTTCTTTCTAGCTTTTTTTTTCGTGCTGATGAGGCTTATTTTCGACCTTCTTCTATAGCCAGTAAGATGTTCCCTAGAGTGACCCTTTTGGCAAGATTGACGTCAGAGCTAAAATGCAAGTTTGAAGCTTAAGGAAATAAGTAAAAAGTTGGTTTAAGAAGTCTTTGAAGGATCAAGTTCTTCTTTGAAGGTTTCTAAAGCTTTTTTGAAGCCTTTAGAGGGACTTTTTGATTTTTCTCTTAGGAAAAGTAAGCCCTACACATTTCGAACCGCAGTTTCTTTTAAAAGCAGAACTAAAAAATGTTTTTCATTGTAATCTATAAACCTCTAGCGCTATCAGCTGCTTTCAGTAGTCCCTAAAGTGACTTCTTTTTTAAACACCGCTCTCAGAGCGAATACGGATTCTTGAAGTTTTAAAAAGCCAGCTCTAATCATAAGAAGAAGCTTAGTCTCACCTGTAACACTATCACTAGCTTTCTATGACCCTAGAGTGACTGCTTTTTTGGGAACCACCTTACCACGAAAGTTTCTCAGTTCACAGTGAGACTAGGCTCACTAGATGTAGTTTTTTCCGCAGATTCTAAATCTGTGCTCAAAAGTTGCCCTCGAGGCCTGTGAAAAAAGTTAGGGGCTCTCAAAGTCGATGTCTCCGATTGAGTTCATTTGGTTAGATCGGATACGAATTTTTAAAGAGTCTTCGAGTTTTCAAAAACTAGCTCTAACCATTAGAAGCAGCATCTCTAACTATGTCACTAGCTGTCCACAGCCCCTAAAGGGATTCCTTTTTTTTTGGATCTGCCCTCAGAGCCTCAGAGCGAAATACACATTTTCAGAAAGGCTCAAAATTTCCAAAATCGATCTCTGACGATGAAAAAAGTTTCAGTCGCATCTCTAAAGCTATCACTAGCTTTCCATACCCCTAGAGTAACTTCTTCTTAGAAAAAGTCCCTCAGAGCGAATGGTACCTCTAACTGTGAAAAGAAGTCTCATGTAACGCTATCACTAGTTTTGCATACCCCTAGAGTGACTTCTTCTTGTCCTCAGAGCGAATATGCATTTTCGAAAAGCTCTAAAATTTTCAAATGGGAGCTCTAACCATGAAAAGAAGCCAATGTAACGCGATCACTATCTTTCCCTAGTCCCTAGAGTGACCTCTTCTTCGGAAAAGTCCCTCGGAGCGAATTTTACCTCCAATCTCAAGAAGAAGCCAATGTAACGCTATCACTATCTTTCCCTAGCCCCTAAAGTGACTTCTTCTTTGGAAAAGTCCCTCAGAGCGAATAGTACCTTTAACCATGAATAGAAGCCCCATGTAACGCTATCATTAGCTTTCCTTATCCCTAGAGGGACCTCTTCTTCGAAAAAGTCCCTCAGAGCGAATAGTACCTTTAACCATGAATAGAAGCCCCATGTAACGCTATCATTAGCTTTCCTTATCCCTAGAGGGACCTCTTCTTCGAAAAAGTCCCTCAGAGCGAATTTTACGTCCAATCTCAAGAAGAAGCCCATGTAACGCTATCACTAGCTTTCCATAGCCCCTAGAGTGACCTCTTCTTCGCAAAAGTCCCTCGGAGCGAACTTCAGTTAAAACCACGAGAAGTAGCACGTGTAACGCTATCACTAGCTGTCTACAGCCCCTAGAGTGACTTTTTTTTTTCCAACAAACCGTGCGCCAAATCAAACAGCCCGCCCTCGCCAGTTGTTTCCGCTTCCGTCGTCAGTTTCGAGAAGAAGCCACGCCCAACCGAGAATGATATAAAATGTAGCCGGAGACAAAGCAGTTTGCTATCATTCTGCCAACGCATTTTTTCAGATAGTTTTACAATTTTCCCATTTTTCTCTTTGTCTCTTTGACCCATTTAACATCTGGTTGTTTTTCGGCATTCTTGAACTTTTTTAAAAACTTTTTCTCACTATTGATTTTTTTTTTCCTGTAGACTGACCTTATCTCTCGGCTTCTCTCCGTGGTTGGCGTCCTTCTATGACGTCATAAAATTCCCACTATTCATTCTAGTTTTGGATCCAACTTGAAAACTTGAAAAAATTGTTTTTGAGATTCATATTCCGCTCATGTTAGCCTCTTGAGTCTTTCAATGAAATATCAGACTTTTTGCTCCTTTTCTGTCAATTCAAGGTCTTTTTCATGACTTTCTCAAGCCCCTTTTTGATTTATTCTGGTTCTCCCAAAAATATTTATCATCTCCAAACTTCTCAATTCTGTTTTCTTGTAAACTTGAAGCTGAAAAAAACCAAAAAAAATCTCTAATCCAGCTCAAAATCGAAAAAATACAATAGAAATTGATCCAGAATGAACAGCTACACGGTTCTGCTCCTATTGGCAATGTGCGGCTTGGCAGCGAGCCAATGGGGCGGCGGCGGGCCAGGATGGGGCGGTCCGGGCGGTCCCGGAGGCTGGAACGGGCCCAACGGGGGCTGGAATGGTCACGGTGGCGGCGGTCCAGGCGGCTGGAATGGAAACGGAGGCGGGCGCAATGAATGGGGTAACGGAGGATGTAAGTTGCGCTCCGTTGAGAATCTCTTTCTGAATCATCGATGAATCAAAAAAAATTAAAATTCTATTAGTCCTTTAACGAACTGATCAAGACTTCTATGCTTAAAAATATCAAGGAAGAGTCCTGTTTTTGCCATTTTCAGAAAAAAATTTTATCAATTTGGTTCGGATCATGTCGAAAAATTTTCTTTTTGTCGTTTTCAAGTATTATTTTTTATTAAAAAGCAGGGTAAAACATAAGAGTGGCCCCTATAGGAGTAAGGGCCAAAAAAGTGGTCCCTATAGTGGTTTAGAATCTGATCCCTTAGCCCCTAAAAAAGGTTATTTTTTTAGTTTTTCGCGTCGAGTTCGTTAAAATTATTGACTAGACTGACTCCTATAGGGAGCACTTTTGCAAGCTTTATTGGCCCCTATAGAGGTTGGTAAAGTGGTCCCTAGAGGACACCCTCAAAAGGCTCCGCAGGTTACCCCTGTAGTGATCCCTCTGGAGTTCCTAAGAGCTCATAAGTTTCAAAAATGAGCTGTAATCTGAGGTTGTTGGTTTGAATCCTGATTGGTTTTTTTAAGCCAGAATCGGCTGAAAACCTTTTTTTTCTTTTAAGAAGGACCTATTGTTCATCGAAACTGTTCTAATCCCATTATTGATTTTTCAAAGTCTTAAATTATAGTATTCTGACCAAAAAATGGAAGGAACTGACTTCTTTTGAACCTCATTTTCCTCGTTTTCCAGTCGGCGGACGAGGCGGCGGTCGCGGTGGCGACTTCGGCGGCCGTGGCGATTTCGGCGGTCGCGGCGACTTCAATGGACGCGGCGGCGATTTCGGCGGCCGAGGCGACTTCGGAGGTCGCGGCGGCGGTGGCCGCGGCGATTTCGACGGCGGATTCGGTGGAAACCGAGGGAACAATGGCGGTTTTGGAGGAAATCGAGGCGGTGATTTTGGAGGTTTGGGAATTTTTCTTGCGATTTTTGGATCTTATGCCGTGTTCATAGTAATTTCCGTGAGACTCTCCAAAATATAGTTATCTCTTTCACGCATTGACACGGCATTACTGGGAAAATTTTTAGTGGCCACTATAGTAGTCAAATTAGTGGCCACTTAAGGGGTTCAAAATTAGTGGCCACTATACACGGCGTTTCTGCCAGTTGAAGAAAATGCAAGGAATTTGAAACTCGGCAAAGTCTGCGCACTTCTCGAAATTCGCCCGCGAAATTTGAAAAAGTGGCTTTATTTTTGATTTTTTGTCTATTTTTTCATATTTTTTCACTTTTTCTTTTCGTAGATTGCTGATAGTATTGCGGGACCACGATCGGGGTATACTCTGGGTTGTTAGACGTTTTTTTGAAAGTAGTTCTGTGAGGCTAACTTTAAAACTCGTGATGAAGAAGCGTTTTGAAAATCTCCACCTGTTTGTATGGAACATGTTTCACCCCATTTTATGTTTTTCTTATTCTATTTTTTTGTCGATTGTTCAGATTCCTAGGTTGTGGACATCAATGAGATGAAGTTACATGAAAAAAAGTCTGTGAAGTTGAGAAAGTATGTTCCGGAATTCATTTATATCCGGATATTCCGTCAACTTTTTTTATAATAAAAAAAGTACTTGCTTTAAAAACATCTTTTTATTTGTTTCTCCACAGCAATATAGTTTTATTTAATCTCTTTTTAATTTCCTCGTCTTTTTTTCTTCAATGTTCATTCGTTTCTCACACTTATATCATCGGTTAACCTTATTTTCCAAATTTTTTGTGCGTGCACTAAACACGTCCTAATTGACGGAGAAAAGTGGGCGGGGCGTCGCAAAAGAAACACCGTGTATAGAGGTCTAAGGGCTACTACTAGACCACTAAAAATTTAAGTAGCCACTTTAGGGGTCAATGGATCATCATAACTGGTCCAATCTGTTTGTTTTAAAACTATCAGAGTTACTGGAAGGAATACTGGATGAAAAACTACATAAGTGGCCACTAAAACGGAAAATAGTGGCCACTTTAGTGTCCTCTCCAAGTAGTCTCTTTAGTGGCCACTAAAGTTTTCCCAGTAGTTTGAAAGAGCTCTTCAAATTTCAATAGTCCAAAACAGCGAAAAAAAAATTAATTCCAAAATTTTTCCAGGACGAGGAGGCGGCAACGGTGGCGGCCGTAATGATGGACCTAACCGTGAGTTTTTCTTTACTCCAGCAAAAATCTCTCCTAGACTCGAACCCGCGACCCTTTGAGCCTCAAAAAATGGTAATTTTCAGCCAACGGCGGCCTGATCATCGCCGACCGTGTCCTGGGATCCCTTCTCGGATAAAATAAGAAGAAAAACGAGAAAACTTATTAATTTATTGCACATATGTGGAGAAAAAAATCAGTTCAAAGACGGTTCGTCGAATAAAAAAAATATCCCTATAAAAGCACCAGGTTTTTGGGATTTGTGGAAAAATTGTGGGGGTTATTTGCGATATAAATTAAGAAGTGAAGTGAATTTCAAGTCTTTAGAATGATTGGAAAACTGGAGAACCGAAGAGGTGATAAAAAAATGCTAAAATTATGAAAAATTAGGGGGATTTTTTTGAAATAATTATGAAAAAGGGGGATTTTTTTCGCAATAAATATGAAAAAGGGGGATTTTTGCAATAATTATGAAAAAAGGGGGATTTTTTTCGCAATAATTATGAAAAAGGGGATTTTTTTCGCAAAAATTATGGAAAAAAATCGGGATTTTTTAAAAAAATAAATAGAGAAGTGAAGTAAGTTTCAAGCCTTCAGAAAAAAATTGGATATTGATAAATTTTTGGAGTAATTTCGGACTATAAATCACTAAAATCTAAAAAAATATTAAAAAGGAGAAAATTTAGGTCTACCTATGAAGTGTTGGCCTTAATTTGCTTAGGAAATGATCTGAAAAAATTACGATTTGAGAAAAAAAAATTCCGTTTCACCTGGCCCAACTCCTAGATCCTCTGAGAGTCATTCTGAAATTCAAGAAAATCAATAATTGATTTCTAACAAAATACCTGAAGTAATTTATGAAAAAAGTCCCAGTCCAAGACCCTATCGGCACTTTTTGAGAGATACTCGCCCATGCAGAGGATGGCACCGAAATCGAATTCCGCTCGGACTTTGTTGGCTGGAAATGGCAAAAAACCGGAGGTGGAGTCGAACCAGCGACCCTGCGAGTGCCACGAACCTAACAGCATATGAGATCCAATTAAAATGGGTAGATATTCGACGCCGATCACGCAGATTTCGTGACGATGCTTTTTCGAAAAACACGGCCTTTTCCCGTAATTCCAGTGGGTCCATCTGGAAGAAGCTTCCTTGATGTTTTGTCAATCGATAATTTAGAACCGAACAAAAGATTGATGGCTTTGTTTGGGAGGCATTTGGCCGGGAAGGTTCAGCCAGGAATTTGTATATAAAGTGGAAAACAACATTTCATCCACCCCATAGCGCTGAAGTCAATAGAAAAGTTCGAAAATCAGAATTTCCAGGAAACTTTTTTCCTATCAAACTCCTTCAAGACCTGCTCCATGTTGACAAGTTCAAAGATGCCGTCAATGAAAGGTCTCGACACGAAAACTTGGTTCAGACTCTTGGTAATGGTCAGGTTTCGTCGGAGTTCCTCTTCAGACTTGCCAGTTTCTGAAAAGTTTCAGGAGTCGATCTAGTGACCCTTTGGACGCCACCTACCATTCTTCCAGAACGAAATTTTGCCCGGAGACCAATTTCTCTTCGATTCGTACTTCGTCTTGGGCATCCTGTCTGCACTGACGCCCGACACATTTCCCAACATTTCACTGATTTCTGATAATTCTTTGGGTGACTTCAGAATCAGATCGTCGTTCTGAAATTTTTTTGACTTCTGATGAGAATACTGAGGAGATTTACCTGAAGAGTTAGGAGATGGGACCATTTTTGCGTTTTCAAAAGTTCCATGCAAGCAAAATGCCCCGAGTCTTGGTAATGTCCAGCCGAATCGAAATTGAACATCTAGAAAAAGTGGTCACTCAAGTGTTTTCGATTTTGAAGTGGTCCCTCAAGGGTTGAACATTCAAAACGGTAAGACTTTGGGGAAAAGAGGAGGGAAAGTTACCACATAAATGATTTTCAAATTTCAGTTCTCTTGCTATCTGAGGAAACAGGAAGTGGCCTCTTAAGGAATCGGCCTTCGAAGTTGCCTCTTAAGGGATTTAAGGTCCTTTAAAAATCGGAATTCCAGCAACGAAGTGAGGGAAAATTATAGAAAGGGTTTTGATAGATTTTCAATGCAAGAGGTTCCTTGAGGGCTGAAAAAGAGCTTTTTTCAAGGGGTCACTTAAGGGCACAAAAGGGTCTTTTTTCAAGAGGATCCTTAAGGGTTCAAATTTCTTAAAGGTAAAACTTGGGGGAAAAGTCACCACACAAATGAATTTTAATTTAAAATTTTAGTTCTCTTGCTACCTGAGGAAACAGAAAGTGGCCTCTTAAGAACTCGGCCTTCGGAGTTGCCGCTTAAGGGATTTAGGTCCTTTAAAAATCGGAATTCCAGCAACGAAGTGAGGGAAAATTATAGAAAGGGTTTTGATAGATTTTCAATGCAAGAGGTTCCTTGAGGGCTGAAAAAGAGCTTTTTTCAAGGGGTCACTTAAGGGCACAAAAGGGTCTTTTTTTTCAGGGGCTCCTTGAAGTTGACTCTTAAGGGCTTTATGGTCAGTTAAAATATCAGAATCCCAACAACGAAGTAAGGGAAAACTATGGGAAATAAAAAAGGGTTCTGAATGATTTTCAATGTAAGAGGTTCCTTGAGGGCTGAAAAAAGAACTTTTTTCAAGGGGTCACTTAAGGGCACAAAAGGGTCTTTTTTTCAGGGGCTCCTTGAGAGCTTATTTTTGAGGGGCTTCTTAAGCATATCTTTTCTCTTTTTCAAGGGACTTCTTAAGGGCTCAAAACCATTTTTTTTTTCAATCTCCTGATTTTCTTTTTCTCACCTCCTCAACGATGAAAACGTTGTCCAAACAGTCTGAAAGCTGAAACATGGAATTTTTGAAAAAATCGTCGGCTTTTTGATCGATCGCGTAGCAATAGGAGTTATTAGGATGGTAGGAAAAGGCGAGAAAAGCTTCTTGTTGGGGGTACGACTGAAAACGGCAAAAACGCGGATGGGAGTCGAACCAGCAACCCACCTGAAAGACGTTTCTGGCGAACGCTATCGATCTGGACATGTCCAATCGATAATCAACCTCTCCGGATCCGATTATCCTCTTCCTGATCGACTCGCAGTCCATTGGAGCCGGGTACAGCTCATCCTGAACTTTCTCTACTCATTTTTGTGATTTTCGCAAAAAAAACGACCTTTTTTATTTGGATTCTCTTGCTTTTCCTGTACCGGTCTATGGCTCCGCCGTCATTTTCGAGAAAAGCCAGACAATCATAAGCGATTTTTGCTTTTTTCAGAGGTCTGAACACTTTTTTTTGGATTTATAAGAAGGAAAAACCTTGGATCTACGTAGGCTTCCCACAGTTCTTCATAATTAGATGTGAAATTTGTGTTCGGCCGATATTTCAAGAAAAATTTACGCACTTGTTCGGTTTGCTTGTGGAATGGAGACTGAAAATGATATAAGATTTTCGAAATTCAAAATTTAGGAATTTATTTTTGAATAATGATTTAGAAAAATGTTCCCAAGAGACTTGAGACCTTAGCGAATTACAAACTTCGAAAAAATGGAACTGGCTAAAATTTCACTGTACGCGACCGGAGATCGAACCAGGGTCTCAAGTTTGAAAAAAAAATAAATCAGTCTTTTTTTCAAGAGCTACCATAAAAATGTATCGCTCATTTTCCACACCGAAAAACTTTTTTCATCCCTTCAAAACAAAAAAAACCTGTTTGAACACTGAAAACTGTTCGAAACTAATGTAAGAATCGTTCCAAAAGAAGCATAAAAGGAAGAAAATCGAAGCGAATATCAATACAGAACTCGAAAAAGCGACCATTTGGGATGTCGTCATTTCGACGCAAAGTTTTATTCCGTCATAGGCAGATTTTTGGGGATTTGGGTGTCTTTTTTTCTCTTTGCGAGCAGATCGGTCAATTTTTTTGAACTTTATTCTTTTTGGTTCTTCGGTCATTGGAGGGTTTGCAGTTTTTTTGCTGTAATTGAAGCATTTTTGGGTGGTATTGGAAAAAAATTAAAAATTTGAAAAAAGGAAAAAACGAGCGTGATAATCGGATCAGAAATTAAAAAAAGTCTATAAAAAAAGCTCGGATAATATTTTTGTAGTTTGATCTCGCTTGGGAACGATTTTCGTTTTTTAGCCCCCGGTTGAATTAAAAAAAAAGCTTACTTCAGAACTTCCTGATTCCAAACCAAAAGAAATATTTCTTGCGAAAAAATTTTTTTTTCAATTCATGAAACCTCAAACTTTCAAAAAAAATTGACTTTAGGAAAACGACTGTGATCACTGAAGAGTTCCGACGCTACTGAAGTGATCCCTAGAAATACTTAAAAACCTCCGAAGCGCGTCCAATTTGCGTCCGAGAAGAGGGGAAAAAAGCCACAAAAAACGGATTTCGCCATGGGGCACACTTCCCCTTTCACGTATTTTTTTCCCCTTTTCCCTTTCTGAAACTCTCTTTATAAAGCAACTGAGCGAAGATTCGTATTATTCAAGGCAAGAAGGATCATTTCGTCGGAAATTCGATCATCTGAAACTTTGAAACAATCGTTTTATTCTAGAAAAAAAAAACCTTTTCGGAAATTTAATCCATTTATTCGCGGTATAGTTTCCTATTAGATCTAGATGTTTCGCTAAAATTAAAAACTGTGAAAAAGTTCATTAGAGCTTCCAATAGGACCTGAAAAAGGTGAAAATTTAGAAACCTATCAGCCAATGTAGACTTCCAAGCCTTGGGAGAAATTTCAGTTCTTCTTTCTAAACTTGCCCGGAAAAAGAATGAAAAACAAAGTTAAAAAATTTTTTTTACAAAAGAAAAAATAATTTTGCCGCCAAGGCCCTTACTAGAAAACGTCCCCCCCCCCCGGTTTAAATTTTGCTGAAACTTTGCTGAAGTGTACTTTAGGACCTCCTGATTCCAGAACAGAAAAAAAATTTCTCGCATTAGATCTCGTTTTTGGGTTAGGACACTTCAAAAGCCTGAAATAGCGCTTTTTTTGGCCTAATTTGCGTATTTGGCACACTTTGAAGCTCCATAACTCGGAAACAAGATCTAGTGCGAGAAATTTTTTTCTTGATTTGCAATCAGGGGGTCCTAAAGTACACTTCAGCAAAGTTTCAGCAAAAGTTCAACAGTTCCCCGGTTAGCCCATCTCATAACGGATATTTCCTAAGATTTTCAGATTTTTTCCTTCAACCTTCAATGAAAAAGTAGGGAAGAACCAGAAAACTTATTTTGCCGTACCCGTTGGCCATTTTTCTAATTGGCGCAATCGTCACAAAAAAACAAGGGGCGACGTTTTTCTCCTTTTTTTTTCTCGCCACCCAAAAAATTCGTTCAGAAATTCATGGGCTTCTTGTACTTGCTCATTCTTTTTGGCATTCATGCACAAGTTTCCAAGTTCTTTGCTTTTTTTTTGGACTTGAAGATTTCATTTTCAAGACCGCATTTGGAATGGCTTTTTTTCCCCATAAAATATTTGAATCATGAGCTATCGAAATTCCTTCAAGAAACCTTTTTGGAGTAAAGAAGAGCCTTCCCAATTACTATTCCTGATGAAACGTCTAATTATTATGCAAATAGGGTCTCGAATAAATTAGAGAAAAGAAGGAAATCGACCAATTTTGAGAAGATGTTGATTTTGTGGCCTTTTTTCACGGATCAGAATATTTTTAGGGAAATTGGGAAAAAAACATTTTCTTGAGATTTCTGATCACTGTTTTCTTTGATCATTTCACTCTGGCTGATCAATTAATCATAAGTGATCCCTTAAGGACAACATATGATATAAAGTTACGACTTGACTAGCTCTCTATACAGTTCTTGCTTACTTTAAAATATTGATTTCTCTAATCCTCTTCAACCTTCATTACTCTCTCGTTCTTTCATTTTCTTTTCTTCCTTCTCGAAAAATCTCTGATAGCTAAAAACCTTCCAAAACCACTCTAATCATTTCCATTTTTCTCTGATCCTCTTCAGAAATCGTCGCTCTCTCTACTTTTTCTTTTTCATCTCTATTGTTCTAAATCACATATGACAAGTGACTACTGACCGAAAATGGTGTAAATTTTCTTTGTTTCTCTAAATCTCTTCAAGTTTCGGCACTCTAATCGAATTTTCTTTCGTTCCGAAGACTTCGATTAGGTTTCCACCATTCAAAATTTCAGTTTAGTTTCCATGATTTAATTTTTTTTTTTTTCTTGTGGCCCTTAGTATGAATAAATGATTGATTAATTCTTGCAATCTTAAAAAATATTTTAATTAGCTATTTTTCTCTGAATCTCTCTCAAAAGTCTTTAGTCTCTTCTCTCCTGGAAAAATATATTTCAGTTTCTCTAAATCTCTCCCAGACGTCCTTGATCTCTCCTCTCATGCTCGAAACCTCTATTGAGAGCTCTCCTGACCGTTCAAACTCCTTCTCAATTTTGGTTCTTGGCGTCTCTGCCTTCTGCACACTCTCTCACCGTGACCTCTGATCAACCGATCGTCTCACGAAAAACATTTGTAGAGGAAAAGGCGCCCCCTTTCCGACCGCCCCGCACGAGGATGATGACGTCATCAGGACCGTCGAGGTTCTCGTCGTTACTCAGGCCGCCGTTTCGGCTAGAAGAAAGGGTTTGTTCAAGCTTCTTTGATTTTGTATTTTCATGTATTTTTACTTATTTTTTTCGGCATAACTCTGCTCATTGAGTAAGTTCAGTATGGAAGAAGAAAAATAGCCATAAAAATGTCTATTGTCGGTTGGAATGTGCGCTCTATCGATAAATTTTGAAATAAAAGCATTTTTAAATTTTTTTTCGATTTTTTTTTAAATTGTTCTTACCACGGATCGCTTTTGATTTGCCATTGTAAGCGATTCGTTTCATCATTCAGTTTCCCAGAAAGTTATTATTTTCACAAGAACGCTTCGAAAAAAAGACTGATATTACAGTTTCAATCAATCAGTTTAAACTTTTTTTTTCTGAAAAAACTTTTGCCTACTAAGATATTTTTTGGTTTATCATTTTATTGGACTTCTACGGCAGTTTCAAACTCTACAGAATATCCCTTCAGTGATTTTAGAACTTAGTTCATGCCTGTTAATTGTGGAAATCGCCCCAATAAATCCGCGTTATCCATAGAGCGCACTCGCCAACTTCCCTTCACCCTTTTTATTCCTCGCTTTCTCGTTTTTCACTACCCAAAGTGACGCGGCTCACTCCATTGTCAGATCCGTATTATTGCTTCTATTCCTTGGTTGGGCATCGTCACGAGTCCAGAAGACGTGCCGACCCTAATCAGATGTGATATGGGCGACGACGCGAGGAACGCACTGCTTCCAGTCGCCGTCGCCGGCGTCGCCGCCGACATTCCCATGCAATTGGCCTACCATCAGAAGGTGCTTACATTTAGGAGTCTAGTTGGGATTTTTGTTCGTTTCGTGTCATTTAAGGTCCAAGTAACTATGCCGTCCCCGTTCGAGTAGTATCTTTAAGGATCAAGTTGGGATAATGGTTAGCCCTATCTCATTCGACTGTTCCATTTTCTTCCAAGTAGATATGCCTCAAAACCGAGGTTCCTGGCTTTAGTGAGATTTCATTAACCTACTATCAAAAAGTGCTTACATTTAGGAATCTAGTTGGGGTTTCTGTTCGTTTCGTGTCATTTTAACTGTTTCCTTGAGGTCCAAGTGGATGTGGCTCCAAAGTGAGCCCTTTTCAGCTTCTCCATTATTTTTTTAAAATTATTTTTCTTCCTGGCTGTAATCAGATTGTATCAGCCTACCATCATTTTGGGATCTGTAGTTGGGATTATTGTTAGTTCTATCTCATTTGAACTGTTCTATGACGCCCAAAATGAGCCCTCTTTCAGCTTCTCTATAAACCCTTTCCTTATTTTTTTGAGATGAGACTGGACTATTATCAGAAGGTGCTTACATATGGAAATTTAGTTTGAATAATTGATCATCTTGTGTCATTTTAACTGTTTCCTTGACGTCCAAGGAGATATGCCTCCAAAGTGAGCCCTCTTTCAGCTTCTCCACAGTGTCTTTTTTATTATTCATTTTCTTTCTGGCTGTAGTGAGATTGTACTAGCCTACCATAAGAAGGTGTTTATATTTAAAAAGTTGTTGGGATATTCGTTCATTTTGTCTCATTTGAATGTCACATTAACGTCCAATTCCTCAAAAACAGGTAAATCTGTTTCAGGTATCGTTATAGCGCTTTTCTGAGCTTATATTAAAATTCACGGTCCTTTCATCATTCTCTGAACTATTTGTGACTAAATGAGCTTTTTTCACCAACAAGCTTGAATTTTATAACCTCATCTTCATATCTCGTCATCGCTCCCATCATCTCAAACCTCCTCCTGACTTCTTGTATGCCTGAAGTCCTATTCCCGACTTATTTCATAGCCCTCTTATCGATCAACAATGACGATTATTGCTCGAATCAAAAATTTCTACAGTCAAAACTTGAATTTCCGACTGCCTCCTTTCCAATTTTTCGAAATTTTCTCTCAAATTACTTCCATTCTCAAGGGCCATTCAAGCCCTCTTGAGAAAACTATTAACCTTGATTTTTTCTTCCTCAAGACGTTCCCAAGCCGTTTCCTTGATTTATTAGCTCACTCAGTAAACTTCAAAAAATAGCTGAAAAAAATCCGAGTACCGCCGAGGTTTTGTTTGACTTTCAACGGCTTGCATCAACATGTAAAGTTCGTTCTCTGATTTGAACGAAATTTTCGAAAAAATGTTTTGTTTAAAAAGACCTAATAGTACAATTCATGGCTTAAATTTCGATTTTTATTAGAAAAGACATTTTCAGATCGTCGCAAAAGGGAAAAGGTTTGAATAAAAAAAAAACAACTCATTTTCGCCAAGAATAGTGTTTTCTGCATCATCTTCCAATATCTAAACATCATATTAACACTAATGAATCATTTCCGAACAGAAAAACAAAAAAAAAATCAGGAATTCTGATCATTACAACCTTTTTCGCTATCCAAAACAGGCTAAAACAGGTTGAAAATGGCAATTTCTCATTTAGGATGACTTGCCGTTTCACTTATCTTTTATAAATTTATGAGATTCGGCAATTTTTGGGCGAGGGCTAACTGGGTGGAAGATTCACATTTTTCTACCCGTAACCCCTTGCCTCAAAAAGGCTAAAATTAAAATTTCAAAATTTATAATTAACATTTTTTTATCTGATGAAAACGATAAGAAAAACCACTATTCTGGTTTTTTTGGACCAGAATTTTGGTTTCTTTTTTTTCAACTTTCTACAACTCCCAACGCCAAAAAGTTAGAACTCCAAAAGCCGTTCAAAATTGGGTCTTATAACGATACAGTAACTTTCAACAGTGAACTTAACTGGCGAATAGAATTTTTCGTTTAATATTCCCATATAAATTCGAAAATTGGAGATCGCGTGTCTTTGTGAAAATTCATACCGCGATATATCGTTTGGGACCCATTTCTAACGGCTCCCGGGATTTAATTTTGTCTATTTCGCGAAATCACTTTGAAATTTCAACTAGCTCTTTCATTGCAAAATTTGCCCCCGACCAGCTCCGATTTCACCTCTCATTCGATCCTTATTTCATTCAACTAGAAATTTAAAATTATTGATGAGCTCAAAGTTACTTTACGAAAAGCTGCGAGCTCCCAAAAATCATGGAAGAGCCCCTAATGTTTCTTTATATTTCAAATTAACAGCCTCAAATATAGATTAAAACTGCTCCATTGGGAGCGAAACATTTTCTCAAAAAAGCCACCCTCTTCGAAAAAGTATATAGAAAGCAGTAGAGCCACCAAAACGTTTTGCGGCCGACTTTCACTGGTTTACCGGCTCAAGTCGTCCGTTTTCCAGTTTCAACAAACCTTTTCCTATTCTTATGGATCATCTAGGACTGTTTGCGACCGACTTTTACCAGTTCCACGCCTCAAACTGTCTTTTTTTCCCCACCAAAACGACATGGATATTCAAACCCTCCAAAGAAAGCCAGCCCTTCTAGGTTTTAGAAAACCGTAAAATTCAACAATCAAATAATATTTCAACCGACTTTTAGTGCTCCCAAGCCGTAAATTATCAATTTTCAGACCCAGAAATGCCTGCTCTTCTCCCTCCTTTCACACACGCTGCTCTACGTTCTGCTCAACTTCGTCGTGCCGGCGACGCCTTTGGCAGCGGCTTTCTTTCTCGATTTGGTCCTGCTCGTTATCGCCGGCGTCGGCATAAACAACAGGATCCCATGGCTTCTGCTACCCAACTTAATCGTTAAGGTATCCCATTAATCACCTGGATATTAATTAAAGTAAACTTAAACTACAAATTGAGACATTTTCCAGTTCCTACTATTCCTGACGGCTGTCGGTGTGACCTGCCTGTGCATTGGCGGGCTTAATGCCAGTCCAAAAGCAGCTATCGAAAGGGCTCAGGTAAATTGTTCCTTTTTTTTATAGTTTACCTCTCTTTCATCAACTTTTTCGACTAAACACCTTCTTAATCGGCTACCTCAGCTTTAAAAAAAAACCTTATAGTGGTCCCTTTCCCTTCTCTCACAACCTAGGCTGATGACTCCAAAAAAAACGATGATATTCATAAAACCGTCAAGTTGTTTTGCAAGCTTCTGAGTGACCCCTTAAGTTAATATGTCAATTTTTAGTTCAGAATTTACTTTCTTAAGGTCATAATATAAAAATCTCAATTCAATAAAGTGATCCCTTCTTGAAATCTTCTGAGTGCTCTTTTAAATGAAATAAAATTTTCAGTTCCGGAAAGCTCACACTCCGGAGCTGCTGACGGCTCTCCTAGAGCAACACCCTTCGATTCCGCTTTGGTCCGTAGTCGTGGTCACACTTCTAGCTATCGAGACTAAGTTTGTTCTAATTATTACATTTTTAATAATCCCCTTATCCATAATTTTCCATTATCGCTAAGATTTGGAATTTAGATTATTCTTCACGGCCTGGAAACACGTGGAAATCAAACGAGCCGAGGATAATCAGGAAAAGGTGAATATTGCTTTTATAGTTGCTTTTTGGCTATGTTTCTTAAAATTTACTATTTCTCGGTAAAAAATCGAGATTTTCAGAACCCCCCGCCGTACTCGGTTTGCATGTCGTCGTCAAAATCGGTCAATTCTCTACCGACCTACGCCGACGCCATCAAAAAGGCCCAAGCCCGAGCTCCACCCCCACCTAAGCTTCACGAATCGGCCGTATGATTTGACAAACTTTTGAGAATGTTTCGGAATCGAAAAAAGCAGCCTCAGCACTGAAAATCACTCAAAAAAAAATTGAGTCTCCAAATCAATAGACAGATCCAGAAGGGTCGCCTCTGCATTTTTCGAACTTCGGAACATTTTCCAAAAGAGCAACTACTCGTGTCTCTTTGTGAAAAATCTCCCTTTCAAAACCGCATTTCGAAATCCCATATTGCCATTCCTCAACATATTCCTAGCCAAAAGAAAAAAATGTGAATTTTAACGGGTTAATTAATAAATATTCCAATTGAAGTTCTGAAACAAATTTGCTTTTGAACGTTGAAAAAGTTTTTCGCGTTGGAAAATCTTACTATTTCATCATATGCTCCTTTGAAAGCTCTGAGAAATATTAAAAGGTCAAAGTTTCGTAAAATACAGAATTTTTCATCACCCATGATAACACTATAAATGCAAGGCATTGATTTAGAACATTTCTCTTTTTTGAACACTTTCTTTGTTACTTTCCCTTCGTATATTTGATTTTTCATGATCTCCAACAGTAAAACAATAACCAAGAAAGTGAAAAGTTACAAAAACGAGTGGTCCGAAATGGTATTGACGCGTCGCGGCCGTCGCGAAATGACGGCAAAGTCGGCGTCGCTGAAAACGCTCTCGTCCTTTGGCTTGGCCTCTTTCGAGCCTTTCAGAATCCGTCGCGGCTCTTTTAGTCCTAAAATGAAACGTTTGATGATGTCAAATTGGTTCAATCCTAGGAAAATCTGCACGAATTTGTCATCGGCTGTTATAGGATTTTTATTTCATACTAAAAATTAGATAAAATCAGAAAAAAACGGATGGCTCAGATTCAACAGAAGAACCATTAAAAACAGAGAATTTCACAATTATCAACTTCCTCACCGGAATTCTGCTCGCGAAGCTTCCGAATCGACGATTTGTCTTCTTTTGTGGCCAAATGTCCAGCGACCAACTTTTTCGCCTTCTCGCCGTCCAATTTTCTCGATTCAACGTATTTGATGTATCTGAAGGAAAGAATGATCATGGAAAAATCAAAAAACACAAAGAAACATTTTAATTCGTCAGGTGACACGATGAAAATATCTTCACCAAGAAAAGTGATGAAAATTAGTACAAAAAGCCTTTTTGAACATATTTTTCGAAGGATTTTTACTTCATTCCGCTTCAAAAAAGTTGAAAAAAGTTGAAAACAGAACCAACTTCAAATTCCTATTTTTCAAATCCCTCGGCTTGTGCGAACGCGCCTGTTCCACCAACGAGAAGCCCCTACAAAAAAACTTCATTTTACAATAATGAATATATAAATTCAAGATAAATCTTCAAAAAATCAATCAAAAATTACCTGCGAAGCTAACCGGTCGTCGAAATACTCCTTCACGCGGGAAGTACTCGGAGCATGAAGAATATAGCTTTCTTCGGGCTCCAAATCTACCTACATATTCAAAATTATCTTTTTTTAATCCGAAAGCCCCACCTTTCCTTTTTCAGCAGCTCGGAGCACCTTTTTCAGGTAATCCTTCTCCCCGTTTGAGTTATTTTTCTTTTTTCGCTTCAATTTCAAAGCGATTCCGTCTTCTGAATTTTTAAATAGCTGTGTCATGCATTATTTGAGCGTTAGTACACGAGTAAACTCCAATTTCTTTTCGCCTCCGAAGGATTGCGATTTAAAAAACGCTATCTTCAGCAATTCTACAGCGCGGGAAACTCAAAGCTGCTAGCTTTCCGAATTTAAGTGGTTTCAAAGCGTAAAACTTCGATAAAGTTTCTTAAATCCTGATAAAACCAACAATTATAGAGAATTTTTCAATACATAACTTTTTTCAACATGAAGTTGCTTTGAAATCTATTCTACTTTGAGAGAAACGAAAAGCGTACTATCAAAAGTTGGCCACATTTCCTGAGGCTCAAGTTATTTCACCTTCTTCAACCGCTGTGAGGAACCTTTGCAACAACTCGTCCGACATTCCCTTGAGAACTCTGGAGGAATCATTACTACTTGATGAAAAAAACTAGAATGAATGTAAAACTTGGTTATTAAATACCATTGTTACAACAGAACTCAATTTAAGCAATAACAATTTATCAAAACGACAAAAAACCAGCAAAATATTTAGCTGTTGGAGTTGGGTCCACGCTTCTTTCCGGGTCCGGTAGCGACGTTGATGAAGCGGCGAGTGTACTGAATTCTGCGGAAGGCACGTCCTGAAAAAATAAACTTGAGAACCTTCGAAATGTAACTTTTCTTGCTAGCACTTGAGAAAAATAAAATGTTACGCCGAATTCTTCAAGACTTCAGGAATTCGAATGAAAATACATTATCATTTGAAAAAAACAACTTTTAAATTACATTGAAATCGCCAAAATGATAACGAGACTGAAAAAAAAAACCATTGAACAAATGACGTACCGCGCTTCTTCTTTCTCTTTTCCTGCTTCTCAACCTTGGGGGTCTGAGCGCGGACCTTACCGGCACGAGCGAGAGAACCGTGGACCTTACCTGAAATGATAGTTTACAATATGTCTATTAATTGAAAAAAATTGTTTTCGCGTGTTCATCGGACAAAACGTAATTGTTTCGAAACGTAAAAAATTGCTCCAAAACAAAAACTAGTACTGTTCTGAAGCAACTTTGGCGCGCCGATTAACACGATTTTTCGTTTTAGAGCATGTTCCTTTTCTCCGATGAACACGCCATTTGTATTGCCGTGTTCAAAGCTAACTTGACGCGCGCAGCGTGAATGGACGACCCCGGCTTTTGAAAAATGTTCATTATATTCTTTTAAAGCTTTTTTTGCCAATCAGGCGGAGACAACCAATCACGATTTGCGAATCTGTCGCGTTACCCTGCGATTTGGCTCATTCTTTTGAACGATAAAAACTGTTTTGGCAAGTCCGTCAAACTAGGTTTGAACGCGAAATAAAATTTCAACGAGCAAAACAAATAATCAATTTAGACGATTAGAAAAAAGCATAATCATAAAACGCTTCGGATCAACCTTAAAATAAACATCCGTTCTTTGCTCATTTTACTCTTCATTATGTCGATCAAAATGAAGCTTTAAAAAAATTTAAAAACCTCCGAGAAGTCGGCCGTTGACGGCGAGGGTGGCGAGGCTTTCGATTTCGTAGTCGGCGAGGGTCTTGCTCTCGTCAAGGACTTTGGATCCATAGGAGAGGTTCAGCGACTCGCTGGCTCCAATGACTTCCTATCAACGTAATCAGAGATAAAAATAAAGCTTCAAGAAAAAAACCTTGATGGAAGCGAGAGTAGTGGATGGCTCCACATCGAGCGTATGCGTCGTGTTATCGAGACCAAGAAGGAAGATCTGCATCCTGAAAGGGAACAAAAGTTCAAAGAAGTCAATTGAAAAATATTTTCGTAGCGAACGAGAAGGGGCAAAATATGAGAAATTTCGCAATATTTCAAAATTCAAACGAAATCAGGTTAGACGTTCAGTTTTGATAAACTAAATCTCAATCGCTCTATGAAATAAAAAAAAAGGAAAATTCGACCAGAAAAATTTAAAAAGCTTATTGAGAGTGCAAAAATAACATCTCACTATACATGTAATTACAAATTGAGAAAAAGCATAGAATAATAAAGCGAGAAATTTTTTTGGACAAAAAGATTAGTGAGAAGAGAATAACATTGAGATCGATAGAACAAGGAAACTGGAATATAAATAAAATTAACAAAATTAGATTATTCTGATATTCTATCACTGACTTAAAAAGAAAAAAACCTTGCTAGTGGGAGATCCTTTCTTTCCCTTTTTGAAATGACGAGTTGATTGAAATCAATTTTTTAAACACGAAAAATCTTCCAAAAAAATGCACCAAAATTCGCTTGCGGTATTTTTGCTATCAGTTGAAACGAAACTTTAAAAAATAAAAGTTTTCAATAATATATGTGAGTCAAAAAAAATTCAGAAACTGATGATCAGGAAAAAAACAAGAAATGCATCAAAATTGATATTTTTCATTTTTTTATTTTTTTATTTTTTTAGAGCACTTAGGCGATAAAATATAAAATTTTATTTTTCATTATTTCTTGATCTTCCATTGACTACGTTTTTAATTTTTAAAAAAATAGTCGAAATTGAATTAAAAAGAAACAAAAATTCAAAAAGAAAATATATATTAACCAGCAGCCAATGCGCGTGCTTAAGCGTTGAATACTCAGCGCATTTCGCTGGAGGAGAGATTGGTCTCGCGAAGAAGAGCGGCTCGTCAATTTACGCTGGCCGTTTTTTCCTTTTTTTTTTCCCTTGCAGTTCCGTTTTTTAATGCCGTGTTCAAAATAATTTCCACAAAATGCAAAATTATCTTGGACTCTCCAAAGTTTAGTTATTTTTTTCTGTCTTTGACGGCTTTTTGCATTTCGCGAAATCACTTTGAACACGGCATAAAATTAGTTTTGTGGTACTCACGCGTATAAAGTGGTATATACATTTATTTAATAATTATTAATTTACAAGTAAAAAAAGTAAAATGCAAATCAGGGAGCAGATTTCGATTGACGGAATGCAATACACGTCGTGAGGCCTTTCGAAGCTTCACAAAACAAATTTGAAGAGAAAATGTAAGAGAAATGTCCTCTCGAACAAATTACGTCCACGCTGCCGCCGAACTTTGCTTCAGCCGCTTCATTGATCATCTTCTTAGAGTCCGCTGAGTTGTCGTTCATATTCTGAAAATTTAATTAGAACAGACTCTTTTTTAAATTGAACCTCAAGCATAAGTTTTTTGAGGACGTTGCTGTTGCACTTTTCCATTGTCACAGTCTCTGTCGTAGTTTTTACAGCTTCTGAGGCGACGGTCGTTGTTTCAATAGGTGCTTCCTTCAAACAAAAAACAGTTAATGAATGAAATATTCGTCTGAGCTACCGTTCTGACATTGACTGTTGGAGATCTCCTGATTTCAGGAGAAGATTTCTTAAATTGAGTCCGGAAAGCGAGATCGCCATCGTCTTCCTGAACTTTCAAGGTTCTTATTGATATAAAAATGGAAATAATCAACCTTGGGCTGATAGTTGGTATCGGCATCTTCGATGATGCCTTCGTAGAATCCATCTTCGTTTTCTCCGAGTCGATGCAGCATTTCAAAGGCGGAAGGTTGCTCTGGCTTCTCGGAAAGCGGAACACCAAATGCGGCAGCTCTCTGAAGCTATGAGAATGAAGAAAATTGAGAAAGAAATTGATTAACTAGATCCAAGTCATCAGGGACGTTCAAGACAAGTGGCGAGTCATAGTGACGGTCGAAAACCGCAGTTTTGGCTGCGTGAGCCGCAAAAGGTCGACCTCCACAAGGAGGAGCACATGGCGGGGTTGGAGGAGGACAGGCTGGCGGGGGACAGCCGCAACCGCTTCCTGAAGGGAAAGGTGTTAGGAGGAAATTTATAGGAAAAAAGTACCTCCTAACAAGAAGCCGTAGATGGTAGTTGGGAACAGGGCCAATAAAACAAGCATGAAGATGCGAATGATGAAGATCATGGCTAATCAAGTGGCTTTTGATTCGACCGCTGCCGTCAACAAAAAGCGTTTGAGGCGAAAGTCTCGTATCCAGTCTTTTCCCGACCAATTTTCTTGTTTCCGAGGCTTTTGGCGTCATTGGGTTTGGGTCAAAAATTCTTCCCAATTCCAATGTCCCTTTTTCTTGTTTTCGCTTACACGCACACCGGCGCGCGATTTCGTTTGATTGAATGCAATCGTAAAAGATGGCCGTCGGATCAGCATAAATCTCGAGGAAGAAAGACATTTTTCAAGTCTTGTTCCACAGGAAGCATTCATTTAAAAGTTTTTCTTTCTATTTCCAAAAAAATAATAATAATAAAAGAAAGGTTAAAACTGTATGAAAAGTTTATTAGCGTAATGTTTCAATGAGAACTCAAAACAGCACAGAAAAATACTCGCAAGTTGTTTCGAATCAATGGATGAAAAAGCAAGAGAAGAACATTTTTTGGTTTTTAGCCGAGAGAGCAGCTCGATGCTCCGGTTTGGGTAAAACAGTAACAAAATTTGAAAATGATGAAAATGTAAAGTTCACTAGGAAATAATGGATTCGGACATGTTGAGTTAATTGAATAATCCAAATAAAATATAAATCTTAAAGTAGAGTCAGTAAAATAGTCTTGACCTTGTGCGCTCCATGGCAAGATTTTTTGAAAATACTCGCACTGGTGATACAAACCGGACGCGCTCCGGGCGTTTCTGAGCAATTCTAGGATCACTAAAGAGCGCTGACGCTTCTAAAGTGGTCACTAGAAATGCTCCGACACTTCCGGGGCGCGTCCAGTTTGTGTTATCATGGTTGATATTATCATTGAAATTGCAAGGGTTCATGGCAGAACGCGCCAAAAAAAAAGAAGGAAAAATCCATTTTATCCATGGAGCGCACAACTCGGCGGTTAATTCCACTCATAAAAAAATATCCAGAAAAGGAGAAACATTCATAAATAGACAGCGGACTTGCGACTGGCAAAAAAGTCGTTGAGATCGTCGCGGATCCTGGGATTGCAGCCGTAGTAGATGAGGATTCGGATGGCCGACGTGAACATGTAGACGAAGGAGACGAGGTCCGAGAAGAAGGTGTGGAACGTCGACGACAACAAGGGGTCTTCCACGGATTGCAGCACTGGGTGCTTTGCTCTGAAATTTAGTTTTTGGCTTTCTGTTGTTCTTCATAGTCATAGGTCCACTAAAAATGATTTTTTCGGAGCTTGTCATCGCGAACAGTCATACTGAACATTTCAGAAAGATACCTTTCCAAGAAGGTCAGAATGAGGTGAAGGATATTGGAGATCAAATAGGAGGCCACGATGGCCGCCATTGTGAAGACGGCGCTGCGAACCGACGCCGACATACTTTTCAGGGGTGGCAGTGAGATTCCAATGTCTGGAACAGTTTGAGTAAAAACATTTCTAGATGCTAGAATCGTTTCATTGTAGATTTATCAAAGTCATAACTGCAAAATTCTGTTCAGATAGGAGCTCCGTTGCGCAACAGGTTGTGAGCCTGTATACGGTCCACAGGGTCACAAGTTCAATCCCGGCGGTGGGAAACCAGGACTTCATAATCCCCAGCCGTATCCCTTTTAAGGTCGGATAGGTTAATAGAGCTAGTTTACTTAGGGACCGCAAGCCATTTCTTCAGAACGATTCAAAAAATATGTTTTTTACATTGTTCGATAGAAGAGACTGTCCATTTTCATAATATGTTTAGTTTTTGAAAAAAGCTTCCCTAACAAAAAAGTTATGGCCAAAAAACGAGCGCGCGCGGCGTACAACTGGAGGCAAAATCTCACAGTTTACCCGCTGCCGCACGCTTTCTTTTTAAATGTTTTTGCGCGTTTCTTAACCGTTTTCGAATCGGTTTTCTGTTCTGCGAGGTTGTCAGAACTGAGCTCAACTTTTTGGTATAAATCTTTTGTATAACTCTCATAAGAACTTTGATAAAATATCAAAAAACTGCCTAGAAAAAAGGTCAAAGGGATTTTTCAGCTTATTTTTCCTTTTTTTCTACTCAGAAAAAAATTATTATCATCCGATTTGGAAAAAAAAGAAAAAAATGAAAAAAATAGTGTTATTTCGAAATAAAACAGGAAAAAGTGCAATTTGACTCCGAAAAACTCCTGCAACATTTAAAAGGGCGCATCGGTGTGTTTGACGCAAACACAGCTACGGACATTTGTGCGAATTCTCCCGAAATTTCAAAAAAAATGCCATTTTTTCGAGGTTTTCAAAGCCGTTATTTTTTTCGCGTCGATCGATTTTTTTCATAATTTTTTCATTGATAGAGTTTTGAACGCTTAATGATATAATCAAAAGTATAGACGCGATCCTATTCTCTCATGCGTCAACGAGGCAGCCGAAAAAAAGGAGGTTTTTGGTAAAATTCAAATATAATTTAATTCGCTGTCCCAATAATTATTTTTTTATTCTGAATTTTTTTATTTTTCGGACACACTGTTAGTTTTTTTAAATCAAATAAAAAGTATACCATGTCGCTGAAATTTTTTTCGCATTTCAGCTTCAAAGTTTGGTGTCACTTTACAAGCTTTTAATATTTTTTTCGCGTCGGTAGATTTTTTTCATTTTTCACTCAAAAAAATAAAGAAAGTGTTAATGTATAACATACTTAAAATTTAGAAGCGTTCCTCACTTGGTTTTTCTGAAACGCGACGATTTTTGTGAAACTTGTCAGTTTTTTTCGTGTTAAATCTTACTTTTTTTCGCTTATTTTTTGAAAAAAATACATAGTTTTAAAAAAATATTCAGTCTTGTAGAGCGTTGTCGATTACATAGCTTACCAAAAACAGTTCATTTTTAAAGTGGGACTTTAGCTAGTATAAACGCCTCAAAACCGTTTTTGCAACAAAAAAATCGTCATTTTGGTGGCGTGAAGGGGCGGGGCTTTGCGCCCCCTAAGTTTACTGATTATCACTGTTATCAGGATAGCATCTTGTTTCATAGACCTGGGGTTCTGAAGCCGCTCAAGCGGTACAAAAGCGTAAGAAGAAGAAAAATTTGTTTTTAGGATTTGATTTCCTTCAAAAATAAGTTCCGCAGAGCTCTCACGTATATATTTCTATTCTATTTTATTGTCCTTCTTTTTCAGTTTTCAGAAAAAAAAAACCAACTAGTTGAAGATTTATGCGAGATCGGCGTGAGCATTCGTTCGTCACTGAAGCAACTGACCGATTCGGCCTCTTTCTGAGCGCTGTCCACCAGCATTTTGTGCACGATTACCTTATTTTATCAAGTTTATTGAATGAAGCACTTGGAAGAAACTCACGACATTCAGGCCAACGAGCAGGAAAAATGGAACGATTGTTTGGGCGATTGTCATCACATGGAGGTCGAATACGTTGTAGGCCGTACTGTGGTGAACCCAGTCCCTGGAAAACTCATATTTATTCAATATATTGATAAGAGAAAACCGAGGCATCGTGGTCATAGTTCGGAAAAAGTCTGGACAATCTGGGTAGTCGGCGACCTGAAAAAGAAAAAATGACACCATTTATATATCTTAAAATATAGGAATGAGGAAGATTTTCTCATGCCTCAAAGAAATGTAAAATTATCTCAAACTTTCCAAAATTGGTTATCTTTTTCTTTTTCTGACGGTTATTTTGGATTCGGCAACACTAAATTCAAAATCTTTGACTACAGGAATTCCGCCAAGTTTCTAACTAATTCAAAAAGTGACGTCATTTCCAAGATATGACGTCATAGGGCTTGCGTTGATTTGCGAAATTCATTAATTTTACCAGAAAAAAAAAGTTACTAAGCAGCGCCCTGGTAAGCAGCGCCCTAGTAAGTAGCGCCCTAAGCAGCGCTCTAGTAAGCAGCGCCTTAAGCAGCGCCCTAAGCAGCGCCCTAAGCAGCATCTTAAGCAGCGCCCTAAGCAGCGCCCTAGTAAGCAGCGCCCTAGTGAGCAGCGCCCCAAGCAGCGCCCTAAGCAGCGCCCTAGTAAGCAGCGCCCTAGTAAGCAGCACCTTAAGCAGCGCCCTAAGCAGCGCCTTAAGCAGCGCTCTAGTAAGCAGCGCCTTAAGCAGCGCCCTAGTGAGCAGCACCTTAAGCAGCGCCCTAGTAAGCAAGCAGTAAGCAGCGCCCTAGTAAGCAGCGCCTAAAGCAGCGCACTGAGCAGCGCCCTAAGCAGCGCCCTAGTAAGCAGCGCACTAGTAAGCAGCGCCTTAAGCAGCGCCCTAAGCAGCGACCTAAGCAGCGCCCTAAGCAGCGCCCTAGTAAGCAAGCAGTAAGCAGCGCCCTAAGCAGCGACCTAAGCAGCGCCCTAAGCAGCGCCCTAGTAAGCAAGCAGTAAGCAGCGCCCTCCTGACGTCATCCTATCACTGTCTTGCCAATTGACAGCTCAAAAAATGACGTCATTATACGCGTGCGGTCGCGTCGCGGTTTCCAAGGAAAACCGACCATCATCGCAAAAGCCGTCGGGACTCGGAGAAGGCAGCAAGCCAGGAAGGAACAGGTCACCGTGATGTGCCGACCTTGAGTCGAATGGAACGCTTTCAAAGTCTTCTTATTTCTCCTGAAATCATTCAGATTACGGTATTTATCATTAGGCTGTATCCAACATGGTTTCGGAGGAAGACCAATAGAGCCGTTCCAACGTGGCGAATATCAACATGTAAGGAATGGCGAGTTGAGTGATTCGACTGGCGACGTACGCCGGAATGATGTAGATGTAGTAGAGGGTGAAGAGACCCTGAAAAGCGAGGGGTACAGAATAAAAATGGCTCACTGTTTCATCCGAACTGGAAAAAGTAAGTAAAACTGTGTATGCACCAAACTGTGCTACAGTAATAAAATCGTAACTCATCAATGGCCTAGACTTTCAGCACCCTTTTTGCAGCCCCTCCCTTTTTTCACCATTTTTTCAGCCTCTCCCTTTTTTCAAGGCTTTTAAGCCCGCCAAGAAAACAAAGGTTCAAAAAAAGTCCGCAAAACGGAACCCTTTTAGCGGCAATTTTGCAGCCACTCTCTTTTTGGACTCGTTTTCCGCATTTCCGACTTTGGCAGTGTTAATTAGACGTTCCAAAAATATATATTCAGATTTTATAAACTTTTCAATGACGTCACAAGCTCAAATTTTTGATTTTTTCATCTGAATTTTAAAAAAAGATATTCAAATTCAAATTTCAAATTGAAGCGAATTTTTCTCAAGTTTTGAGTTTTTTTCCGCTAAAATTTGAACGAGACCTATGGAATCTTCAATAAAATGAAAGAAAAAAACAAGAAATCTAGGTTTGAACATCGAGTCGAGACTCCTTCAAAACCATCAAAAAGTCAATTAAGAATCTGAATAAAGCTTAAATATCCTGAAAAATCAGCCGATTATACATATAACTTTAGGAAAAAAATTACTTTATTTAGAAATCTACTACGAATTCTCAACAGAAAGTTCACCTCGACCCGCAAAAAGCTGACAATCGCATCGACCCCAAAAAGCAAAATGTATTCGAAACAAATGGCGACGTCGAGAAAGGCCAAAATCGTCGGATACAAGGTGGCCGGCGTCGTGGAGCTCTGAAATGACCATTTTTAGCCGATTTTTGTTAAGTTTGAGCAACTTTTTTTGAGCAGAACAGGTAGGCGAGCAGAACATTCGCCACAGTACCCAAGCAGGCGATCACGGTAGCTATGGAGATGAGGACGAAACGGATCGGCGTGTAGGTTTCGTACTGAAAAGGGAAGGTTTCAGGCAAAGTTTTTGAAATTTTATTTTTCATGAGACAGAACTTCTTTAGGCGCGTCGCGGAAAATCCGAATAAAAAAAAATTTTTTTGCTGTGATCACGTAGATAGATTCAGAAGAACACCGGAAACCGTTTTGCGTCTTACCTTCCAATGATCTCAAGCCTTTGTTTAAATCATTTCTTCTCTGAGTTTAAATAAATTTAGGTCCTCTATTAGCTTTTTCCTGTAAAATGGAATAAATAAAATAATTACCGGCGCACAATCATCCTGTATCAAAAAAATCGATGTTTCATTGTCCTGAAGCATTGAAACCCTGAAAATTCCTATTAAAATGGTAAGCCGGGAATGTCAATGATCACAGAAATATGCGCGAAAAAAGGTGATATGAAAAGTCGGAGCGGAAATGAATTGGGCTGGACCAAAATGTGGGCGGAAATTTGGGCCGCAGATGCTTGAATATACCGACGGAACCCAGGACTTCAATCAAAGCAACGCGATTTTGACGACTTGCAATAAGGAAACGTTGCAAGATACGGTGGGTCAGGAAAAATCATCGTTTTTGGCAAAGAAAAAAAAAACTTTGCCGAGGGGGGCGACGAAATTTCAAGGACACGACACCTCTCAATTTGGGCTGAGTGCTCGAAATCCTTATTGAATTAGACCTGAGAGCCGGAAAAGACGCTTTGAGGCTTGGCCAAACGGCTCAACTTGTTGATCTTGGTGGTATGAGACTGAAGCTCAAGGTTTTTTTTGCCAAATTTGGCGAAAAGCTTATAATTTTCTATCGAAAATCTTGCTCAAAACGACTGGAAATGAAGAATTTCAACATTTTGAACTTTTTTTTGTCAAAAGATCATCATTTTTTTCAAGTAAAAACTGGCAAAAATGAATTTCACCTAGAAAGGATTCGAGCCTGCATTGCAGGATCCACAGCGCAGGCCGCTAGCCACTACACCACGCCACACGCTGCCGGATTAAGGTAGCCGCCGCAACATATTCCCTCCTTCCATCGAATGCACGTTTTGCGAGCAAATTTTGAGGCGCCATAGATCGACCAGAACCAAAAAAGCGCACTTTTTCCAATTTTTTTGGATTCAGGGTGTCCGAAAGTACCTATATACCAATTTTCATCAAACCTCGACCATTTGCACTTCCCGTGTAAGCTTTTGAAAAACTACAAAGAAGTTCAAAATCTTTTTCCAGGAATAAAAATAAAAATTCTAGTTGAAGCATAATAAAAAAAAGGCGAAAATTCCTTGAAACTTGAGCGGACAGCTAAACTCTGAAGACCTTGGAGAATGAGATTAGAGTTGGCCATTTTCAACCTTGAAAATATCATTTTTGACACAAACACGTCTACAATCAAATTCATATAGAAAAAAAACGAAAAATTTCAAATTGAGACTTTATCGCGAGAAAACAGAGATTCAATGCCGTGTTGGCTCAACGGCTAAGCTTCCTGATTCTGGAAAAGACGGTTAAAAGTTCAAGTCCGTCTTGAAAAACAACATGTTTTGCCAAAAAAGAACTCGCGACCTTGATTTTCAACCTCTAAGCTTTCTCATCTTTTCAGATTTTCGTTTTTTACTTTGAAATAATAATTCAAAGCATTTCAAACTTCAAAAAAAGAGACCAAGGTTCGACTGCACTCCAGACTTTGCAACAGAAAGGATCCTTATCGAGTTAAACCTGAGTGCTCTGGGAAAAAGTCTAGTTCAAGGAGGACTATGAAGAAAAGGAACACATTGGCGGGGAGCTTCAAAGTTGGCCAGATATGAATTTTTAAAGAAGAAAACAGGACCCGAGGGGGTTTTCCGGAACCAAAACATGACGCGATAATTCATCACCTCTGTTTTTGGAGGGCAGTGATAAATGCTTGTTTTTTTATTTTTTGTTGGATCAAATTCATCTTTTCTTCAAGATGCACCTGCTGGAAGGAGACTCACGGCATTCCTAATGGGGGTGAGGGAAGGTGAGCGAGGCGTCAAACTTTCTGAATTTACAAAAAAAATTTAGTGCGCGCTACGGATAAAATGACGTCATTCTACGTCATAATTACACTGAGTATTCAACGTTAATAACTTGTTTGTTCGATCGCCTTCGGCTGAAGTACTGTAGATTTCAAATTTAGCGCCAAATTTTTTTTGACGTCTCTCCACCCCGTTTGGGAACACCGTGGACTGTGAATCATGGGAAAAATTCAATATTTTCATTGCAAAAAGGTTAAGAAAATGACGTGAAAGCACTATTTTGGGCTTTTCGAAGGGTCAATTTTAGTGTCGAAAAGACGAGGAATTTTCCAATTTACGAGAAACGCCTCCTCTTGACATTTCATTGCAGACAAGCCAGATAGGAAGCAAAAAACGTTCGTTTTGCACTTGAGATTGAGGGGAAAAGTTTGGGGGGATTGAACCAGCAATGCGAGAACAAGGGACAAGATCGCTGCCGACTGAGCTACGGTGTTTTGGCACAAGGGCAGCGAATACCAGAATGAGTAACGAATTCTTCATAGTTTGCTATAAAAAGTCCAGCTTAGACGATTTATTCACGCGATATAATGAATAATAAAGACGGAAAATCTCATAATCCGAAGCCCCTGGAAACATCATATGTTAGTTCGGAGGGCGTCAATAATGGATCATTATTAAAAAACGCGGAGAATAGAGAAAGCGGACCGAAAATGAAAAATTCTCATTCGCAGTTCTGAACTTTCAATGGGAGAAGATTCTTATTAGCCTTAGAACTGGATAAATTGAACCAAAAGATCAAGAATCTGAGAGAAAAGCTTCCAGAGCCTACAGAATACATGGAAAATAGCTACAGAAAACAAACTTTATGAGTAATTTTAGTTAAAAACACTCTAAATAAATTAGAAAAACCAAGCAAAAGCCCAAAAAAAAAAGTAAAGTTGAAGAATAGCGAAAAAAATAGCAAAACAATTAAACAAGATTGAATCCAGCAAGAAACTCGGCTACAGAAATTTAACTTCAGAATCTCAAAATCACTCCAGAAAACTATTCTAATTCAAATGAAAGATTGAAAAAATAAAGTTGGAGTGAAAAAAGAATGGAGCAAAACAATCCGACTTGAACCAACAACCTTTAGATCTTCCAGTCAGATTTTTAAAGACTAGGTTAAAAGGAAACAAAAATAAGAATTTTAGAGTTTTTTGGACCAATAAAAACTTCTAGACCTTTCAAAATGGTACGAAAAGTCTAGGACTTTAAAAAAAACCTTCTCTCGAAGTATACAACCAAGTTACATAAGGAAGATTCATTTAAACTACAAAATGTACGAAATTGATTTTATTGAACCTTATTACTTCGACTTGTATGTAAAAATTCGGATCTTCAGAAAATGCTTGTCCTGGGATCGAACCAGAAACATCTGACCTGTCAGCAAAGTTTTTAATTTAACCTCTTGACTAAAACTAACCAAAACTTTACAACTCAAAAGCAAGGAACGAAACTAATTGAGCCGGGAAACAAAAAAAAAACCGAACGAGGGGGCAAAAAAAAGCGTTGGCCTTTCCGAAATTGCTCTTTGAAATTGAGATTGCGGACGGCCGGCGAAAATTCATTGAGTTGAGGACGAGTTGAATGGCGGCGGACAGATGGGATCCCGACCATTATATCGCTAATTACTTGGCCCCCATCATCGTCTTTCAAAGTATTAAATCCTAGAAAGTTTTTTTTTTCAAAAAAAAAAAATGGCGAAGCGTGTTGTCCGTAGAGCAACTTTACTGCAAAACGGTCTTTTGGCGGGAATTCTCTCTCTCGGATTTTGAATTATTTTTTCTCGGAAAATAGGAAGTTATGTAGGTTTCCAAGTTCACCGTCCGACAGGCAAGGCAAGAAATACTACAAAGTGGTATATTTGTCATTTTTTTATTGCCCCTATGCCTTTAATGGTAAAAGAATGGTTTTGGTATGGTCAAGTGATTTAACTTCTACATAAGAATTTAATTCTGATAAGTTCTATTGAAAAAAATACTGTTAATAAGTTTTTTTCTGGTAATGAATTAAAAAAATTGAGGCACAAAGACGATATAACTAACAAAAAAATTTAGACTTGAACAACAGAAATATAATCTTTTTCCCGAGCGATTATTGAATTCATAGCGATTTGGACAAAAAAAGTATATAAAATTTTTAATTTATCACAAGCAAAAAAAGAAGACGGAACCTTTTTAAAAAGCCGATTTTTCCGCAATTAATTTTTTTCAAGTTCCCGTAGTGTTGATACAATCTGAAAGGAAAAAAACAAAGCGCTACTCTTTTGAAAACTCAACTCGAAGCTTTTTTGTGAACTCTTCGGTCAAAGCTTTTGAAGATTTCAAATGAAATTAGAAAAAAAATAATAAATCTGATCTCAGAAGTCCTTTGAGTAAAATTTTCTTGAACTATTTGATTATGAGAAGTTCAAAGATGAGCGTTAAAATAAAAGAAATAATGATATAATGATTTTATAGAGTGGTCGAATATTTTTTAACATCATATTTTTTAAATAGAAAAGATTTCGTGAAATTTCAAACTTTCAAATTGAAAACAAAAAAAGTTAGGAGTATGCGATCTTGCGTCCTGGTGTGATTACACCATAAGCACCATAATTCACGGAACGTTTCGAATGACTTACTAAAAAGAAACACGCCATGAGACTAGCTCCCAGCTTATAGAGAAAAGCTCAAAGAAAAATATGAAGCGACAGTTCGAAAAATAAACTAGCAAAACACCTTAAAAAGTTGAAAAAAAAGAAAAAATATATATATTTGTTGATGGCTTTTTCATGGTCCCACGCGAACGGAAGCGCTTTTGCGAAATATCCTGCGCTTTCCAATTGATAAAGAATTTTAAAAAATTCCTTTCACTTTACATTATTTCAATTAAAAACTCGTTCAAAACCAAAAATCAGACACAAAAAAGATCAAAATCAGTAGAGGAAAGACCAGCCTTTATAAAAATCTAGACTGCCCGGAAAAAAAGAATAATTGCAGGTTTTGCCACCGACGGAATGTCCAGAATTATTTTGTGGTTCTTTCTCTCTCTCTTTTCTTTGTTTTTTCGGAAGGTCTTGAACCTTCAACTCTTTGATTGACGTCAGGAAGCTTATCCAGTCGGCTAGATTGATCAAGAGGATATTTTAGGGTAGAAGAAATTCAGATCAAGTTACACAAGTTTTCACTACTAAACGGTGAGTTAATCAGAAAAAGCTTTTTTTAATTAAAGAACTATCTTCAAATTAAAGTAAAAATGAGTACTAATTCTAGCGTAAGGGAATACTCCACTCGAGTAAAACGACCAGACGTTTTGAAAACGTTTCAAACTGGAAAAACGCTATAAATTGGTGTGTTATGGCCCATTGAGCACGCCCGCCACACTAATAAGTCTTAAAATTACTTTCTTTCAAAAGTTTCTATTTTCGAACTGGAAACTTCAAGTCTGCTAACCCACTATAGTGCAAAGGAGCGAGCACGAGAACCAGATTCGTGACTCGAGACGACAGGTGATCTCGTGGTGTAGTGGTTATCACATCTGTCTAACACACAGAAGGCCGGCGGTTCGAGCCCGCCCGAGATCAAATCTTTTTTTGCCTTTTTTTCTATCAATTTTTTTTTCCATTTAAAGCATATAGTACTAATTTAAACTGCTTTGAACTATTTTCAAGATTCCAAAATAAGCATAACGGTCATTTTTCAAATAAAAAAGGAAAGATAAAATTTGGAATATGGTAAATTTTGAGCAGAACAAAGAGGATAGCGTTTGGAAAAAAACGTCATAAATAAAACAGGAACAAAAAAAGGGTGAAGGATTTTGCTACCAATAGAAAGGCAATTCACCGCCCCACAAATTGCAACAGAAAAAAAATCCGAGAGACGTCTTCAAAATTCCCATTCATCACCATAAAAAATGGCAGGAATCGCAGAAAAACATTGGCCTTTTTTCGGAGATTTTGAATTGACAGATATCGTCTTGGAAGAATTATTGAATTTTCACTCAAAGTTGAGGAAATCCAAGTTACTCGAGGAGAAAAAGGATAAATTTCTGGATCCAGATAAAAAATGTCCTCAGAACCGGGAGAAAGTTTATTGTTTTTAAACTTTTCACATTAATTTTTCGCGTTCGCATGCGAAAATGTCGTAAATGAGACGTTTCCCCCGCATTTTCCTGCGAGGTTATCCAAGCTTTTCTACATTTGTTAAACGTTTATGTGTTTTTAGAATAACAGAGATCAGAATTAAAGGAAAAATTGAAACAAAGATCCGTTTAGTTCGAAAATCAGCAAAAAACCGTTTATAGACTCCATCTAGGAGTCCTTAGATCCATAATCAACAACTTATCCACTTCGCCAAGACCGTCTATTCACATTTTTGTTGCGAATTAGAGCCAGAAGATTATATTGAAGCAATAGAAAAACAGCAAAACTGAAATCCCACGGAGAGGACTCGAACCTGTGACCCTTTACACGATAACAACTGTCTTATTCACTGCGCCATACCCGTTCTTATGCTTCAGAACAGTTTCCGGCATCCTATTCTGCAAAACCTTCACTTCTTTTCAATCAAATAGCTTCTTATGAACAAAAACCAATTTTTCTCTGTTCCAAATGTTCCAAGTCAAAATTTCTTCATTTTAAAGTTATATAAAAATTAAAAATAAAACAAAAATGAGATTAATTTACCCATAGATGGATCACATGGTGAGATGTGTGAAAGAAATGTTTTCGGATCGATATTTAGAAGGGAAGGACCATTGGATGGTGAATTTCGGGGAAACTAGCATGATTTGAACCAAAAACAATAGAAAATGCTGAGGTTATATCACTAGATATATTACAAAGTGGGAAGTGAATCTGCAAAAACGAAAAAAGTTTACGAGGAGTCGAACCAGAGACTGTCGGTTCAATAGACTAGCTCTTTAGCCACTTGACCACAGCTCGAAGAGGGTTTCAGAGTCATTCCTTGAATGTATTTTCACGTCAAACTGACAAGAAAGTAGATCAAAACAGGAAATAAGAGAAAGGACTTGTGGAATCGGGCCGAATTGCAGAAATCCGTGTTGCAGCAGCAAACTTCGCCCAGGTCGCCAGCGTTGAAGCACATTTGCATCGGAGCGCGTCGAGAAGGACGCGAGGGCTGCGCGTTTTGGATCGTCGACTTCCCTGAAGTGGTCACTTGGATTTGGCTTGGGTCAAGCTTCATTTTTTGATTGAGGGAAATGAACAAGGAAGACGTTCTTCTCTGAATTTATCGAATTTGTACGGTGACGTCACGATTTGAGGTCTTCTGATGACATTAAACTACAATATCAACTTCTGTCAAAACTGATGACAGATTTGGAATCAGGGAAAAGATTCTGGAAATAATTGAGTCCAAAAATGATCTACTCAGGTCGTTAAATGATGATTTAGCGTTTGCCCTAAAGTGACCACTTGGACCAAGCTCTGTTTCGTCGTCAAGAAAATGAATGTTGATAGAAAATAGAACAAAAATAACTCTGCTTCAAACTGGACGCTTGAATTTTTACTAAATGAGCTGTTAAATGATATTTTTTCTGCCCCAAAGTGGCCGCTTGAATTGCGATTGTTATTAACCTTGCCTTGATGTTACACACGCATTAGTAGATGTGATCAAAGTTTATAATTCGAAATTATTTAGAACTAGAAATTATTTAGAACTTCGAAATTATTTAGAACTAGAAACTCTTCTCCAAGACTGAGACGCTCGTCAATTTCCCGAAAGTGGCCACTTAGATAGAAAGAAAAACTGCTTTTCAGGGGGAAAGTTTAGAGGCCACTCAAGAGGTTCCTCAAGGACTACTTGGAGAGGACACTAAAGTTGCCACTAAAACCACTATTTCGCGTATTAGTGACCACTATAGTATTATATAGTGATCTAACAACTGAAGTAGCGAAAAAAATATTTGAAAATGTAGTCCTAGAACTGATTTTTAATGAAGCTGTTGCTTCAGTAGCTTCAAAAATCTTCCTTTTTCATTTTTCCTCGGAATAGATTTCTGATTTTTTAATTTCAAGCTCAATGACGTCATTTAAAAGCGCTCTGTGAATGGTTCAATCTCTGATTGGCTTATCGCGGAATCGAACTTGATGACTTTACATTCGAATTCTGACTTGCGATATTAAATAGCCAACCTTGAGAAGTATGAACAGCGATGGGAAACGTAGAATAATCGGTTTGTACCGTCCGAGGGACGCCGTGCATCGCGTACATAGAACAGAGCGAAATTTGCGATATTGAGTTACCTGGAAAGGTAAAAATAATGGTCTCAATCAATAATTATAATAATTACCATCACAAGATCGTTGAACTGGACCATTTTTCGCAGAAATTGTGACACAGTAAGACTGCGATGTGCATTGGGAGGCATAATGGGAATGTCCTGAAAATGCATTAGTATTTGTACTTATAAAAAAGCCATTTCAAGGCTTACTGTATCTCGGAAAGTCCGCAAACACCTCACCTGATAAACATCGCAGGACAGCTTCAACAGGCAATATGTACAGGACCAGGGATAGTAGAACACTCACATCTATTCGCATTTTCGGGATTTTACCTGGAAATATCAGTTGAATATATTTTTTCTAGTGATTAGGAGAAACACGCACAAAATGACGAGCAAATGAAAGAAGTATTTTGGAGTTTTAAACATCGAAATTTGTTTAAAAACGACAAAAAGTTGGTGAAAGACCCTTGAAAAGCTTGTAAGTCTAAAAAGTCCACTCACATGATATCAAATAATTTTTCTAACTCAAGCATAATAATTCCACGACTGGCCTCAGGCTTAATTATTCACTTGGAAATAAAGTAATAATGCCAAAAACAGAAGAAAAGAAAACGCCAGTTGCAGGTGGAAAAAAATTGGCGAAAAGAAAACAACTACTGGGAGGGATTTCGGAATGAAAGTTGCTCTGAAAAAAAAACAAGCAAAAAAGGAGAACAAGCCAAGGAAATTATAAAAAGCGGCCGCTCGTAACCTTTGATGGCTGCTTTTTTGTCATTTTACGGCAAATGCCCTTATGTGGGCAATTCGAAACGAAGAAAAAAGACATTTTTTGGTTAGAACATGTTCTCTTATTTATACAGAGTATGAAATCAATAGAAAGAGTACAAAAATCAATGGAAATGAGAAAAAAAAAAATAAACAAGGGCAGTAGAATTGTAATGAGAAAGCGTCTGCAAAATCTAAATTAATACTTTCTGACTAATATTTCTATGAAAAACCTGATTATTAGCATTAAATTGAAAGAAAAAACCTTTCTAAAAAAAAGCAAAAAGTAATTGCCCCGAACCAGGATCGAACTGGTGACCTTTAGATCTTCAGTCTAACGCTCTCCCAACTGAGCTATCGAGGCGGCTGATAGTTCGACGCCGCCGGGTGCGCCAAATCACCCCCGGAGTCCTAGAGCAACAGAGAAATAGTTTTGTATGAAATGGCCAAAAAGGCAAGAAGCGAAAAAATACTGTAATAAGAAGAGCAAACAAGGTACAGAAGAGCGAACATTGCGCCATACTGTTTGTGTAACCAATTTTGGGCTCGCCACGCCTCCACATGCTTTGGCAAACATTCTCGACTTGGTTCTGTGGTTTGCCGACGCTCGAGTGTCCACTTGGGTCAAGAGTTGGGACTTTTGCGGCTTTTTTAGACCTTGCTTGGGACTTTTAGTGTCAGGGGAGAGACAGAGTCGAAAGTTTATTCACAGATTGATGCTGAACGAAAAAAAAAGGCATGACATCACCTACATCCTTTCATGACGTCACGTATCGATGTTTTCATTCAAAGTATGAGGTCGTTAAAAAATTTTTTTTCTATATTTACGAGTATCTGTTCGAAAAGAAGGAAACTTCAAAACTTCAAAAACTCCAAAAGAAACAGAAAGGTAAAATATTTTGAAAAATGAGCCGTTTGCTTTACGCTCCACCGCACTGTTAATGGTTACCACGCCAACCAAACCACCTTTTCAACTTTTTCTACAAGATATGAGGATAAGGAAGATGATATAATGAGGAAAAGGACACTAATGAGCTGGCCATTGGAGCGTGAAGTGAAGTGAGGCCCTTTGTCCCTACTTTACAAAGTGCAGGTTAACTAAAGATATCAGCTAGGCAAGCAAAAAGTCGATTATCTATGAGTTAGAGTACGAAAATCATTCAAGAAGTAGAAACGGCAAAAAAGCAAAAAGAAATGCCCCGAACCAGGATCGAACTGGTGACCTTTAGATCTTCAGTCTAACGCTCTCCCAACTGAGCTATCGAGGCAGGTGTTGCTCTTGCCCTGCAAGGTGAGCTGAATACCCGCATAAGAAATGTACAAGAGTTAGAGAAATGAAAAACTGAGGCAGTTTTTTAACTTTGAACATTTTTTTTCTGATCTTCAAAAAATTTAAACTTTGCAAAGTATACTGAAATTATTTTAATGAAGTGTTCAGACTTTTTTTTAGATAGAAAACGATGGATTTTCTAATTTTTTGACTTAAAAAACTGGCGTATTTAAAGATTCTTTATAAGTTGGAATCATCTATACGAACTCATCGAGAGGTCAAAAGTGAGAAGTAATTGAGGCGCGAAAAGTGGGCATCTCGTTCATATATGGCGACAAGAATAATTGGATATTGTGGCGCGTCAACGGCTTTTGTCTCATTTAATAAGTTTTCCTCTGTTTTCTGTTTTCGATTCAAATTGGAAGTGACACGGAAAGTCCAAATAACTTTCAATTTCACGTACTCATTCTCAAGAAAAAACTTTAAGAGGTGTTTTCTCTTTTGAAAGTTTTCAAAACTGCTGAAAGCTTTTTTTATTACCGAATCACCAAAAATAAGGATTTCGAGACGTATTTCAAAAGAGAAAATAAATCAAAATAAATCAAATACAACGTATATCAAATACAAATACATAAATCAAATACAACGACGCAACTTCTTCAAAAACAGAAGTTTTTAATCGAGTGCGCAAGTAGAAATCAGAATGTGGACGTTGTTTATTTAGATATTAGTAAAGCTTTCGATTCAGTCACGCATAGGAGGCTCATTAAAATGTTAAAAGCTTATGGGTGTGTAGGTCGCTTACACAAATGGTTTTCACAGTACTTAACCAATAGAACTCAATTTGTCCGCCTCAATGATGAGGTATCCAACGAAACCGAGGTGTTGTCTGGGGTTCCACAAGGAAGCTGCTTAGGACCGTTGTTTTTCTTGATATACATAAATGATATAACTAGTGTCGTAAAACATAGCAAAATGCTCATTTATGCAGATGACGTAAAATTATTCATAAGCTCAGGAACTGATAATTATAACCTCAAGCTGCAATCAGATATTAACTCAATAAGATACTGGCTTTTAGAAAGGCAACTATCTATTTCTAGCTCTAAAAGCGTCTATGTGCGGTATGGTAAAAGAAGGGGAATCTGGAACGACTATAGAATAGGAGAGGAATCCATCCCCAAACAAGAGGTGATTAGAGATTTAGGAGTTAATTTCAGTTCCGATCTGAAAATGCATCATCATATCGACATAATATTCAAAAAAAGCATTCGTATAATCAATAATCTTTTCCGTTGCTTCACTTTTTCCGTTAAAAACTTTATGAACTGTTATAAAGCCAAAAATTCTACCAATTTTTAGAGTATGGATCGGAGCTATTCTCTCCACTAACCCAATCTGACATAAACAGGCTAGAATCGGTTCAAAGAAAAATTCACCAAACGGCTTCTCCCAAAAAGAAACCTATGCTGTAAGACTAAAATCCCTTTCTCTAGACACTCTATGGACAAGACGTCTGCGAAAAGATATCCTAATTACACATCAGTTCATATATGGCTATTATTGGTGTCCATCTCCATTCAAATTACAAACGATATCAAATAGACAGAAACCAACTGAGAGGCAACGGCCTTAAACTCGAACCACCACCAATCCATCATGTTCACTATAACTTTATTACGCAACGCGTGTATAAATACTGGAACGGCTTAAACAGAGTTATGGTTTTTGAGGATGACCAAAGAAGATTTAAAAGTTGTTTGAAAAATTGGTTTTTGATAAGGAAGCTGCAAAATTCACAAAATGATTCAACTCGTTTATAGATTACTTTTCTTTTTGATTCTCTTCGATTTCGACCTAAAATATTTTTAGATTAAAGTGGAACTTTATCGAAGTGGAGGCAAATATAACTTCCATGGTTCT